CCCACCCCCACCGCCACGCACCCCGCCCCCCCACTGGACCCATGGCTCCTGGCCCCATTGGCTCATGGTCCACGGCCCCCTCCGCCCGCTCCGCCCGCTCCGCCCTCCGCCCTTCCAGCTCCGCCTACTCCACTCTGGCTCATGCTCCCACTCTCCATCCCCTTCCTCATGGACCCAGCTCCCTACCCCTTACCCCTCACGCACCCTGCCCCGCCGCCATGCCCCTCATGGACCCATGGCTCCTGGCCATGGCTCCCCAGCCCAAGCAGGTGGCTTCTCCGCCCCTACCCCCACCACCCACGCACCCCGCCCCCCGCCCATCCGCCCTTCCCGCTCCGCATACTCCCCCCCTTGCCCAAGCCCCACGCACCCCGCCATGCTTCTCATGGACCCGGTCCCCTTCTTCATCTCTTGAGCACCGCACCCCGCCCTTCACTGGACCCATGGCTCCTGGCCCCATTGGCTCCTGGTCCCATTCTTCAGCCCTCGACCTGCATGGCTGCCAATGCTGGTCCTATAAATGGCCCCTGCAACCCCACCCACCCCCACCCCCCACGCACCCCGCCCCCCACTGGACCCATGGCTCCTGGCTTCTCAGCCGACTTTAACGGGCCCCATACATGCCCCTCCGCCCGCTCCCCTCCGCCCTTCCAGCTCCGCCTACTCCCCTCTGGCCCATGCTCCCAGTCTCCATCCCCTTGACCAACCCCTCATGGACCCAGCTCCCTCCCCCTACCCCTCACGCACCCTGCCCCGCCATTGGTAACCTTATGGTCCACGGCCCAAGCAGGTGGCTTCTCCGCCCCTACCTCCACCACCCACGCACCCGCCCCCCGCCCCATGGCTCCTGGTCCCATTCTTCATCCCTTGAGCTGCATGGCTGCCAACGCTGGTCCTTTTCTGGCCCCTGCTACCCCCACCCCCAACCCCCACCCGCACACTGCCCCGCCGCCCATGCTTGTCATGGGCCCCTTGCTCCTGGCCCCATGGCTCCACCCCCACCCCCAACCCCCACCCCCACACACCTTTCCACACTTCCAACCCCCACCCCCACCCCCCACGCACCCCGCCCCCCCACTGGACCCATGGCTCCTGGCCCCATTGGCTCATGGTCCACGGCCCATGGATGTGGCTTCTCCAGCTGACTTTAGGGCCCCTCCGCCCTCCGCCCGCTCCGCTCCGCCTTCCAGCTCCGCCTACTCCCCCCTTGGCGCATGTCCCCTCGACCTCCCCCGCTTGGCCCGCTTGCCCTATCCCCACCACCCACGCACCCCGCCCCCGTTCATCCGCATACTCCCCTCTTGCCCAAGCCCGCCACGCACCCCGCCATGCTTCTCATGAACATGGCTCCTGGTCCCATTCTTCATCCCTCGACCTGCATGGCTGCCAATGCTGGTCCTATATATGGCCCCTGCTCCACCCACCCCCAACCCCCCTCGCTTCCTCGCTCCCTCACTCCCCCACTTTTCCATTCTCTCACTTCCCCGCCCTTTCTTACTTTCACTCCCCATTTCACCCCACTCCCACGCTCCACCCCCACCTGCGCCCTCCCCATCCCTCACTCGCAGCTGACTTTAAAAGGCCCCACAGTGCATGCCCGCCCCCTCCGCCTACTCTCTGGCCCATGCTCCCCCTCTCCATCCCCTTGACCTGGACCCAGCTCCCTACCCCTTACCCCTCACGCACCCTGCCCCGCCACCCATGCCCCTTCTCCGCACCCCACCCCCCCCGCAAGCCCCCCCACCCCGCCCCCCAACCCATCACCCCTTCTGGCCCCCAACCCCCATGATCCCCATGGACTGGCCCCATTAGATGATTTAAAGGGCTCCAGTGCCTGCGAGCCCCCTCGCTTGCTCCTCTTGCTGAGCTTGCCCCACCCCCCCCCCACCCCCCCCACCCCCCCACCCCACCACCCCCCCCCACCCCCCCTGTGCTCCATGCCCTTGAAGCTCATTCTTAAGGGCTCTCCAGTGCATGCCCGCGCCCCCCTCCGTTTTTCCACCGCTCCGCCCCCCCCCACGCCCAACCCCCACCCCCCCCCCCCCACCCCCCTCACCCCGCCCCCACCCCCCCCCCCCCCCCCCCCACCCCCCCCCACCCAAAGCACATCAGAGGACTGTCTTGTTGGGTCTGGGGTCGGCGGCACTGGCGGTAGCCATTAAATCGGGCAGCGCGAGGTCCCCAAAGGACCGAGCAAATGCGGACCTTTTAGCCCGGGTCGTCCCGGGAATAGCCTTGCTGGCCTCTGGCCTTCTGCGAAGCAGAATTAGGCCGGACGCCAGTGCCGCCGACCCCCGCGTGCCGCCAATTAACGGTTTTTTTTTCGTGGTTTTTTGCGTCGCCACGGAGGCCCCCAGAGGGCGCGCATCATGAGCATCAGCGGGTCCAGGCCGGGACCCCCAGGCGCGCATCAGGAGCATCAGCGGCTCCCGGGGCGGGACCGCGGGGGGGCATCAGGACCCCCCAAAGGGCGGGCATAAGCGACGTGTCTAAGCCCGGGGCTAGGAAAAAGGGAGTTTAGGGGCCTTATAAAGTGCTTAGAAACGTTAAGGGAGTTTCGGAGCCTCAAACGCTTAGAGATTTGAAGGGAGTTTAGGGGCCTGAAAATGCTTAGAAACTTAACGCTTAGAGATTTTAAGGGAGTTTAGGGGCCTCAACATGCTTAGAAACTGCTCGCCCCGGGCTTCTGCGTGCGCTGCCCGCCCATGGGCGCAGCCCCTTAAAATATTTATAACAATATTACGAATATTACGAATATTACGAATATTACGAATATTACGAATATTACGAATATTACGAATATTACGAATATTACTGATATTACTAATGTTACATGTACTACGAGTATTACTAATATTACTCATATTACAAAATTGCTATTTTCAATATCACGAATATTAGCAATATTACTAATATTAATAATATTCTAAAGGTACTACTGATTTTTTCAAATATTACTAATATTACTTATGTAACTAATATTACTGACATTACGAATATTCCTAATATTACTCATAGTACGAATATTACTAGTGTTACAATTTTACTACTGTTCCTCATGCTACTAATGTTACTAATGTTGTTTTTTCTAATATTGCGAATATTGCTAATGCTATAATGATAATATTATTGCGAATATTGCGATATTACTATTCTTACTAGTAGTACTCATACTACGAATACTATTCATATTACTAGTATTATTAACGCTACTAATTATTCCTGATATTGCTGCTTGCGGTGCTGCAAGAGCCTCTGAGAGTTTCTTCGCTTCATGGAAGAACACTTGAAGTCAAACAAAAAGCAACAACTTCACCCTCGGCCCTCAACCCTTTGAACCCAGACTCTCTCTGAATCAGCTGGGACCAAACCCTAATCCCCAAACCCTGAAACCGGTGCAGGCGAATTAGATCCCTAGGCCCTCGGCCTAAGGACAAATGCTAGAACTGGCAGGCGGGGCGTGATGAACAGCAAACCGTCTCTCCACTGACATTATAGCAGCGGCAGTCATGTGCTGGAGAATGTCGGTTTTCAGCTGAAACTATCTCCGACGACTCGACGACCTGACTAGACCCCCACAACGGTCCTCATCACCAGGACTGCACATCCTTGGCCGCCAAAGTAGAGCGAACAAGCCGCATCGATCAAATGACATGTCCGTTATTGCCAAGCTTGAGCTGTAAAGGAAGAGGAGAAGATGCACTGACCAGCAAGGTCAGGTCTGCGCCTTGTCACCAGTAGCTGATGGCCGGCGGCGACGTTCCCTCAAGAACTGAAGAGCTAGACGTGTTGGAGTAACCCTAAGCCTCAACCCTAAACCCTAGACCCTCAACCCTAGACCCTGAACCCTAAACCATGCCACGCCCTCTTGCTCCTTCAAAGCTACGTTGACCCAGGGACACAACTACGCTCAACTGTTTAGGTTTTTGGGTGTTGGGGGGGTTTTTGTAACCACAGCAGGCTATGGCCTGCTATGAAGAAGTCGAGGATAGTCACCGAGCGAGGCCTGTGTGGCGGCTATGCGGGCCAATGATACTGACATCTCTTTGCCACGCACCTGCGAAGAGGACGAAGCCATTGCACCCTAGTTAGCTCCACAGCTTTGATCCATTGCAACACTAGTGCGGAGCCCAAGTAGCAGCATGAGGTACATAAAGTGTACATGACCAGCTGACTTGGTGCTGCGAAGTCTTAAGCTTCAGGAGCTCAGTGCGCTTGAGCCGGATATTAGACATCTGCGAAGCTCTTGCCGCTGAAGGTGTGGGCGCTGCCCTTCCCGTCTTGGGACAATTCCTGGTGGCCTTCGTGGCATGCCCTGGGGCCCTTCCCTGAGCTCTCCGCCATCGCTACACTCACATCCCCCGGTGCAAAAAACACAGAAACTTTGATTCCCAACCTCTACTTTTTGATTCCCAACCTCTATTCCCGACTCAAAAGCACTCACATGGAACGAAGGATCGGTCAGTCCTTTTGTGGCGAACGCAACTGCCCACGCAGAGGTCAACTCTAGGCATGCGCGTTTCCAAGCGGAGACTTCCATGGTCTGCTGCACTTCAAGTACTTCTAAGGATGCATTCAACTTCTGAATGAAGACGGCCAGAAGATGCCAGAAGATGCCAGAAGTCCTAGATAACGTTTTACGTGAGCTCTTGCTAGCTAGTACACCTGCGTAGTCGTGAAGTCGAAGAAACTCGTGACACCTTTCGGATCGATCTATGACTCTAGCCCCACATTTCATGAATCCTTACTCCAAATCACTTGGATTCTCCGTGCACCTTAGCTGCACCGGGTGGCCTTGATTTCTGCAGGCCGAGATGTGGCGAGTCGTTGCGACTTCAAGCCTTGCACTGCTCAGGATCTTCATGCTCCGTTGTTTGCATCCGCGCTCAGGCATCGAGGATGATCTTGAACTGAGCCCGCGTTCCACGCTATGGGCGGCAGCCGAGTCAACGCGACATCGCACACGGTACATGCGTCAGAACCGAAGGCGCCGGAGCAGCTTAGGACAAAACGAAGAGCGTGACAGGACTGAGGGTGAACTCACCTGAGTACCTGGACGAGCCATGAAGGAGACCGGCGAAGCGGAGTCGTAACATGATGTAGCATGTTGTACTTTTGCATCACTCGGCTGCGCACCAGAGTCCGTAGGCAAAGACGCCGGGCACCAAGCTGTAATGAAAAACGGCCTCAGTCATGGTGCACATCGCGCAGCCGCACACCTGCCCTGCTCAGTCTGGTTGAACGATAGACTTTCTAAGCATGCCGCATGTGCCCACGTATCCCATGCCTGCACTTCCGAACACTTTCGTCAAGCCAACTGTACCACGCTTTGACGACAGTGCGCAAAGTATTGAAGTTGACTAGCACCTGAGAAAGCTTGGCTGTTGCATTGGGGCAGTTGTTCAGATAGGCCAGCCTGCGCCGCCCGTCGCAAGGCGACTGCCGTTTTGACTTGCAGCTTCTTCTTGACCTCCCGCGCAATGCTAGTTTGCAATGGTCTTGCCCTGAAGCAGTCTGGGAAGATTGAAAGCTTGCCTCTGGATCCATGGCCGAAATGGACGCACACCAACACTTTTGTCAAAACTGCAAGCTTGAGCCAACTCAGGCAAGACGACCGTCAGGGACTTCCGCCGCAGATGCCTACAAGAAAACAGATCCCGGTGTTGCACTTGCTTCGGCAACCACAGATTTGACAAATGCTACTGAACACACTCAAGAAGACGTTAGGCACTTGCATATCACTTGCATCAGTAACACTACAGCATCTCAAAAGTTATGGGTGTCTTTTTCTTCCGCCATACAACATTCAACTCTCCATGAGCTGAGGCGACCAGAACATCTCTGGCACGTAGCTGAAAAGCCTGAGCACAAGAGCTGACATCCCGAGCTGTGGATGCCAGTTCGCTCCAAGCCCCCAAGCCCGCGTCACCTTTAACAAACTCTGCACCGTAGCAACTTTCAAGTCACTGCCATCATCTGCCGATTCTGCCTGCGAACCACTGCTGCGCGGACTCTGCGCGGCATCCTGAGTGTCAGGCCAGCGCAGAAACGGCGGAGACCTGCGTATCTCTCGCAGCAGATGACAACTGTGTTAACCGTTCCATGATAGCAAAAATGCGAACGATGGCGGTCTTGATAACAGTGGTTGTAAGAACCGCAATGTAAGTGTCTAGCCAAAAGGCGATCTGAACAACGATTCTTGAAGCAGCACAATAATCTAATCGGATAAGAGCTACAGCATTTACAATGATATATGGTAGAAATATTGCAGCATCCAATAATGACAAGATTGACACAATAGTAGCGATAGTCATAGAAATAGCACAGACATAATCATACACTCATCAGTCACAACACGAAAAAGTGGGATAACGCAAATAGAAAAGAAAGTATCACAGCATTGACATAAAAGGATTATAATGGTACCCGCCTCATGGCTAGTTACATGATAGTTAGGTCTGCGCCTGGACAGCGTGGCCAGCACCATGCCAGATGCACCTGGCGTGCGTTTAAGTTCGGGCATGGGGGGGTCACCATGGGGAGACAGCGAAAGCTACAGATGCACTTGGCGGGTGAAGAGTTGGGACGAAAGCAAATTCTGCAGCCGTGGGGCAGGGGCCTGGTGGGAATTCAGCTTCGGAGGCGTTGTAAGTCTTCGGTCTAGAGCGCAATATGGCGAAATGGTCTGAAGACTGGGGCTTTGTCGGGCAACGTTCCGCTCGTGATATATCTGCAAATCGAGATCATACACGGCTGCGTCTTGGAGGCCTTGCGGGCCGGTCACGAGTGATTTACCCTCCTGCATGTCACTGTATGATTGCAAGTTGAGCCCGTCTTGTCAAGCCTGCGCAGGCCATCGCAGCATACGCAACGAAGGCTGCAGTCCTTGACTGGGTTGACTACTAACTCTTGCATGTGAGGCAGCGGGAGACCGTCGACGGGACGGCCCAGATTGAAGAAGGGGGCAGGATTCTCGGCTCGCTGAGGGCGCAGGGGCAGCCAAGGCTGCACTGGCAACCGATGAGCGCCCGGTGAGAAACAAAGATATCCTCGCAAAGCTAAGTCGGGTGGGCAACAGCAGTAGCCTTTGCGATCCCACGAAGGATGGAGGAGGCTTCCTTGGTCACGTTCTGGGGTGCGCACGACAAGCCGAAACGTACTGCCAGTAGTAAGAGCGGTGTCAAGGAGTCATGGCGCTTCTTGTCCACATATGTGTGACATGTGTGAGCAGCGCTGCTAAGCGACATCTCCCAGCCCGACAGGCCAGTGGGCAGCATCAAGCACGTTGATGACAGCAAAAAATGACCCCTCAATCATGCAAGCAACATCAGGAAGAAAGGGCCCGAATGCAAGTGGACGGAGAACGTCAACAGGCCGGCCGTCTGCATCTCTGGCTTGGTCTCCTTGCCCGAGTCGCCCGCGCCGGCAGAAATCAAGGACGAGATCGCGCATGCTTTTGTGGGCCCTAGGGCCCTGCTGACCTCCACAGACAAATGGGACGACACGCCCCCACCAACACGTGACCTCACGCAGAGCCACCCGGGAGAACTGCTAAGCAGGTCTTGGAGCTTGGTCTGCGGCTGTGCTAACCAGGCAGGCCAAACAAGCTACGTTCAGCCTTGGCGAGAAGGCCGGCGCTAGCGGTCGGGAATTCGCTGACCCTCGTGACGAGAATGAACTGTCTTGGGCTAGGAGTTGAAAGGCAAAGAGATGAGATGTGTGCTTGTGGAAGTCCGCCTGCCTTCCGCTTGGTCTTCACTGCAACGCACGAAGCTGCAAAACAGACAGGGCTAGGGCGATAAAGCCGCCTTGTAATTAAGTATATTAACTACTTTGACGATGCCTTGAAAAGTCTGCGCTCTTCTCCTCTTCTTGGCCCCGCCTAGCCACCACAGAAGCGATCCACTGGCCACCGCTTTCGCAACAACTTCCGCCATGAAGAGCGCAAACCTTAGAACCAACATTAGTTCAGGGCACATCACCCAAAGCCCCTGCCTTGAAGCTGAGGTCTGGGCATGAGTTGCCAGGTGAGCTCAGAGAAGGAGGAAACCGCGAGCTGCCTTCCATTGTGGGTATACCAAACGCTGCGGCTCTGAGGTTTACAAGCTTTTTTGATTCATCCGTTTGGTGAAAATACCAAGACAACCTCCGGAAACAGCAGAAGAGCTTGGCCCAACAGAATGTTGCGTGGCCTCACGAAGCGCTGCCGCATTCCCTGTCACATTGGGGCAACTTCGAAGATCGTCGCTGGATTTCCCTCGTTCTTCGTAGCGTAGGGCTTGAAAGACATTGGCCAAAGCAGTTGCACACCACACCAAAGCAAAGACTGCACAGAGCAAAAACCATGGCCTCGCTGCAGTCTGGCAAGGAGCGGATGTCGAGCGCATCCACCCAGTTTAAGCTGTCCTCATAGGCCTCGTCTTCTGCGCAAAGCGCATTAACGCTCTCGGATCTGTTTGACAGCCGAGGCGTTTGGGCCGGGTGCGATCTGCGGGTAGAGGCCACGGAAGGAGGAGAGCCGGAGTGGTGCCAGGCGGTGGGTGTCCAAGTCCTCCGAGGTGCAGAATTGGTTCTTCATGTTTCAATTTGTGTCATATGGACCTGGAGGAGCCTTGAATCCAACCTTTTTCCAACCTCTACTCTGCTACTCGGCGGCTGCTGTCGGTCCATCAGGAAGGCTGATGAACCCGCAAGTGCCCTCTCCACCTCTTCAGGGAGAGAGGCACACGGCAACATGTTGTGCAATCTGCCTGAACACGTTTGAACATGTGGTGCTCTGCTAAGACAAACCGGTGGCCACATGTGCCCCATGTGGCCCATGTGGCCCATGCTACGACTCAGCAGAATGGACTGTAGGCATGTGAAGCTGCGAGGCCTGCGCGAACTTCGGCGCGAAGCCTTGAGGGTAGAACAAAACGCCGCCGACTCTCTTTCAGAGCAGCTCTTTTTGCACTGTTGTTACTACGCATTATGCTTCTTCTGCTACGCTCTACAAAAAACCTTGGGGTGATGAGCGATTGTGCGACACTCCGTTGACACTCCGCGAGTATCTGCATCCCAGTCGCAGGAGGCGACGGAAGGCTCCAGGCCCCTACAGCAGGGGCCAAGTCGGATCCCAAACATGGGAAAGAGGTGGCAGCTAATACATGAGCAGTTGACAGAGCCATGACGGGTTTCAGAGCTTGCGGCAGCGACTGTGTGGATCAAGTCTTGGGGTGCCCGGCGAGTGCCGAAGCAGCCGGAGCATGGGAACCACAAAGTTGTCCTGCGCACTGAGCCCACTGTCCGATCCGTCAAAATCCCAGCCCTTGCAACTTTTGTGGCGCAAGGCACTCCCAAAAGCCAGAGTTCGCTTGCGCTCACTTGCAGCCGCGGCCTCGTCTTCAGGGACTTCACCCCCCGTGGCTCGGATTTGTGCCACCTCGCCCTGATACCTGTTCGGCAAGCTTAGTCGGGGGCGGGGCGTCTTCTGTATTTCAATCAGGATATAGCGGGATGTGTCGAACAAGCAGGATCACTGTGCCCGGGATTCTCGCAGGTCGCGGGCCTCATGGCCACAAACATGATTTGGAGTCGGACCCCCCCCCCCACGCACTGTTCTGACCAATCGACAATGTAAGAACTATGCTTGACAAGCAGTTGCTTGGGTTGCTTGCTGCTCGTGCCAAGGCAGCATTGGAGGCGTCGACGAGCACAAGGCAATAGACCTGAGCCAAAACAAGCACTGGCAACATTTCATGCCTCCCTGTAATTAGAGTGTGTGGAGCTGCCCCTGGGGAGGTCGCCCTTCGCATAGCCAACGAGCGGCAAAGCAGGTCTGCACCTGGATGGGCAAGTGAGGCAAGCATGAGAATGAGGAGGCACTTCCCCGCCGAGATCAATTCTTGTGATTCTTTCATGACTGAATCATGTTTGCGACATATTGCGGATCTAACCCTACACAGCCCAGGGCAACCTTGACGCTCTCATATGGAAGCTGCGCTATCTTGGACCTTTACCCAAGGCTCGCTCACAGCCCCTCGCAAAGAAATGCAGCGTGCCACCCCTGTATGTCATCTTCCGCTTAGTGTACATTCTAAGGGTCCTAAAGCACATTGGCCTCAGATGAACACAACTCCTCGTAAGGGTGTGCCCTGCCATGGACACAATGGAACTGATGACGCAATTCAAAGATCCTCACCCTGTATGTGCTGTATATGTGTTCAAGCGACTTGACGTTTTTGGCGGGTCTAGCGTGGAATCGCTCGGACATTCGTCGAAGCATACCAGGCTGAGAGTTGCCGTATGCAATCAATGAAGCAGCCACCAAATCCGTGTGGTATCCCCAACAGCAATACTAGTGATTTCGTTAGCAGGAGATAGCAGTCAGCAGGAGTTGATGGCCACAAGGAGAGCAGATCCCCCAGCTGACACAGTAACTTTCAACTCCTGAGCCCCAAACATCCCAAAATTGTTTCAAAAGCATTCCCCCAAACCTTCCTGAAAGCGTCCTCCGTGTTCCCTCTGACAGAGTTGGGCTGAGTGAAGGGCTCTGCACGCTCAGGGAGACCCCGACCAATTCCGTAAAGCGCATGAGCTCCAGGACCATCTCTTCCTCTCCTCGCGCTCCCGCAGACTTGCCCCTCCCCCGTAAAACCCTCAGCCCTGAGCCAGAAGCCGCGAAGCCGCGAAGCCCTATAACCCCTTGTGCGCCCCAACAGCCCTAAGACCCTTAAATGCAAACTCCAAGACTCTAAGAGGTGGCATGGAAGGGGGGGGGGGGGGAGCTCTCCAGAGGACTCTCGGACCTCTCTCCCTAAAAAGGCCCTAACATAATAAAAGAGGAAGGAGGAAGGAGGAGGAGGAGGAGGGGGGAAGGGGTGCTCTAAGAGCCCGCTCCGGAGGGCCAGGCGAAGGCCGCCGCGGCCTTTGGCTCCGTGCCCCGCGCGGGGAAGAGCAAGGCGGCGGCCTGAGAACCCCCCCTTTAAAGGGAGAGCACAGGGGGCCCCTAGCCTTTCTTTTTAAGTTCCTTTTTCTCTTTTATGGGGTTTATATTTAGGGGTTTATATTTAGGGCTTCTTCGTGTAGGGCTTAGAGGGTTTATGCAGGGGCTTTTCATGGGTTTCATACAGGGTTTATGCAGGGTTAATAGGCTTGACTGGGTTTGCGGGACATTACAGGTTACGGGGGCTCACAGATAGAGAGTGTCCCGGCCTTCTGGCCCGAGTCAGCCTTGGACGGCAGCGATGCCTTCACCTCCCGCACCAGGGAACTCGACGCAACTACCGGGGGTTCGGGTTTAGGGATCAGGGTAGACCAAGCCGATCACCCCGGTAACCCGAGCATCTCCCTCGTGCATCCGAGAGCCCAAAGCACCAAGAGCCCCCAAACTTCTCCTCCAAAATCCCCTCAGAACACATCTGGGGAAAGGCCTCGGGTGGAAGTGGCCTTGGTGGCTTGGAGGGCTTCGGGAGCTTGGAGGGCTTGGAACTCAACTTGAACTCAAGAGTTCAAATCCTCTTGTGCCGGATGTAGTGAAACACCGGGAGATTTAAACGAGTAGCCACCGTCGCAGAGTTACACAACCGTAGCGACTTCACCAACTTCAGGTTCATCAAGTTCTCTGGCAGACAGAGCAGATGGAGTAGATTGTCAGGATACGGAATTTCTCAGAATCTTCTCGCCAATCACTCCACAAGCGCATCCTAGTCACATCCCCCCATATATTTCGGGCCGTGGGTTTCGGAAGTCTCGGCAGCAGGCAGTCCATGGAGGAGATCGGTCTCAGCGGAGCGGACCTCGAAGACCTCGGACCTCACAGAAACCGGGTGGTTTTGGGTGGCTTGTGTCTGAATGCGGTGCCGATGGGTCCTTCGCGGCTTCGTTCATGTCTGCAAAAAGATGCTAGCGTAGAGATATGTCAGAGTTCTCTGTCTCAAAACAGAACCCTGTCTGTTTCGCATGAACATGCATGTATACGTTGAACAACAAGCTACGCAAAATCGAACAGGATTGGAGTCTGGGGCATGGAGGGTGTGGTGTCGACGGCTAAAAGAAACGATCGGAATTCTGCTTGCAGCATTCCCTGATGGCCAAGAAATTGTGTTGCTCAGTGGGGCAACTCTTAATTTTGGTTTTTTAAGCCATTTGCATTAACTGAGCAGCTTGAGAAAAAAATCCCTGCCACAATGGTACCAGCAAAACACAATCCCGTCTAGGATCTCACTAAATGGACTCGCAGATGATCACTCATCGGTTGATTGGTATACAGAGTACGAGATAATCAAGGGCCCTTTCTCTGCAAAGCTGTTTCGATGCACATGCACTTTTCAAGAAAGACAAACAGATGGAAAACCAAAAAAACGAGAGCGAGAGCTTAGAGACATCTGGGGATCCTCCGGGCGGCCCGGCCACTGGGCAGCAAGCTTCCGTGGGATGAGGTGGGACTTGTACCGCTCCTCCACTGGCCACTGGGCATTCCGAAGAACACTGTGGTTGAGGTGTGCTTGGGCATCAGTTTGGGGCGTCACTTGCCCGTCTCCTCCTCACTCTTGCCCGGGATAGCGAACAGCACCTTCAGACGTATGCTCTGATCAACAGCATCAACCTATCACACATGCTCTCGGACATCTTCGGACTCTTCGGATCGCGCACTTCCACTGTGCAGCAGCCTTGTGACGCCGAGTCGGTCTGCTCAGCCACGAAGTGAGGGCGTTGTGGTCCGAGCTCAGTGGCAACCCGATGTTCGGGAAGGAGGTCAACACGAATTTCGTGAGTGCCTGCGCAGCTTCGTGGGCTGAGCATACCAGTACTTATCGTACTTGCTATACCCGACACAGCACAGAGAACTGAAACGAGCACCTGCGGAGTTTCATGCATTTGGGTCACAGGGAAAATCTCCACGGCTCCCAAGTGCCTGGGAGCAAAAAGGTGTCAAAGTGTCATCTGATTTGTAGCACGGGTGCGCCGGGTGTCCCGCCTGCCAAACTTCAGGACAGTCGGAAGCACCTCTCGGAGCTCACAAAAAAAGCGATCGCTATAGTGTATGATGATCATGATGCTGAGCAGTGCTGAGACCTCTGGGTGCCAGGCACGCACCTTCAAAGGAAGCCACTTGGCCTGGTCGTCGGTCACGTCGATACGCCCTGTACAAAGCTGCGGAGGCGGCAAGCGCAGCTTCGAAACGAGGTTGGGCTGGCAGCGGCTGGCCGAAACGGACCAAGTGCTGGTACTTCTGGATCTGGTTCTCCCAGAAGGGGTGAAAACTCGCCTCGGAGCCATCGTCCAAAGGCGACATTCGCAGCACGCGTGCCGTCATCCAGGCTGCGAGCGCAGTGGGGATTGTCGGGTCGGAAAACCTTTGTCAAGCGATTATCGCTGCCACAAGTCCTGCCAAGTCCACAACACATTGCAAAGCACAGCAGCTGCCGCTGCCGCCTGCACGATCCAAACGTCATTGGAGAAAGTTACAAGCCTCGGGTGATGGAATTAGCAGGTACTTGTCAGTACTTGTACACTCGTACATTGTACTTGCACTCCGAAACCGGGCAAGGTGCTCATCAAAATTGCCTTTGTTCAAAGGGACGCTCTTGGGCGATGTCAATTCGGATGTAGCCTTCGAGCAGGAAAGAACTGCAAAGTACTGGCCCTGGCAGAGTACTGCAGAAAAACTGGCAAGTGAGGGGAAGCCGGTTGGCAGTGCGAGTGCCCGGCCACACCGCCGGCTTCGTCATAAGCAGCACGCTTTGAGTCGTCTGACCTTGTAAGCAGCATTTGCTCTCAATCAAATTGGGCTCGAGGCAAAAACATCCTCTAGGTATCCGGCAGTGTCTCATAGGCTACAGCAATCTTGGAGAAAGTCTCCTTCGCAGGACTCACCGTCACATGCTCTGCATACTGCAAACCGAATGGCGGGAACAGGCAACATTCATCAACAAAGCCGCACTCCTGGCAGGAGCTGCAGTTGGGGTTCCTGGGAAGGGGATTCGCTGGACACAGACACAGGGTCTTTAAAGGCAGCGTGCTTGCTTGCACATGTGCAGGGGCCCGTCTCAAGCCCTTGTGCATCTTCTCTCCAGGCCCCTTCTCCAGGCACATCCAGCCAACTGTTGAAGCTACCGGGCTACTGTCAGGGAGACCTTGTCTGCCGAGCTCGGTCACTTGCGTGGGACACAAGCACAGTAAACTCCGGCAAGGCTCTTATCCGGATGCCAGCGCTTCGCCATTGTCTTGTAGGCGCGCTTGATGTCCGCAGTTTGAGCATCCCGTGCCACTCCCAACCTTTCCAAGGAAACCAACGAATGAGGCACCCAGCAGGCCCCCACAGCAGACGGGCAGACGGCAGAGGTCACGGCACTCCGTAATGGTCCTCCACTTGCTACACACACACAACATCCAAGAGATCGAAACACTTCGGCGGTCATTCGGCTTCATGACAACAACTTGACGAGGACTTCCTCCTGCTACCACTACCTGGGGATACCTTGGGCACCCCAGGATTATGCGCAGGAGTCCCGGCAAAAGACCATACACCCCAACGACTCAGTCCTCTGCTTCCACTGGCCTCTCAGGAAGCCTTCCAGGAAAGAAGGCACTGCAGGCCTAAAGTGTCACCGGGCCCGAGACACTGTCCAGCCTGTCTAGATTCTCACCGCCAATGATGATGGCCTGGCAGATTCATAGAATTGGCATGGCTGTCTCTTCTCAGGTATATGCAAGTTGTCTTCCTTAACACGCTTTCGGTGTGCGTGCGTGTGTGCGCGCGCGCCATAGTCACAGTTCTCCAAGGCCAGCTGCACAAGTGAAGAATCCAACTAGGCGCTTGAGCCTTCCGGAGCCCTGAGACCCTGAAGACGCTGAAGACCCTGAAGACCCCTCTGAAGACCCCTGAAGGGCATCGGAAGGGCATCTGAACTGCGAAGGTCAGGGCCCTCAATGTTGGAACTATGGCGAGTGCTAACTTCAAAAGTTACAGCTTGACTGGCTTCCACAACCCACCCACAAAAAACATCAATCGCGTCTTGCAGCACGCAAGTGATCACCTCAGTTGAGGTGATCGCTGGGGGGATCTCGTCGGGCTTTGCAAGGCATTCTACCACGCCTGCGTCATGTCAGCCTGTTGGAACATAACAAGGAAAGCTGTGGTACCCTTTGCTTAGACTTTTCTGGCATCCGACCGACCACGACATCTTTTGTTCAACCACAGGCTGCCGACTACAATGACTACTACATACGAGATCAACGTCCAAACAGGATGCAAAAGAGAAGTTGTCGATGAAGTGGCTGAACACGCTTGAAGACGTTTGACGGTTGAACATGTAAGGACACAAAATCAACGAGGTCATTGCCGAGGAAGCGGCCAGCGTAGCCACTAAGCCCACAGGCACCTTGTGGGCTTCCACCTGATCAGCTCTAGTGCTGCTTGCTGCTTCTGCCTTGCTTCCGTGCATGCGCATTAGAGTCACTGGCGTCCACACAGGTTCTGAGCCTGGTGCGAACTGGAGGGCTGTGGTTCTTAGGGGCAGCTGTCCCTCGCTCTTCTTCTTTCCTGGGGTCACACGCGGAAGGAACGCAGCACCGATATGGAGGCACTCACCAGAGTCTTGAGACAGCCGCGTGTGGCAAGCCCTGAAGTGTAAAGCTCCAAGCCTGCGACTGACCCGAAAGGGCATACAACGCGCATACATTGCGAGGCGCTCAGAACGGATCATTCGCCAAGGGCCCAGTGGGTAGGGAGGCCTTGGCACGCAGCCCACCGGCACACCTAGCAGATCCAAACTGACTCTCTGTTGTTCCTAGCCTCAAAGTCCATGAGAAAACAGGGAAGGACTCAGGCAATACTGAAGAGGCCTTGAGGATGAGGAAGGAATCCGTCCAGTTGCCTTGTCTCCAGAGATCTCCACGTGTGGTTCCAGCGCGGCCATCACACGATTTTGTACACTGCATACTGTGTCGTCCTGCCTGGCGGTGGGGCCAACAACGAATCCTCATCTTGCAAAGTCGACTTTGTGCCATTCGCCTTCAGCTGGCAAGCTCCAAAAAGCATCCCGGGAAGCAAAACACAGGTACGTCCCACGCCTTCGCCTCGGATTTGGCCTTCCTCTGGACGGGCATCCGAAAGCGCTCTGATGCTCCAACGAAAAAGCCAGTGCTGGAGAGTTGATAACTGTCACGTCTCTGTGTCAACAACTGGTGTGCCACGTGAAACCAGCAGAGGATATGATGCCTGGCCCTTCTACAGGAGTCATGACCCTGTCAACTTGAAGTTGCCCCACAACTCAAACCATGTCACAGCTTGAGGCGCGGGATAGACCATTCAGACAGTGGGAGAGCCTGCCTTTGCGGGTTGCATGCGGTCACTTTCACGAACATGCGTTCGTGGAATCTGCACGCATCCGGGCAGGAGGCATTATGAATCCAACTATACTCCGTAATATTTTTCTTACCAACGCTCCGTTTGCGCAGCCGCCTGCGCATGATCCAGTGGCGCGGTGGTCAGCCGCTCTTTCTCGTGGGATGCGAGGCTGCTCGTCACTCGGGCCGGAACTCCCGTTGGGACTCCCCCCAATCCCCTTGCTGGCGAGTCTGAGAGCATGAGATAGGTACGTAAGCTTGTGCACCCCTCGGCTTCTTTTTTTAATCTTTTTTACCATGTTCTCACAGCCTTGCCGGCCGCATTCTCCCACTCAGCCAGTGGTCACAAGTCCTGGCATTCGCCAAGGATCCACAACGTTATACTGTGCCCCGCTGCATGCCGATGACGCGTTCCAGACAAGCAAAAGCTAACGGCTTTAAGTAGCCAGGAGTACGTCCAACGTCGGCTCCTGCAGCTTTGTCTTGCACGCTTTTGCCACCAGGTCACAACCGTCTTCGGTTCCTTTTTCCAAGCTTTCTTAATACGTCTTTGCCCGAGGCCATCGCTGGACTTTGCTTGCTGTCGGGGATCGCCTGGGGCTGGTCCACGGGCTCCTCCGGCGAGCTGTTCGTGCCAGAAGATGCGAGGCTGCGCCGCTAGAGCTATGAAATGCTATGAACGGCTTCCTTGAGCACTTCGTCAAGGCCTCAACTCGACGAGGCACAGGGATCTTCCCAACAAGGAGTTTCCGATCAGCACACACTTTAGCAAGAAACTACGGATGTGCGATAAAACAAATCGAAGCGCAGAAGCTACCTTGTCCACCATGCCCCCTCAAGGTCTACAGCCTCTGCTGAGATTTGAGACACACTATGCATGTCGGCATCCGCTGAGAATCTCACTCATCTCCACATCCCAGCCATTTGCTGCAGAAGCTGGCCTGAGGTCACAGGATGTCCATGACAAGATGAAAAGACGCGCCGCCACACCTCTGGTCGTGCTTTTGCAGGCTTCGCTTTTCACCGGCCTCTGGTACAGGACCCAGGATCCCCCAGAACGTGGGGCTTCTTTCGAAGATTGTCGAAGATAGTCCAACAGCCCCCTCTCGAGCACCGTGTCGCCTCCACGCTGTCCAAGAGCTCATCCAAGCTCATTTCTTCGACCGCTCCTGGCACCATCACGCGGTGACCCTTCCACACTTCCCAGCCATCCCCTACCCCGATCGGAAAAAGCCGAAGCCGATCCCGGCCAGGGCCGCGGCGCGTCCGTCGCGAGGGATGCACCTCAGAGCCCAAAGCTTCGCTCGTTCAGAGGATGTGCAACCAAACCGAAAGTGTTAGAGCTGCTACCAGTAGACTGCACGGGACAAACAAAAACGGCAGGGCGCGCCGGCATGTACTCATGGCATACAAAGGTCCGCGCTCCCGGTCTTTGCACCGGTGGACTCACAGTGCCTCTGCAAGAAGACTCATGCAGCCTCGATCACATGGGTCTTTCCGCGTCAGTCCCGAGTCTTCAAGCATATGGATGGCCCAATCTACTCCAGTGCATACGAAGTGAAACTGACCCATGTCACAGAAGTCCAAAGCCATGCCAGGATTACCATGAATAAAGCAAGAAGGAAATGCACACCTACAGCACAACACATCACTGTGGCCTGCACATACAAAAACCCTGCTGAGAAGTATTGGCGTTAAAGGTGTTAAAGCTATCCGAGCAAGGTGAAAGCTGGAAGACATGCGGTGGCGAAAAAGGACCTATCTACACTTTTCCTCCGCACTTTCGGAATCGGCTGCTGGTATATGGCAGAGCCGTGGCCGCGCACGGCATCCGCGGCACGGCACGTCTTTGCTGCGTCCGTTTGTGCTACGTTGCCGAAAATGGAATATATGGAGCTCAAGGATGCTCGGCGCTCGGGATTCCAATGCATTGCCATGCAACTTGTAGAGTAGTGCATCGCTCTGTACCCACCCGAAACGCCCTGGACCGTGAGTTTGTTGAACGGCTTCTTGCATAAAGGGGTTGTTGAGGCTTCTTGACGGCTTCGGTATGTGGATGTATCGCACGCCAAAGCTCTCACCGCCGGCTGCGGCTGCGGCTTCGGCTGCGGCTGCGGCTTCGCCTCCTCTCCGAGCGCTCGGGCCGGTCGGGCCGCTCGGGCCGGTCGGGCCGGGCGCCGTAGCCCCGCCGTTTGGCTGCAGTAACGCGCATAAACTGCCGGGCCACCTCTGCAGACAGGTTGAGGGTGAAAGATGCTGGGGGTGTTAGTCAGGTGCCATGGTGTTATGACAGCGATCTGCGGATCCAGCCCCTCATTGACGTACACATCACAGAGGCCCAAGGCTCCCTGTTGCACATCGAGACACTTCAGCCGGATCTTCGGCTTTGGTGAAGTCCCAGTTCTTCCAGCACTTGTCGAACCCGCCTGCATGTGGGGCGAGTACGACTCAGCAAGATTCCGATCTTCGCTCAATTGCCTAAAACAGCATATAAGCATCTGCAAGACAACCAAAACGTCCGAGGCACTGCCCGAAGCGCTCTCATCCAGCAGCGCGTCCTTCCTCCTTGGAAGGATCGACCCTTCACACTTCACACGTTGCACTGCTGGTCCAATTGGGCCCCATTCAGCTTTGTCAACTTTGTACGAGCAGATGCCACGATTCCACATGGCATGAATGGGGATTTCCAAGGCGCTGGGACGCCCTCGACGTGGGATGCCGGAGCTGCCTCAACGCCAAATTCCACCAACACGTGCGCTGATGAAAGAAGCTCAGCCGAGGCATGCCGAGATGCTGCTTTTCGCTCTTTGCTCCTTCTTGCGCCGCCTAAAACATCACATGCTGACGAACCTTATCCACTGCGGAATGTAGAGAGTGACAAGGTCGGCCTGCGCCCTCTTGGCTCGTTCGTCCTCCTCCTTAGCACTCCCGAAATTCCCCTCCCCCAAAGAGTGGATGCAAATCCTCCGTGGATCATTGCCGATTGCTGGGGAGCCTTGTCGAAGTCATCCGCGGACAGGGCGAAAACTCCTCCCAAATTCTTCTTCCGCTCGCTCTCCTGCTTCCGCCGCTTCTCCTCGCCACATCTAACAATTGAGAACAGTTTTGGAGAAGCACGTTTCATCTCAAAATCCTGCTACTTGGAGGCTCTCAAGATCAGCTCGAGGATGCTCGAAGTAAGCGGAGCTACTCTTTGCAAACCACGGGGGGGGGGGCGTCCCCTTCCCGGCTGTCTCCTGGACCTCCTTGAGGAGCTGCAGCTGCCTCCTCTCCTCCTCGATGCGCCGGGCCTCTGAGGAGAAAAGCAGCAGAATTTCATGTGCACTCACATCACGCTCACATGATCATTGACCCAGCTTCCCTGGGAAGCTGGGTCCCCTTTTCCGGGGGAGGGGGCGGGCGAAGACGAAATCCGAAGACGAAATTCGAAGACGAAATTCGGCCAATTTCGGCTTCAGGGCCGAATTTCGTCTTCAGGGGCCGCACTGAAGCTATATTCGGTCTCTGAAATCGCAATTCAGGCCCATTTTAGGCTGCAGGCCCAAGGGGAACCGAATTTAAGCTTTTCGGGCCAACTTTCGGCTTCAGGGTCCGAACTTCGGCTTCAGGGCTGCGTTTCGTCTTCAAGGTCATATTTTCATCGTCTTCGGGGCCGAATTTAGGCTTCAGGGGCGGAATTGTGGCCCTGAAGCCGAGATTGGCCGAATTTCGTCTTCGAATTTCGTCTTCGCCACCCCCACGCCCCCCGCCCCAGAAAAGGGGACCCAGTTTCCCGGGTCTCTGTGATTATGATCACATTGCACACGCACACACTCTTCTACTCCTGCCATCTTACCAAGCAGTGCGAGGAGTCGGCGTGCTTTTATTCTCATAAGGGCAATTATTCAATTCAATAGATTATGCACATATGTGGGACCTTGTCCTTCTGAAAAGACATTGCAAGAGACCTGAGGCATTGCGGACGAGCTTGGTAACAAGCCACTGTGCCCTTGACATTTTCTTTCGCAGCTGCGATGGACCTTTCTTCTACAGGTGGGACAGGGCGGGACATCCTTTAACTCTGCAGGACCTGACACAGGGCACGGACGGGCCCGAAAGTGAGAGGCGACCCCTCTTTACATCCCCACACATCAACGACCGCGGGGTTTGGGGGGCATTCAGAGGTGTGAACTGAGGGACAATGAAGGACGAAACATCTCGTGAAGCGGTACCATGCAAGCAATAAAAAAACCGTCAAGACCCAAAACGGACCGTAGCACAAAATGATGGCTCATTGCTCATGAATGGTACACTCGTCGAGATTTCGAGCTCATTACATGGGTGAAAACCTTTGGCGTGGCCGGCTTGATCAGCCCCATTACTAGCACTGCAATGCAAGCTTGGCAAGCTCAAGATGCACCTCGCGCTCGGAGTCCACGTCTGGCACCATGTGGGGCATCTCTCCGTGGGCGGACTCTTCGGCCTGCGCCTCCTGCACACCGCAGATCACCACCAACGTACGGCAACCTACCTATTCAACCATGTTTTTCAACCGTTGATCAGCACCCTCGTCTTTGGCTTTCATTCGTCGAAGCTGGTCAACAAAGAAGCTCTAAAGAACCCGTTGGCCTCCTCCTCGTCGCTTCCTTCGGCGTCGTGCTCTGCCCGCACCTGTCAGCTCAAGGCCAAGAGGCCGTTCCGTATCGCTGTGGTGCTTCCACTCTTTACTCCCTGGACCTGCGTCCTCGAACGCGACGGGCGCGACGGAGAGTCGGATCGGGATCGCCTCAAAGGGGAAGAAAATGACATGTCTTGAGCCGAGGTAGTGGCCAGAATGAAAAACAAGAACTGCCAGGTGCACCGAGTGCAAGTGGCCGGCAGCACACGGCTTACAAGCTCACAAACGTCCTCCTCTCCGCTGCACGTCTGCTGTGCTCAGGGACCCCCCGCCAGTCTTTAGTAAAGTTTAATGCGAGAATTTTCCCATGCAGCGTCGCCTTCCACCAAGACCCCCCAATGCCCCCTTCCCACCAGCCCCCCCAACCCCAACCCCCGCCCCTGTTGCCCTGCCCGGTGTACAGTGTACGCACAGGTTACGCTCCCTATCAACCTTCCATAGACCTCTTGTGCAGAGGCTTCCTGGTTTGAACAGCCACTATGTGACTCCGCAGCTGCCCCAAGGTTGAGAGGATTCCCCTGCTGAGCTGAGATGCGCACTCAGATTCCTTCCGCCTCTTCTGCTTCTTGTCTCTCTTCTGCTGCTTCTCTTTCTTATCCTTTTTCTCCTTCTTCTCCGCCGTATGCGCCTGCATGGTTTGGGCACCAGAGCTGCGGCTATGCATGGGCTATGCATGGCCACCGCGGCGAAGGCGAAGCCGAACCTTCGTAGGCTTGGCCTTCGTTTTGGGCCTCCGGCGGATGACCTAGGGCCGAAGGAAGACAAAGGCAACAACACAAAAAAAAAAAAAAACAACAAAAAAAAAAGACAATTAGGAAAAGTTAAAGAAAAAGTCGTCAAAGGCCAGAGGGCCTCGGCCACGAGCATTGCCTTCCTCCCGACATTGGGGATGAGGTGCGGGCCCTGCGTCACAAGTCCAGAAACCGACATTCACGAGAACCAAGAGGATGACTCGAGATTAAACATGCCTATGTGCGAGCATGTCTACCGTAGAATGTTACATACAAGCAAATACAAGCTATCACAGGATGTACACATTGTTACTCGCCTGGATGTGGTGGGTCATCCCGCCAGAGCGCGCCCCCTGTACTCCGCCACGATCGCCGCGCGTCATCGTCTCAGCAAAGGTGTCATTGAAGCTGCAGCACATGACAAGGGTATCGACGATTGTGTGACTAGGCAGAAGCCCACATGCACACGAGTCTGCAAACCGGTGCCTAAGCCCTGTGCTGGCACACCACGGCTCGACGCACGTTCTCAATCCAGGATGGTGGGCATGGCTCACATCGCATGGGACAGATGCGCTTCCGCCAGCGCAGAAATCTGAGGCCACCCTTCGTGCAGAGGGTTCCGAGAGGCTTGCTTTGCAGTGGGGTGGAGGGTGGGGTGGCTGGGGTGGCTGGGGTGAACTATGACCAGTCAGTGTTGCAGCACGGCCTCCCTCACGGCTCTCCTAACGGTCTAGTCCATCAATCCTCCTGGGGATTACGCCATGAGGCCTTGTCACATCTTGTCTCACGGTTGTCACGGTAGTCACGGTTGTCACGTTAAAAGCACTCGGCTGTCGCGATCAGCTGCGGTCAAGGCGGCGAGCCCAAGCGAGGCAAAAAAACGAGCCAAAGCGAAGCAGTCGCAGAGTGATGCTTTTTGAGCCGCCCAAAGCTAAAAAGTGTTCATGTTACTGCAAGAGGCTGGTTGCCACAAGCCATCATCCCTGTAGCTCCCTCCCCCGTTGTCAGGGCAAAGCATTCCCCCGCCGTACCTCGAGGATGAGGAAACGTGGGCTTCCGTGGACTTCGTGGCCTTCGCATCTTCCTCATCTTCCTCGTTCCTCTGCTTCTTCGAAGAACTGTCTCACTGTAGTCACAGAAAAGAGTCACAAAGGGGGGTGACTGTATCTGATGTCGCTGAGAGGCAAGCGGCCATCACCTCGAAAGGGTCGGTGGGCGTGGTGCGTAGTCCTTGGCAGAGCAGCGCAGAGCACCCAGAACCACCAGTCCCTGAGTTTTACCCTCTGCCTCCGGAAGGCCAATTGGGGTGGGGGGGGGGGGGGGGTGCGGAGAGATTCTCAAAACATCTTGTCTGTGAGGGTGATCGCCTCGTTCTCATAACAGTTCAAGCTTATAAACTATAAACCCACTGAAAGTAGTAGGCAAAAATAGCATGCGAGGAAAATCCCGGTTCGAATGAGAGGCTGCATGCAAGGCGTGCAAGGCATCCCCGTGGGCAGCGTCTCACAACATTAGGGAAGCGTGGTGCTCTCGCAAGCATTCTAACACAACCGCAACCGGTTCAAGCAAGCCGTCCAAGCACGAACGCAGGGCATTGGCGGGGGGGCAGGATTGAGGGCAAGCTGCAAGATGCTGCAAGCATCTGCAAGCTGTCAGCCTCGGACCCGGAACATCCGTTGCAACCGCCATCCTGAACAGCTCAAGCACCTCAGTGATGCACAACAGAGGGAGAGCTGAGACATGTGGAGTCATGTGGAGGCTGGGTTTGAGGTGATGAGAGCTTGGCAGCACCTGTAAGGCCTGTGAAGATGGGGTGCTCTGGGAATATCGCAGCTGTGGCCACGGCCGGGCTGCCCAGAGAAGCATCGCGCCTAGGCTTTCATTCAGACAGCAGAGGCCTTGGGAGGGTACTGACTGAGGGCAGAAAGGAGGGGGTTCGGACATGTTAGGTAGGACATGGTAGAACAATAGGGGACGTGGCTGAGGTTTCACTGAGTCACGCCCGATGTTTGCAGAAGAGGTCGAAGTTGACGATGGAGCCAGCATCGCCCCAGATGTCCTGAAGGAACCGTCGCCGCGGGGCAGGGGCAGCAGAAGGTCACTTTGCATGCAACATGTTCGCGCTTGAAGTGACTCTTCCTTCTCCAGCGACAATGCTTAGAGGCTTAGAGTTCTCCCGAAAAGGGTTTGGATGGGGTCTCCTCCTTTTCGCTCCGAAAGTTTTGCGCGTTGAAGATCGGCAGGCGGAGCAGCACGCATTCGTACCTGGTCAGGGAGTGCTGCCTCTCCGGATTCTGCCATCGCTGTTATGCTGTAGGCCCTATAATATCGCGCAGTGTAAGAGCCCCACCCCATCGTTATGCTTTCTATGGAAAAACTCTCCGAAACTCTGGGGGAGGAGGTGGGGGGGGGGGGCGCTTGATCTTCTTCAGGATGCGCAGGAGCTGGGAGTCCTTCTGCCTCGGGTTGCGGTACCTTCTCAGCACAGCGCAGTGGCGAGCAGCCCGCCCGAAAAGGCTCCACCCATGCTCCACCCATGTTCTTTTCAGTACTGCAGTTCAGCAGACTTTCGGGCGGACTTTCGGGGGGACTCTCTGGGCTCAACAGTTCAGATTTGGGCCAGCTAGTGTCAGGGCATCAGGGCAAAACATGTGGGGAGCAGCCTCTCCAACCCGGGCGGCGCGCTCCACGAAGAGCAAGGGCTTGAATTTCCGAAGCAGTGGCTGGGCCTGGAGATCTGTGCCCCCCGATGCTGCCCGATGCTTCTCTTGCCCAGCTGGGCGCAGCTTAAGCGCGACCCTGGACTCTGGGGCCCAGTCGCCCTTCACCACTGCTGCCTCCATGGCCTCTTCAAATGCGAAAAGCTGGAAGGTGCTGGGTGAAGAGCGCCTTCCTTGCAGCTTGCCAGCTCTTGCCTCTGCATCGATTTTGACAAAGTCCAGCTGAGACAATGACCTCTGGAGGCAAAGACTAGCTGCATGGGGCAAATCCATCGAGAAGCTCGTAAAATGCAGAAACGGCATGCTAGCACACCTCAGTCCGTATATCCCATGCCGTGGCCATGACGAGGGGATGAATCAGCTGTCTGAACAGAGGAAGGCCCAGACAGCTGCTCGAGAGTCACCTTTGCCAGCCATGCTTTTTGCAGGTTTAAAAGCTGCCTTGCACCCAAGCTGGGCCAAGCTGCCACTGCGTACTCGTCCCAAGCAGCCGACGCGCCTGGTAGCAGACAGACTCAAGGAGTGCGCACGCTTTTGGCGGAAGGGGCAAGACCGAGCTTGGAACGCTGAGCATTGTCGCCGGCCTCACCAGTGCAAGATCCGAGAAAGAGCGACAGAGCTGCAAACGACACCCGTAGCCGGGTTCATGGATGTTGGCACCCTGCAGGGCTTCCGTTGTTCAAGATACTACGATCACTTCGAGAAGATGTGTCTTTGATGCGTCCCTCCAAGACAGGCCAACGGGGTGCGCACAATGCGCACATAAGCAAAGACAGAAGACAGACGACAGACGGCAGGCGGCTAGTCTGATGGAGAGGCATTCTGACATTCTCCTTTTGGTGAATCCGACGTGTGCCTGGGCCCGCGGCGTCATGAATGGGCAGGTGGTGAAAGTCCATCGAGCCGAAGTTGAAAAACTCCTGCCTCACGCACAGGAAGAAGTTCGAAGAGCGGGAGCGCGCCGCATGGCGTCACGTCCAGAGATGGTGAATAGCATGGCGTGGCCACGGCCGAGCTCTGGCCGAGCGACTGCTTGAAGGCGAGGTCGTGTCGATCCATGAACACCTGTGCGGATCCATGAATCAACACCTCTGAAGCATTAAAAACAAACGCTCTGACACAGCACTCTGACACCACTCCACGGAGTTTGCTTGTTCCCAAAGGGCCATTGCCCTGCCAGGCCTTGCCAGGCCGATCTGCCACCACCGCCTGCTTTACCTCTCGCGTCTGCGCGCTTCCCTTGCGCTCTCTTCTGCACTTACATGAACGTATACATCCCTCTCAAAGCGCAGAACGCACCAGTGCAAAGAAATCAAAAACGTGAAGCGGTTCCTCCACGTTCTCCAAGGAGTTCAGCGCGGTGTTAGCCGCCAGGGCTGCCTCAAAGAGGCTCAGCTCTCTCCCGAAGACGTGAGCGAAGCTGTCCGCGACAGCTGAGCACACAACGAAGGAGGAGAAGAAGGGCTCCAGGGCGATGACACGACCCTCGGGGCCAACCAAGTGAGACCTGGGCATCCACTCGGACGCACTGACTGCCAAAAACTCCGTACTTCGCAGGGCTCCACAGACTACAGGGCAAATGGGGGCACAGATGCCCCCGAGGCCTCGAGTGCGCCATGGTTCATCTTTGAAAGGGCGTAAAACAAAACGCGACACAGTCGAGGAGGACTGAACTTGTCATATTGTTACCTTGGGGACAGTTTCAGCCTTCGACGATGGTCCATCAGAATCTGAGTCTGAGTGATCTGCAGTGGCAGCGTCAGGGCGCCCACGTGAGCGCCAACCTGCAGCAACGCGCAACGTCGCAGATTCCAAGACTGCAGGCAAACACCAATATGTTGCGACTCCACCTTGTGACCCTGGCTTTTCTGTTTGTTGGGACTGGTCTCCACTTCCATGTAGCGCCCTTGAGCACTGGAAAGCACCCCAAAAATGTGGCCGGCGAGCTATCAATCAAACCAAACAAAACTCGGAAAGTGCTGTGCATCGATCGTTCCCTGATCATGCCAGAACACTTAGCAAAGTCTCATGGCTCAAGAGGATACATTCGCACTTTTCTCCTTGTTCAAAGCACAGTCCAGTAACAGCGTCCACTGCTACCACGCTACATACTGAAGGCTTTCTGCAACAATTCTAAACTGAATAAACACAACCTTGAAATCCTCCATTCCCCGAGCGGAAACTCCGAGCGCCTCCACAACAACCTGGCCAGGCCGCACCTGAGTCAGAAGAAACCGTTGTGCTTCGAACTTCGGAGAGTAGATGCGGAAGATACTTCCGCTGACAGAAGCGCTAAGTAGTCGTGTGTCAAGTGCACTGGCCGCACCAAGTACAAGCAATCGTTCGACCAGCATGGCATGGAAGATCAAAAACGTCTAGCAATCTAGCGCACCTGTCGCTAGATACACACCAAACAAGCCCCAGCCGCACATTTGGAGAACAAGTCGACTTTCTTCTGGCCCCACTCGCCATAGACCTTCGCTTCTTCGCTAGCGGCCGCAACAAAGTGGCCCAAGTCGATGATATGTAAGCTCGTAGTAACTCATCATATAATCATCACATACTTGTATCATAAGACCCCCGTACCTACCATAATTGCCATATGTAATACTGTAATACAAGAGTATACGAGTGTCGGAAGGGAAATAGTGCTATTGGCCTCCAGGGAGCGGCCGATGTACCAGTCCAAAGGGTTGAACCTCGAAAAGGTTCTCCCCCTCTCTCCCCCTCTCTCGCACTTGCGACTTCATCCGATGGCGCCCTGGGAAGGCCTTCGGGCTCTCTGGGCATCTCTGGGGCATCTCTTCTGGGCATCCCGGCAGCATGACACCATGGCGGCACTGCCGAAGGCGGTTAAAGCCCTGCAGCACCACAAGGGAAAGGCGCCAAACTCAAAAGATGCATACCGGTAGTACAGGCCGATGAAAATGACCGGTGCCGGGGGGCTCCCGTTTCCCCAACCCCAAGCGTGACAGACCCAAGGGCCAATTCGCCCAAAAAACCCTTAATCCTCAACCCTGCGTCTCACTATCAACAGCCTTCAGTGGGCTTGTTGTTTTCGAATTGTCGGGCCGAAAAGCGATCCGCGAGCATGCATTTTGCTGGCATACGAGACAGTCGATGGCATCTGAGGCTAGGCCTTCTCCGGCCGAGGAAATGTCGAGCCCTCATCGATATACCTGGTCTTTGACAGAGCTTGGCTTGGACCGTCCAGCAATGTGAGTCAGGCAAGGCATGGCACAAGGTGTTGTCGCGATGGTTGCTACGACTGGTGCAATTTCGGCGATTTCGTCCAAGAGTCTGAGTAGTTTGGAAAATACACGCGAGAGATCGCCACGTCCCAGTGTCCCAGGAGCACTGTTACAAAGAGATGCCTTACCCGGCCATCTCAAGCTAACCCCGTGATGCATCCCGGTGACTCGCCAGTCCACGTCTAGTCCCAGCCTGTGGACTCTATGGGTTTGATCTCTCGGCACACGGACACAACGTCCAGCTGCTGGAGCATGAGCACCATCTTGATGCTGCTAATTGCTGCGATGTACATGTTAAAATAAGCACAAAACGTTTCGTGGCTGCTGAAGCCGTCCCATTGAGACCATCTGCCTGTTGCCAGGCTCAGCCGATACAGCACCCCTCGATGCCGAGCACAGCGTGAAGCGAACCACCGATGTCCCAGAACACATGGATCATGGATCACATGGTCAAAGCATCAGAGTGGTGTCTTTGTAGTCGCCCGGCGCCACCGCTTTCTTCTCACCGCTGGCATTCTTTATTGTCACCTGGGCCGCAGGCTGCGTTCAAGCCAAAGCCAGGCGCCCGGGGGGCACTCCCCAAGTCGAAGCCCCAAGTCGAAGCCCCAAGTCGAAGCCCCAAGTCGAAGCCCTAAGTCGAAGCCCTAAGTGTGAGCAAGGGCAGCTAGGAAGCCTCGCCGGCGAGGTTGACACCAGGGGAAAACCTCGCCGCGCTCTCAGGTCCAGTCAAGACATGCTCAGCTCAACTTCGCTAGCTTCCTCTGCACCCTTCACCTTCGCTCCCTGACAACTGTTCTCTGTTCACGGCAGCCCTGGCCCTCACGGGAGTATGGCTCTCTGTCTATGACACATCTCTGCATTCAGGCAGCACGACGGGACCCTCAATTGCCAGCTTCTTGCAGTCAATGAGGGAAGGGGGTCCGTTGGGAATCATCCCGTCCATCGCATCAACAAACCTCAATGGCAGGAATTCGAGGTCGAGTATCGACGGTTTGTATGATGCCGCAGCAAGTGCTGCGCAAGCGCTTGAAAGTGAACTTCTCCCTCCCTATAAACATAATTCCTTGTCTCTCTCTCCAATTCAAAGTTCTTCTCCCTGCCAATATCCTGTGAAGGGCTTCGTTTCCCGAGGCCAAGGTGCTTGTATGCGCCATCCTCAGCTTCCAGAAAGAAGCACTCCAGACGCAGAGCTCTTCGCAAAGCTTCCCCGTGAAGTGTTTCACGAAGTTCTACAATTTTACAACTGAATTTCGGTTCCAAGAGCTTTTCATGTCCAAGCATCTAGCTTCACGTTGGGAGGAACACCGTTCCTCTTCGGATCCAGCTCGATGCCTGGAAGGACTTCGGCGCACACACAAAAACCTTCGAATCCTTCGGACCCTCAACTCAAGACATGTCAGCGCTGCGGTAATCCGGTGTAAGCGTATACGCATCTGATCTGAGGGCCAGGAGGTCATTTGTCGTCTTCACCTCTCGAAACCGCGATGCTCAAGAGCCGCTCAAAGATCTCCCAACAAGCACCACTAGTGGAGGTTGCGAATTACGGTGCCTGATGCAGGGCACCATGGTAACATGACCTAACATGGCAGAGCCACCGGAGCAAAGCGCGAGCGTGGGATCACCACGGCAGTAGCACCCGGGAAGCAGGAGATTGCGGCGCCCATCGCGGTCTCCAGCTGAAGGACCTCGAGCGACAGGCTCTCAGGGCTGCACGGGCAGCTCTCTGCTGCCTCCCCTTTTCGCGTTCCTGCTTCGAATTTCCAATTGTGCCTTGTTTGGAGGCTGTTGAGATGCGTTCAGATACTGGGCTCTTCAGGGCTGATTGCAACTCAGCCGAGGCTTCACTGGTCCTGAACCCGAGTCGTCCGTGCTGCAAAAGGCCGAAGTCTAGCTTCATCCGCGGCGTCCGGCCTTCGTCGATTTCTTGTCACGGGGGTCCACGGTTTTGCCGTTCCTCGGCGGAGCTGAGAGCAAGTCTGCAACTCAGACAAGCGTGGCAACGCAAAATGGTCAGAGACTGTCGCATCACAAAAGCAGTGTCGAGAACTGTCCCTGACCAGGAAATCTGGCCTGGGCACTTCATGACCGGAAGCTGCAGAGCGCCCCCACTCTTTCGGAACTGGTCGGCAAGAGCCTCGAGATCCACCCAGAGGTTGTTGGTGTTGAAGAACCTCAAGAAGAAGGGGGAGCTGTTGGTGCGCGGTGGTTGAGACCCATGGCGAATCTAATTTGACTGTCAGCTTCTCATCTACTTGCAGATACTTGCAGTATCAAGCATTGACTTCAGGATCATTGTGGCAACCTTGGGCTTCGGTGGCTGCAAGTCGGGTTCTCGTTTCTGCTACATCGTTGTTCCTGACGCTTCAGCTCGATACTTACAGCTGGAGGGCGCTACAGAGTCTACTCCCGCCTGCAACACTTCCTGTCCTGCGGGTCTTGGCGCTGTGTTCAGACAGGCAGCTTGTACTTGGCAACATTCTGGAACTCCTGGATGGCACAACCATAGCCCCAACCCCTGCACCCATACCTACAGGAGTCCCTGGCAGTGTCCCCCCCTCGCCTTCTCGTCTTCCTCGGGGCACTGCGCCGTCTCCCTCAAGAGCAAGCCTCCAGTCCTCAGTTGCAAGGCACTCCAAGTGTCGGCCCTACGCCTTTCCGCTCCGAGGCGCTTGTTGTCCTTCGCAAGGTGCCCGCCCTTCTTGTCAGCATCCTGAGGTTGGGCGTGCCCATCATGCCTAGTGGCATATATCGGCACATATCGTCACATCATATATCGGCATTTACCGGCCTCTCGAGCAGCCCAAAGCACCCTTGAAGCTCATCGACGTGAAGACATGGAGCTAGCGGGCCCGAGCCGCCCTACACGCAGCAGAGGCGCCGTGCGGGTGGCCACCTCCATCATGAAAGGGGCCTTGGTGCTGGCGAAGTAGGTCAGGAGCTTCAAGTCCTTAGCAGCCGAGAAGCATGACCTCCATGTGTGCTCCTACTGTGATCAAGCTGCTGCTAAGGGCTAACAGGTCCTACTGTACCAAGGCGACAACTCATTGCACTGAGTCCCGATCCAAGGTCGCTCCAAGGTTGTCCGAGTTGGAAACCTGGGATCAACGTGAACTCAACCGCCAGAAAGCAAGCGTCGCAATGAGGGAACCTCGCCATGCCCCCCTCTTTCCGATCCCAACCACACTCAACCCGACTGCCAAGCAGCAAACATGTACTTGATGCCTTGCATGAGGAGCTTGTCCAGTGTTCCACTGCCCACCATGGCTGGGTAGAGGTCGCCGTGTCCGGGAGGACACCACTCCTTATGAGAAAGACTACTGCTTGTAACAAAGAGAGATAGAGAACAGAGAAGCCCACACGGTCCTCGAATGCCCTCTTTGGCCTCTCTATGAACACGATAAGCACAAGGAGTTATGGCGCGCTGGCATGTGGCGCAGCTGCTGCCTGGGGTCGAGATCGGGGCTCGCTGCCCAGGTGGCTGGCTTCAGGTCCTCTGTGCGTCCGGGTGTCTTTGCTGGGCTTTTGAGCTCTTCGGGCTATCGTTGGGAGGATGGTCTTTTTATGGGAGATGGGAGCAGCCCCAAAATCCTCCTCGGTGACTTTGGGAGCCTTGTTCTGCACGAACTCCAGGTCGCTGCCTCGACACTGGACGCTGAAACTTCGAGCAGAGTTCCGAGAGCCCCGAGAAGCCCCGAAGAGCCCCAAAAGCGGCCTGTGCCCAAAGACGGATACTTGGCAAGAGCTTCCAAGGTGTCTGCGGAAGTGGAGAAGGAGTTCATCAGCATGAACTTCACCTCCGACAACACCAAAAGCGCGAGAGCAGCACAGACTGCGAGAGCACACTGTGTTGCAAAGAGCTGCAATATGAGCCAAGGAGCATTTGTGCCGAAGGTATCCTGGGAAGCAAGCCACCAGGAGAGCAGAGAAAAAGGATCCGCATTTTGTCCGGTTATTCGTTGTTTTTTTGCACTCCGTCTTCCTTCCATCTTCTCTATTAAGAGTATTGCTTGAATCTCAAGGCCTTCATGGACTCCACCTGCTGGGCAATGAGGTCCTGGCGCAGAACTCTGTTTTTTCAAAGAAAGAGCACCCCGTTGCTTTAGCCAGCTCTCTCTCGCTCTCTCTCGCTGTCTCAGCTCTCTTCAACTCTTTCAAAAACACTCTCGACTCTCACTTCAGCCAAAGTCTCCCAAGAAAAAATAGAAACGCGAAGCGTCCAGGAATGTGTGGCCCTGCTTCACCGGCAGCAAGGACTTCGCCTTTTCCAAGCCCATGCCAGTCCCGAGGCCGCCGTTCAGCTTCAGCACCACCGTGCGCCTCGAGATCACGTGAGTGAGGCAGGCAGCTCACACATGCTCACACTGCGCTCGCTGTCAGTCCATGACGCCCAATTTCTGAAACTTTTTGCAACCATCACCCATGTTTCTCATCATGCCTTGTCATGACAGGAAGGTTCGGGGCCTCAGTAAAGAGGAGTCCTCCTCAACATTCAAGGACTCGTAGGTGGGCAGCGTGTCCACGGGGCTGATGGAGCTTTCCGGAATCATCGTGTCTTGCCCGGACGTCAGGACAGAGAAGTTGTACTTGAAGGCAGCAATGGCCGCATCATTGAGGCCCTCCTTCTTCATCTTGGCCTCATAGAGAGGCCAGATGTCCTTCATCTTGGCATTTGGAGCCTCTCCAGCCGCTGTGGCTGGACCCGCTGCGGCTGGAGCCGCCGCAGCTGCACCCACTTTGCCCGCTGCACCCGCAGGGCGTGCTGGTCCTGCTGAACCAGCTGCGCCTGGGTAAGGTGCAGATGTCTTGGTGACGGTCACGGGAGTTGCCCGTGGTGCCGCTGCTTTGGCAGCCATGGCAGCCGCTTGTGCAGATGGCACAAGGGGCTGTGCAACTAGTGGCTGGGCCGCTTTCATGCTGGGGGCGACTCCCATGCTGGCAGGAGCGGCTTGCGGCGCCGCATAGAAAGCTCCTCCCGGCGGCGTCGGCACAGCGGCCACTCGCGCTGGCATCGCCGGCTGCGCTGCCGGCAAGGCCGTGGGCTGCGCGAACGGTGCCGGCGCGAACGGTGCCGGCGCGGGCGCTGCAGTCCCCGGGACAACCCCGTAGTGGGTAGTCAGCGTCCCATCAGGGTGCTTGATGTAATATTTCTGCATTGCGAAGTGCCCTGCAAAAACTTGAGCCGTTAACTGGTGCTGCCAATTGAGGAGTTGCGATTTGCTTGCATTTTGCATTGCATGCAGCCAGCAGAGGCAGTCGCTTGCGCATCGAGCCTCCAGTCCTTGGCCAGACAAGCCTGCAGGTCCTCGTCTTTGCTTTTGCATTCCGTTCCTTGAACGAATGCAAGCCAGTAGGGAGCAGGACAATCACGGGATGACCCTGTGCGGAGTTCACTGGCAGGTCAATCCCATGCAAATGCTATCAAAGCGGCATCTGAACGATCGGAAAAGAACAAAGAAACAAAACTCTTAAGAACAGGCGGATTTGGACGGCTGGGCTCAAGACGTAGCCGGCCGTAATCGTTTTGGAGGCATCGCCTGGAATCAAAGGACAAATCAACAGGACGAAATCATGGCAGCCACGGCGTTGCAACAAGCGTCAACGATGTTCAAGTAGTTGTGTTGCAGGTCTGCAGAAGGTTCGCAGGAGCCCAGAGCTGGGGGGTGGGGCTCAGGGTTGAATCCAGTGAGCTGATGCAAACCGAAGAAACCAAAAACAGACTACACAGGTACCAACGAAAGACTTGGGAAGCCAGCAAACACGAACGAGAGCATACAAGCGCCGAGGTTGATCGAATCAGTGCTTTGCACAGGCTCTTAAGGCAACTACCACCATCACACCGCAGGGGTTGAAAGGTTCCAGGGGTCATTTTCGCAACTTCTGCAGTTCTTCGGGCCAACCTTACAGGGCTTACAGCGATCAACTCGAGAAGGATTTGAGGCGTGGGCTCCAGGCTCCGGAAGCTCCCGTGGCAAAGAGCCCCACTCTTTGAACCTCCTATTGACAACAGCAGATTTGTCAGAGAAGTCTCACACTTAAGCATAAAGTTCGTGGTTTGTTGCCGCTGCGTCCTTCGTGCCCGGCAGCCAGCAAACTGAGAAGAAAGCAACTGGCCTGCCAGCAGCTTCACACTATGGCTGAGTTGATGGAGCATCTTTGCGCCAACGTATGTCTAACTCCCCTACAGCATGGCTTCTGTCGAAAGCCGGTGCAAGTTGCGGTCACGCTTTGACGCAGGCTGGAGTTTGGGACCCATTCTCCACAAACACTCCCCGAAAACCAGTCTCTCCGGTGAAAGCTCAAACCTTTTCTGAGTGCTTGGCCACGTTGGTCCATCTGTCCATTTGCAGCCCCATGGCAGAAAAGAGGCATGGACATGATATGACAGGATATGAAAGGTGAGGGCCTGGGATATGTGTTTGGGGGGTTGATAAGTTGATGTGCCTCGGCTGCCTTGATCCACGCTAAGCCTGCGGCGAAGCCTGTAAGCCGCACTGGCAAGTCAGGCTGTCTCAACATGTCTGAGAGAGAGATGCCAAGACCAACTTTGCACTTGTTGACTTGTGATTTTCCAGGCCTTTTCGGTCAAGCCAAATACTCTAAGCTTGCTTTTCTCTGCGACACGCCCTGATCCCTCAATCAAAGGGATGGAGGCGGTTCAGACAGAGTTAAACAAATTCGTGGGTGTGGACAGCGACTTGCGCACTCTACGCTTGGATGTCAGGGCTCAGGTTTGAAGGGACCTTCTGCAACGAGCTCAGCAAGAATGCCATAGGTCCCTGCCCACACCGTTCCCCGAGCCGCGTACGAGGAGGAAGCGACGGAACCCCAAAGCCCAAAATTTAAGACAGCCCGTGGCACCAGCTACCCGGTTTAGGGTGCAGGGCAAAACAGCCACAGGAACGACGGTGGCAGGCTGGCCAGATGACACATTAACGCTACCAAGCTGGCTCACGAAGGTGCGGCCGAGCGCACGGGAGACTGTTGAGCTCAACTGCTATGCTGTACAAAGTTGAAACCATGGATTAAGCTGTCTGCTGGCCGGCTTCAAGTTGAACCACCAAAACACGACAGTTGCCAAGCTGAAAGCACACTATGGCCTAGGATAATCAGTGGGAAGGAAATGACCTGGCGACAGCGGGGCCCATGCGAAATAAATTCACTGGGAGTCCTTGATGCTGATGACCAGATTTTCCTGTTGCTTGGCTCTGGTCCGACATCGTGAAGGCCCGGCCCATGAGCCCTATAGTCACACACGCGTAGCCCTTGTTTGCAGCTGGACTCAAAGCTCAGGCAATCAGTGGCCCTGGCCTATGCCGATTTAAAACCCCAAGCCCTACACCCGAAAGCCCTTTCCACACCCCCTCGAGTTTAGGGTTGCGGGCTTGGGCTTTCTAAATGGGGTTCAGGGTCTGTAGTCTAAAGGGTTCACGGGTTTTCTGTAGAGGGGGGCTCATGAGACGTGACGTCTGAGTGCCAGGCGTCTGTAGTCTCAGCGGCGCGGGTCGCGAACCTTTTCATGGCACCTTGCCGCTAAATCGGCAAGAGGTCGGCGACTGGCACACCTCGGAGATGGAATGTTGAAGTTTAGGTCATGCGTGAAGGCCAACTTTGTAGAACCTCCCAGATCCCACAAGGACTTCGGCCAGGGCCCCAAAACACACTTCAAGTCGCTGTGAGCGCCACCTCAGTCGCAGCTTTGCGCTCAGTCAAGCCGGCAGCGAGTACCCCCCGACCAGCCTGCACAGAGATCGTGGAATGACCATTAAACCCCTGATGACAATACTTGCGTTGAATCTGATTTTGAATGGACCGCTGGGAAGACAGACAGAACTCCAAATAGATCATCAGGAGTATGTTTCTCAAGTTCTATTCATAAATAAAAACAGCTCCCCAGGGCCACGGCATTAGTCGATGCGCTCGAAGCGCACCTGTTGCAACTGTCACATGCAACTCTGACCCGTATCAAGTTTCGCCCAACGAAGTCCGCAGCATCAGAACCGTCGTATGTCATATCCTCTTCGAATCGTACTTTGACTTGGTGGTGCTTCTCAGGGTGTAGGTCTTGCATGGTCTACACACAGTTTGCTGCGCTTACTATGCTAACCGAATTCGCCTCGGCTTCCGCCTGTGGTCGAGAGGGCCAGACCGGCCGTGGCACGTTGAAATCCGTGTAGTACCTTCGCAAGCCGAGTGAGAGAAAGTGAGGCACGGAAAGAATGAGAGACGGGAGAAATGAGAAGGCGGAAGAGCGAGGAGAGATCATGATCGAGCACTGCGTCACAAGGATGCAGAGAAACGCCATGGCCAGTCCAACCAGCCCGCACACCTGTGCTGTTTTTAAGTTTTCAGTCTTCTTAGACGGGAAAGCTGGGATCAGCTGCGCACAGGTTTGCCAAGGGCCCTGCTGAGAAATTCATCCAGGCAGTCGGGCGCTCCTCCGCCTCCTCCGGCTCCTCCGGCTCCTCCGTGTACAAGAGAAGCCTGGGCACCGACGCACCGACAGAAGTATGGATGGCATGGGACGTCCGTATAACCGGTCCGCTGAAACTCTGAGATTGGCCTGCACAGTACGACGATGCCCACAGCTGCAAGGCCTACTAACACCTGAAAAGTCGGCTGAGGGTGTCTTGTTTCAAACGTCAGCTCAAGTGCAGGGGGTTCGCCTTGTAGCCACTCGTCAAAATGCCCTTGCCCTTTGAGGCCTCTCCGATATGTGCTCTGAGAGAATGCAACGAAAAAAAGTCAACTTCGTATTCTCTGACTCGAGAGATCTGCGAAGCCCGGGGTAGGTTGCGCTGCCAGGACGTTCGTGACTGATGGCTGCTGTTCAGTGTGACAAACTCCCTGCATTCGTCATGGGCAAAATGCTCCGGGCTCGAAAGCCCCTTCGCTGGCATTTGCTCATGCTGATTCGAACACCTGATAGGGGCCACGAACCCTCGTGTCACGTACACGGCGAACAAAGATGCGGCGCACGACACGAGATCCGAAGTGAAGTGGCGCGTCCGTCTATCCGAGCCTATCCTTCTTTCTTTCTTGAATTTTCTTTTATTATGTTTTCTTTTCTTGTCTTTCTGCATGGGGGCGAACCTCCGGGGGCCCGCGCCCGCCCCTGTATTCGGGGCCGCTCCTTGTGCTCTCTCTCTCTCTCTTCTTCTTCTTCTTCTTCTTCTTCTTCTTCTTCTTCTTCTTCTTCTTCTTCTTCTTCTTCTTCTTCTTCTTCTTCTTCTTCTTCTTCTTCTACCCAGCGAAGGTGCTCTTTCTTTCTTTCTTTCTTGGGGGCGTGGGGGCGAACCCCCTGGCTATGCGCCTGCCCCGGTATTCGGGGATCCCCGGTTTGGCTCGCGGGGATGGGTTCGGGCCTGGCGCTTGTCTTTCCCCAGTCCTTAAAGGTCCTTAGTACACCCGCCCCCAACTAGGCCCCGCGCCATGCCCTTCCATTTCCCCCAGTCAGCTGGCCTGCTCTACCTTTCCCTCCTATCGGGCTTTTTTTGTGACTTCCCCGCTGGACAACACGGCTCATCAAGCTCTCTCTCTCTCTCTCTCTCTCCCTCTCTCTCATCTCCCTCTCTCTCAAAGGCTGCCCCCGAAGGGCGTGCTCAACCCGATCTGTCCGTGTGCGAATCCAAGTTTAGCACTTTTTCACGATCTGCTGGAACGCTCTTTCTTGAACCTCTTAGGACCGCTGCGTGTGCTACACCCCGTTGGGGCCAACGCCGGCTGCCGACGCCCTGCGCTAGTACTTGGCACCCTGGAAACTTGCCGCTGAAGAGTGAAATGTGCATGCTGGAAGGTTCTTTGGCCCTGGCGCCCTCAAACAAAACAACTCGACTCTGCCCTGTTTGTGTTTGGGCTTCTGGAAGACATCAGCAGAATGCCGGAGCTTGGAAACCCGCAAGAAATCAGGGATCACACTTCGATCAATACTTCGTTCCAACTGCATACGCTTGTTCAGCTACTGACGCAGGAGCTGGGGCCAGCCTGCAAGGCCAGGAGAAGGCCCCGCAGCTCTCGAACCTTGTTCATTCTGGAAGGGGTCACGCATCTTGATGGTGTGCAAAAATGCGCTTCCCGTTGCTGCCTCAATGTTGAGGTCCACGACGGCCTCAGACGGTGAGGTCATAGAGTCATCACTGTTCCCCGAAGGCACAGCAATGCCACGCATACACCAGAATGTTTGCGTTCTTCCGCGTAGAGCATGTTTTTGAGCGTTGATAAAAGGGTTTAGAGTAGTGTCATGACCCCGGCCACAAAGCAGACAAAACCATAGCACGCGGAAGTTTGCAAACGTTCCATTACGAAGCGCGCGCATCCTTCTTCTTGTGCCCGGGTGCGTTTCAGCGACATCATTGAAATAAACGCCATAAGGGTCATACGTCGGAACAAAACACACAAGTTGCAAGGGCGAGGAGCCCTTCACGGTTCCCTGTCCACCCTGCAGCGTGCCTGCTCCACGAAGTCAACACGGCCCTCCGGTCAGGACACATTGCACATGCAGGGAGCTGGAGAACATGTGTCTTTGTTCCTCTGCCGCCACACCTGCCTCCACACCATGCCAGTTTGTGACCGCCTCACACGCCACATGTTCATCTATCGCTGTCACCTTGCACATGCATGCAAGACTATTCGGAGCTATCCAAGCGAAATGGCCTCCTTTGCCTGGGCCGATGTCTGCAAGGCTCCCAAGTCTTGCTGAGACGCTTTCCTGAGCCGTGTCATCTTCGGGTGTTTCCGGAATGCTTCGAGGACTTGAACAAGCATGCAAATGCAGGGCAAGACTCGTTCTTGGCTCGGCAGCAGGGGTCTTGGCCGATGTTTCAGCCATCTCGTCCAAAGCACGCGCTTGCGGGCTTCTCGGCTCCTGTTTCAGGGTCCGAGCAAGCAGCACTTGCAAGCTAAAGCTTCATGAGCCGAGCGCCTGCTCTTCTGGACGAAGTCGTGTCGCTCTGTTCTCCAAACTCTCGGCGCCACTCCTGACTCACAGACACTGGTCTTCTCAGGCCATTTCAGGCCCGTTGCAAACAAGACAGCTACGGTACTTGTACATCTTGTACTCTGTCCAGACGTGCAAGCAAGGCTCGCTGCCGCCAGCGCCGCTGCATCCTCGTCGATTTTTTCGCCGATTTTTGGTTGGTTTCCCTCGGAGAAAGGAGTCGTGGCGATCGGCTGAAGTTCCTCTGCCGCCACGGCTGTCGCAACCCCATGCCAGTTAGTGACTGCTTCACACGCCACATGTCCAACTATCGCTGTCACCTGGCGCATGCAAGACTATGTGGAAACATGCAAGCGAAATGGCCTCCGCCCGGGCCGATGTCTGCAAGGCTCCCAAGTCTTGCTGAGACGCTTTCCTGAGCCGTGTCATCTTCGGGTGTTTCCGGAATGCTTCGAGGACTTGAACAAGCATGCAAATGCAGGGCAAGACTCGTTCTTGGCTCGGCAGCAGGGGTCTTGGCCGATGTTTCAGCCATCTCGTCCAAAGCACGCGCTTCTTCTCCTTGCGGGCTTCTCGGCTCCTGTTTCAGGGTCCGAGCAAGCAGCACTTGCAAGCTAAAGCTTCATGAGCCGAGCGCCTGCTCTTCTGGACGAAGTCGTGTCGCTCTGTTCTCCAAACTCTCGGCGCCACTCCTGACTCACAGACACTGGTCTTCTCAGGCCATTTCAGGCCCGTTGCAAACAAGACAGCTACGGTACTTGTACATCTTGTACTCTGTCCAGACGTGCAAGCAAGGCTCGCTGCCGCCAGCGCCGCCGCATCCTCGTCGATTTTTTCGCCGATTTTTGGTTGGTTTCCCTCGGAGAAAGGAGTCGTGGCGATCGGCTGAAGTTCCTCTGCCGCCACGGCTGCCGCAACCCCATGCCAGTTAGTGACTGCTTCACACGCCACATGTCCAACTATCGCTGTCACCTTGCGCATCCAAGCGAAATGGCCTCCTTTGCCTGGGCCGATGTCTGCAAGGCTCCCAAGTCTTGCTGAGACGCTTTCCTGAGCTGTGTCATCTTCGGGTGTTTCCGGAATGCTTCGAGGACTTCAACAAACATGCATCTGCAGCGAAAGACTCGTTCTTGGCTCCGAAGGAGGGGTCTTGGCCGATGTTTCAGCCACCTCGTCCAAAGCAAGCGCTTCTTCTCCTTGCGGGCTTCTCGGCTCCTGTTTCAGGGTCCGAGCAAGCAGCACTTGCAAGCTGACGCTTCATGAGCCGAGCGCCTGCTTTTCTGGACGAAGTCGTGTCGCTCTGTTCTCCAAACTCTCGGCGCCACTCCTGACTCACAGACACTGGTCTTCTCAGGCCATTTCAGGCCCGTTGCAAACAAGACAGCTACGGTACTTGTACATCTTGTTGCAAGCAAGGCTCGCTGCCGCCAGCGCCGCTGCATCCTCGTCGATTTTTTCGCCGATTTTTGGTTGGTTTCCCTCGGAGAAAGGAGTCGTGGCGATCGGCTGAAGTTCCTCTGCCGCCACGGCTGCCGCAACCCCATGCCAGTTAGTGACTGCTTCACACGCCACATGTCCAACTATCGCTGTCACCTTGCGCATCCAAGCGAAATGGCCTCCTTTGCCTGGGCCGATGTCTGCAAGGCTCCCAAGTCTTGCTGAGACGCTTTCCTGAGCTGTGTCATCTTCGGGTGTTTCCGGAATGCTTCGAGGACTTCAACAAACATGCATCTGCAGCGAAAGACTCGTTCTTGGCTCCGAAGGAAGGGTCTTGGCCGATGTTTCAGCCACCTCGTCCAAAGCAAGCGCTTCTTCTCCTTGCGGGCTTCTCGGCTCCTGTTTCAGGGTCCGAGCAAGCAGCACTTGCAAGCTGACGCTTCATGAGCCGAGCGCCTGCTCTTCTGGACGAAGTCGTGCCGCTCTGTTCTCCAAACTCTCGGCGCCACTCCTGACTCACAGACACTGGTCTTCTCAGGCCATTTCAGGCCCGTTGCAAACAAGACAGCTACGGTACTTGTACATCTTGTACTCTGTCCAGACGTGCAAGCAAGGCTCGCTGCCGCCAGCGCCGCCGCATCCTCGTCGATTTTTTCGCCGATTTTTGGTTGGTTTCCCTCGGAGAAAGGAGTCGTGGCGATCGGCTGAAGTTCCTCTGCCGCCACGGCTGCCGCAACCCCATGCCAGTTAGTGACTGCTTCACACGCCACATGTCCAACTATCGCTGTCACCTTGCGCATCCAAGCGAAATGGCCTCCTTTGCCTGGGCCGATGTCTGCAAGGCTCCCAAGTCTTGCTGAGACGCTTTCCTGAGCCGTGTCATCTTCGGCTGTTTCCGGAATGCTTCGAGGACTTCAACAAACATGCATCTGCAGCGAAAGACTCGTTCTTGGCTCCGAAGGAGGGGTCTTGGCCGATGTTTCAGCCACCTCGTCCAAAGCAAGCGCTTCTTCTCCTTGCGGGCTTCTCGGCTCCTGTTTCAGGGTCCGAGCAAGCAGCACTTGCAAGCTGACGCTTCATGAGCCGAGCGCCTGCTTTTCTGGACGAAGTCGTGTCGCTCTGTTCTCCAAACTCTCGGCGCCACTCCTGACTCACAGACACTGGTCTTCTCAGGCCATTTCAGGCCCGTTGCAAACAAGACAGCTACGGTACTTGTACATCTTGTACTCTGTCCAGACGTGCAAGCAAGGCTCGCTGCCGCCAGCGCCGCCGCATCCTCGTCGATTTTTTCGCCGATTTTTGGTTGGTTTCCCTCGGAGAAAGGAGTCGTGGCGATCGGCTGAAGTTCCTCTGCCGCCACGGCTGCCGCAACCCCATGCCAGTTAGTGACTGCTTCACACGCCACATGTCCAACTATCGCTGTCACCTTGCGCATGCAAGACTATGTGGAAACATGCAAGCGAAATGGCCTCCGCCCGGGCCGATGTCTGCAAGGCTCCCAAGTCTTGCTGAGACGCTTTCCTGAGCCGTGTCATCTTCGGGTGTTTCCGGAATGCTTCGAGGACTTGAACAAGCATGCAAATGCAGGGCAAGACTCGTTCTTGGCTCGGCAGCAGGGGTCTTGGCCGATGTTTCAGCCATCTCGTCCAAAGCACGCGCTTCTTCTCCTTGCGGGCTTCTCGGCTCCTGTTTCAGGGTCCGAGCAAGCAGCACTTGCAAGCTAAAGCTTCATGAGCCGAGCGCCTGCTCTTCTGGACGAAGTCGTGTCGCTCTGTTCTCCAAACTCTCGGCGCCACTCCTGACTCACAGACACTGGTCTTCTCAGGCCATTTCAGGCCCGTTGCAAACAAGACAGCTACGGTACTTGTACATCTTGTTGCAAGCAAGGCTCGCTGCCGCCAGCGCCGCTGCATCCTCGTCGATTTTTTCGCCGATTTTTGGTTGGTTTCCCTCGGAGAAAGGAGTCGTGGCGATCGGCTGAAGTTCCTCTGCCGCCACGGCTGCCGCAACCCCATGCCAGTTAGTGACTGCTTCACACGCCACATGTCCAACTATCGCTGTCACCTTGCGCATCCAAGCGAAATGGCCTCCTTTGCCTGGGCCGATGTCTGCAAGGCTCCCAAGTCTTGCTGAGACGCTTTCCTGAGCTGTGTCATCTTCGGGTGTTTCCGGAATGCTTCGAGGACTTCAACAAACATGCATCTGCAGCGAAAGACTCGTTCTTGGCTCCGAAGGAGGGGTCTTGGCCGATGTTTCAGCCACCTCGTCCAAAGCAAGCGCTTCTTCTCCTTGCGGGCTTCTCGGCTCCTGTTTCAGGGTCCGAGCAAGCAGCACTTGCAAGCTGACGCTTCATGAGCCGAGCGCCTGCTTTTCTGGACGAAGTCGTGTCGCTCTGTTCTCCAAACTCTCGGCGCCACTCCTGACTCACAGACACTGGTCTTCTCAGGCCATTTCAGGCCCGTTGCAAACAAGACAGCTACGGTACTTGTACATCTTGTACTCTGTCCAGACGTGCAAGCAAGGCTCGCTGCCGCCAGCGCCGCCGCATCCTCGTCGATTTTTTCGCCGATTTTTGGTTGGTTTCCCTCGGAGAAAGGAGTCGTGGCGATCGGCTGAAGTTCCTCTGCCGCCACGGCTGCCGCAACCCCATGCCAGTTAGTGACTGCTTCACACGCCACATGTCCAACTATCGCTGTCACCTTGCGCATCCAAGCGAAATGGCCTCCTTTGCCTGGGCCGATGTCTGCAAGGCTCCCAAGTCTTGCTGAGACGCTTTCCTGAGCTGTGTCATCTTCGGGTGTTTCCGGAATGCTTCGAGGACTTCAACAAACATGCATCTGCAGCGAAAGACTCGTTCTTGGCTCCGAAGGAGGGGTCTTGGCCGATGTTTCAGCCACCTCGTCCAAAGCAAGCGCTTCTTCTCCTTGCGGGCTTCTCGGCTCCTGTTTCAGGGTCCGAGCAAGCAGCACTTGCAAGCTGACGCTTCATGAGCCGAGCGCCTGCTTTTCTGGACGAAGTCGTGTCGCTCTGTTCTCCAAACTCTCGGCGCCACTCCTGACTCACAGACACTGGTCTTCTCAGGCCATTTCAGGCCCGTTGCAAACAAGACAGCTACGGTACTTGTACATCTTGTACTCTGTCCAGACGTGCAAGCAAGGCTCGCTGCCGCCAGCGCCGCCGCATCCTCGTCGATTTTTTCGCCGATTTTTGGTTGGTTTCCCTCGGAGAAAGGAGTCGTGGCGATCGGCTGAAGTTCCTCTGCCGCCACGGCTGCCGCAACCCCATGCCAGTTAGTGACTGCTTCACACGCCACATGTCCAACTATCGCTGTCACCTTGCGCATGCAAGACTATGTGGAAACATGCAAGCGAAATGGCCTCCTTTGCCTGGGCCGATGTCTGCAAGGCTCCCAAGTCTTGCTGAGACGCTTTCCTGAGCCGTGTCATCTTCGGGTGTTTCCGGAATGCTTCGAGGACTTGAACAAGCATGCAAATGCAGGGCAAGACTCGTTCTTGGCTCCGAAGGAGGGGTCTTGGCCGATGTTTCAGCCATCTCGTCCAAAGCACGCGCTTGCGGGCTTCTCGGCTCCTGTTTCAGGGTCCGAGCAAGCAGCACTTGCAAGCTGACGCTTCATGAGCCGAGCGCCTGCTTTTCTGGACGAAGTCGTGTCGCTCTGTTCTCCAAACTCTCGGCGCCACTCCTGACTCACAGACACTGGTCTTCTCAGGCCATTTCAGGCCCGTTGCAAACAAGACAGCTACGGTACTTGTACATCTTGTACTCTGTCCAGACGTGCAAGCAAGGCTCGCTGCCGCCAGCGCCGCCGCATCCTCGTCGATTTTTTCGCCGATTTTTGGTTGGTTTCCCTCGGAGAAAGGAGTCGTGGCGATCGGCTGAAGTTCCTCTGCCGCCACGGCTGCCGCAACCCCATGCCAGTTAGTGACTGCTTCACACGCCACATGTCCAACTATCGCTGTCACCTTGCGCATGCAAGACTATGTGGAAACATGCAAGCGAAATGGCCTCCGCCCGGGCCGATGTCTGCAAGGCTCCCAAGTCTTGCTGAGACGCTTTCCTGAGCCGTGTCATCTTCGGGTGTTTCCGGAATGCTTCGAGGACTTGAACAAGCATGCAAATGCAGGGCAAGACTCGTTCTTGGCTCGGCAGCAGGGGTCTTGGCCGATGTTTCAGCCATCTCGTCCAAAGCACGCGCTTCTTCTCCTTGCGGGCTTCTCGGCTCCTGTTTCAGGGTCCGAGCAAGCAGCACTTGCAAGCTAAAGCTTCATGAGCCGAGCGCCTGCTCTTCTGGACGAAGTCGTGTCGCTCTGTTCTCCAAACTCTCGGCGCCACTCCTGACTCACAGACACTGGTCTTCTCAGGCCATTTCAGGCCCGTTGCAAACAAGACAGCTACGGTACTTGTACATCTTGTTGCAAGCAAGGCTCGCTGCCGCCAGCGCCGCTGCATCCTCGTCGATTTTTTCGCCGATTTTTGGTTGGTTTCCCTCGGAGAAAGGAGTCGTGGCGATCGGCTGAAGTTCCTCTGCCGCCACGGCTGCCGCAACCCCATGCCAGTTAGTGACTGCTTCACACGCCACATGTCCAACTATCGCTGTCACCTTGCGCATCCAAGCGAAATGGCCTCCTTTGCCTGGGCCGATGTCTGCAAGGCTCCCAAGTCTTGCTGAGACGCTTTCCTGAGCTGTGTCATCTTCGGGTGTTTCCGGAATGCTTCGAGGACTTCAACAAACATGCATCTGCAGCGAAAGACTCGTTCTTGGCTCCGAAGGAAGGGTCTTGGCCGATGTTTCAGCCACCTCGTCCAAAGCAAGCGCTTCTTCTCCTTGCGGGCTTCTCGGCTCCTGTTTCAGGGTCCGAGCAAGCAGCACTTGCAAGCTGACGCTTCATGAGCCGAGCGCCTGCTCTTCTGGACGAAGTCGTGTCGCTCTGTTCTCCAAACTCTCGGCGCCACTCCTGACTCACAGACACTGGTCTTCTCAGGCCATTTCAGGCCCGTTGCAAACAAGACAGCTACGGTACTTGTACATCTTGTACTCTGTCCAGACGTGCAAGCAAGGCTCGCTGCCGCCAGCGCCGCCGCATCCTCGTCGATTTTTTCGCCGATTTTTGGTTGGTTTCCCTCGGAGAAAGGAGTCGTGGCGATCGGCTGAAGTTCCTCTGCCGCCACGGCTGCCGCAACCCCATGCCAGTTAGTGACTGCTTCACACGCCACATGTCCAACTATCGCTGTCACCTTGCGCATGCAAGACTATGTGGAAACATGCAAGCGAAATGGCCTCCTTTGCCTGGGCCGATGTCTGCAAGGCTCCCAAGTCTTGCTGAGACGCTTTCCTGAGCCGTGTCATCTTCGGGTGTTTCCGGAATGCTTCGAGGACTTGAACAAGCATGCAAATGCAGGGCAAGACTCGTTCTTGGCTCGAAGGAGGGGTCTTGGCCGATGTTTCAGCCATCTCGTCCAAAGCACGCGCTTGCGGGCTTCTCGGCTCCTGTTTCAGGGTCCGAGCAAGCAGCACTTGCAAGCTGACGCTTCATGAGCCGAGCGCCTGCTTTTCTGGACGAAGTCGTGTCGCTCTGTTCTCCAAACTCTCGGCGCCACTCCTGACTCACAGACACTGGTCTTCTCAGGCCATTTCAGGCCCGTTGCAAACAAGACAGCTACGGTACTTGTACATCTTGTACTCTGTCCAGACGTGCAAGCAAGGCTCGCTGCCGCCAGCGCCGCCGCATCCTCGTCGATTTTTTCGCCGATTTTTGGTTGGTTTCCCTCGGAGAAAGGAGTCGTGGCGATCGGCTGAAGTTCCTCTGCCGCCACGGCTGCCGCAACCCCATGCCAGTTAGTGACTGCTTCACACGCCACATGTCCAACTATCGCTGTCACCTTGCGCATCCAAGCGAAATGGCCTCCTTTGCCTGGGCCGATGTCTGCAAGGCTCCCAAGTCTTGCTGAGACGCTTTCCTGAGCTGTGTCATCTTCGGGTGTTTCCGGAATGCTTCGAGGACTTCAACAAACATGCATCTGCAGCGAAATACTCGTTCTTGGCTCCGAAGGAGGGGTCTTGGCCGATGTTTCAGCCACCTCGTCCAAAGCAAGCGCTTCTTCTCCTTGCGGGCTTCTCGGCTCCTGTTTCAGGGTCCGAGCAAGCAGCACTTGCAAGCTGACGCTTCATGAGCCGAGCGCCTGCTTTTCTGGACGAAGTCGTGTCGCTCTGTTCTCCAAACTCTCGGCGCCACTCCTGACTCACAGACACTGGTCTTCTCAGGCCATTTCAGGCCCGTTGCAAACAAGACAGCTACGGTACTTGTACATCTTGTACTCTGTCCAGACGTGCAAGCAAGGCTCGCTGCCGCCAGCGCCGCCGCATCCTCGTCGATTTTTTCGCCGATTTTTGGTTGGTTTCCCTCGGAGAAAGGAGTCGTGGCGATCGGCTGAAGTTCCTCTGCCGCCACGGCTGCCGCAACCCCATGCCAGTTAGTGACTGCTTCACACGCCACATGTCCAACTATCGCTGTCACCTTGCGCATGCAAGACTATGTGGAAACATGCAAGCGAAATGGCCTCCGCCCGGGCCGATGTCTGCAAGGCTCCCAAGTCTTGCTGAGACGCTTTCCTGAGCCGTGTCATCTTCGGGTGTTTCCGGAATGCTTCGAGGACTTGAACCAACACGCAAATGCAGGGCAAGAGTCGTTCTTGGCTCGGCAGCAGGGGTCTTGGCCGATGCTTCAGCCACCTCGTGCAAACCATGCACTTTTCTTCTTCTTCTCCTTCTTCTTCTTCTTCTTCTTCTTCTTGCGGGCTTCTCGGCTCGTGTTTCAGGGTACGAGCAAGCAGCACTTGCAAGCTGAAGTTTCATGAGCCGAGCGCCTGCTCTTCAGGACGATCTCGTGTCGCAACGTTACTCCCCCTCGGCGGGGTGAAATTTGGATAACATTCGAAGCTCGCAGGCCTTCACATTCAGTCCCCGGCTCCACTTTCTGCAATTGTATTGCAAGCCTCGCCTCGGGCTGCCCGCACGATATGATGCTCGACCCCCGCCCCCGGGCCCTCTTCCTGATACTCAGCTCTCGGCTTCGAGCTCTGCTCGCAGCAGCATGCTCCTACCCTGAGTTCCCCCCCCTTTGCCAGTTTAAGGCAGAATCCCTGAAAGGGCCCCAAGCTCTCAAACAACACCTTCCACCCAAGTGGCCTGAGAAGCGCGAGGTCTACGCCAAAGAGCAGGAGTTGATCCAACAAAAGCTACGGGGGGGGCAAAAGAGCATTGGCTGGCAAGGCGTACCTGAAACTTTGAACTATGTATGTATGTATGTGTGTATGTATGTATGCATGCATGTATGTATGTATCATGTATGCATGTATGCATGTATGCATGTATGCATGTATGCATGTATGCATGTATGCATGTATGCATGTATGCATGTATGCATGTATGCATGTATGCATGTATGCATGTACGCATGTACGCATGTGTGCATGTATGCATGTATGCATGTATGTATATATGTATATGTATGTGTATGCATGTGTATGTATGTGTATGTAAATGTATGTATGTGCATGTTTGTATGTCTGTCCTCTGTATGTACGTATATATGTACTGTATATATGTATGTATGTTCGGGCCACTGGCTGGGTGGTTTAACAGTGGAACAGTGTAGGGTTAAAATTCTGGACTGGGCGCCGACAGAACGGAGGATTTCCTTTTGGGATCGCAACCCCGGTATTTGGGGTTCAAGGGTCACACGGCCGTAGTGACGTAGTGCAAGATGCTCGCACAGTTTTCAGATGGCTTGTATGTAGGCGTCAAGGCTTCGGAGTGCGCGTTTGTGTTTGTGTGTTTGTGTGCGTGCGAGAGTGTGTGTGTGTGTGTGTCCACCAACACCACCAACACCACCAACACCACCAACACCACCAACACCACCAACACCACCAACACCACCAACAACACCAACAACACCAACACCACCAACAACCAATAACCAACGACCAACAACCCGACCAACAACCCGACCACTAACCCGACCAACAACCCACCCGGGCATGTCTCCGTCGCCCTGGCGCCACTAGGGAGACCTGATGCAAAATCCTCTTGCGGGCGCGCAAAGATCGCACACAAGTGGCTACCAATCCAAGTCCAGGATCTGACGTCAACAGAGACTCCGAAAGTTTCAGAGATTGGGGTCTTGCTGGCAAACGCACAACTAGGTCGGCATACCAAGCTCCGGAAAGCTTTTTTGCCGGAGTGTAAGCTGTAGCATCATGTGCCGCCAAACCTGGCATTCACAAAGACAAACTCGGCGGGCATTGTTGTTGACAAATCTGACGAATCTGAGATCGGGGCTTCATGAGCAGGCCTTGCCACTGAGCAAGCCTGGATTCATGCCAACATGGGTTAGACACACCGCACACCACTACCACCACCACCACCAGCACCACCACCCCCCACCACCCACCACCCACCACCACCACCACCACCACCACCTCCACCGGACCCATCACCGCCACACTCCGCACTCCGCACTCCGCACTCCGCACTCCGCACCCCGCACCCCGCACCCCGCACCCCGCACTCAGCACAACGCACTCCGCACTCCGCACTCTGCACTCCGCACTCTGCACTCCGCACCCCGCACTCCGCACTCCGCACTCCGCACTCCGCACCCCGCACCCCGCCACCCCGCACCCGCACCACACCCCACACTCCACCACACACATCAACCAACACCTAACCCCCACCACACACCAACACCACCACCAGCCCCAAGGCACCACAAACCAGAGCTGCCTTTGCTCTGCTGTAGGAATTGGAAGGTTTTGGTCGCCAAATCCTGCCGGCACACTCCAACGGAAAACGAAAAGCAGGATGACAAAGCACATGAACGCCAGTCCTTGTTGGCATTCTTGTCCGGATGCCAGGTCCTCATCAGTTTCCTGCTTTCCTGAAGACCACGTTGCATCCCAATCGGTTGTAAAGCAAGGACATAGGTACAGGCGGAACCTGCCTTCGCCTGCTGAGCAGGGTCCAGTCTCGAGATCTGGACCATGCTGCAGTATGCCTCTCGCACGAAGAAGCATGCCAACACGTTTCATTGGAAGAGGGCCCCAGAAGTTCTCAGAAGCTGACTTCGAGCTTCGCCCTGCGAAGGAGTCCCTGGCTGGAGGGGCTTGCAAAGCTAAAAGGCAAGCAAGACAGCTTGCAGCCTTTTTGAAACCCCAGGTCGCTCCTCGGCAGCCATATCTTCTCGGACCCGCTCTGCATCCTTCCTCTTTACGCCGCACTTCGTGCACTCCTGGAGTTCGTATTTCAGGAATCTGTGGAGGAATCTGTGGAAGCGTCTGGGGTGGAAGGGGTTCGTGGTGGGAGGGTCTGAGCCTGTCGTTACAAATGGCTTCTGCTACGCCAACAAGAAGGCCGTGCTGACGGCAACTGAGGGAGAGCTCACACATGCGCAATGCACAGGACATGGCATCTTGTAAACATGCCAGTCCGCCTCCCCTAGCTCCTCTAGCTTCCAGCATCGAGCAGCGAAAACGTGGGGTAGAATGTCTCTGGCTAGTTCCTGTGGTCTCATGGCTGTGCGGGCCTCCTTGACGGCGCAGACAAGGAATTTGCACTTCGGGCCTCATGCCCGTGCAATGGCAAATGCACGTACTAGGAACAGGTGGTTGTGACTTCGGAGGGACGCTGTAGCAAGAACGCGGACTGGCGATGAAAGATGCGTTACACATCGGTATCGGTGTTATAGGGAAGTTGGAGGGGTCGACACCTGGCACTGTTGTAGGGAGGGATGTAGGCACGCTAGATCCTGGAGAGCTGCATGTCTTCGTCAGATTTTCATGGGCCACATGCACGTGATCAAGGTTTGGCAGCCCTATGGCGTGAACACAATAACAACAACAGACCGAAAAAGCTCACGCCAATGCACTCTCCGAACAGATACCGTTGACGCCTCAGAAGCATTCCAAAAGCACCCCGGGGTGCTCGCGATCTCTCCAAGAGCAAGCCAGGACTCAAGACCCCAAGAGCACTCCAAGGCCACTCCAAGATGCCCCGCAAGAATCAACGACAGTTCAGCAATGCTCTGCACTTCACGAGGATCATGCGCACCGCACCGTGGCGACAGCCCCATTTCAACATCGAGAAATGCGAACTGACTGGACGAACGAAGCGAGCCCCTTCCGACAGCCCTAAACGCAGCTAAGTACGCAGCCTCGAAAAGTGCGCGGGACCGGGGGAGCACGACTTCAAGTACGGAACGTGCAGCACGTGCTCCGCCAATCTATACCCCCTTACTCCTAAGTTTGGAACCCCCATTGTAGTGTTGGCACGCTGTCCGCGGATCCTCTCCGAATAATACATTATTGAAACACACACACACGCACACACGCACACACACACACACACACACACACACATCTCAGTCTGAAGCCCAAGCACATTCCTAAGCCATTTAACGCTACCCCGAGACGTTCCAAATCCAAGAAGTATAAATTCTTAAGAACCATTTCTCTGACAGTGAACTTGAACAGCCAAGCGGCAGTTCCAATCTCCTTCCGTACGCGCCTGCGCTGCTTCATGCTGTCTTTTCCAGTTGATTCCCTTTTGTTCGTTCGGATATGTTCAAATATTTTATGCCGGCTCATCATGGGAACCTCAGGGCCCCGGGCTTCGGGCCAGAGTTTTCTGGGGGTCTTTGAGAGTGTGACTGCAGCGGCATCTGCCTACACACTGCTCGCTATACTACAACTCAAGATTCGACAGGTCCGGAGTTTGGGCGCCAGAGCCCAGCAGTCTGGGAAGGCTTTGGGGTTTACTGCGGTGTGGAGACATCTCAACTCACCCCCCAAACGGTACAATTCACGCGTTTCGCACTGTTCACTTCGTTGTATCACAGGCCTCTGCCGCGCATGCAACTTCTGAGTTCGTTCGACGCAAGGCATGGCTAGCTCCAGGAGGCAATTATTGACCTAAGCCATTAGGTGATGAACATCCAGGCTCTGACGACTCCCTTGGTTCGGTTCTTGTCTGCCTTGTTTCCCTTGCCGTAGTGCGCCTTTTTCTTCTCCTCAGCAAAGATTTAGTTTAGACATTGAACAAAGGGCTTCGCGAGCTTAGGAGGTGTTGAGCATTGCTCGTCAGCTTGCAGCCTTTTGAAACCCCACTCCTCAGCGGCCAATATTATTTTCGTGCGTCCCAAAAGTCCTTACAAAATAATATTATGAAAGGCCCTCAGTATATTATTATTACTGTCTTCGTATTCTATCTACACGGGCGGTCACCTATCCTGTCATGTTGGCCGTATCTTGACGCCCGTAGAAACTACCTCCATTTCCAGGTCATTCATGCTGGTTTGGTCCTAAAGGTGGATTATGAACAAGACCCAGGAATTAGCTACAGTTTCTAGACTATTAAATGGGCTTACTAACCGGGGTCTTATTCATAGATCTAGCTTCGTTCATCACCTGTCATTCCCTTACCAATCTGGTCTAGAAACTATGTGGCTTGGAGAACCTTATCAATGGGGCGGTAATACTATAACTACTGCCTCATGATGGGTTATGTGGTGAAGAGAACTCACTTGGACCCGCTCTGCGTCCTTCCTCTTTGAGCCGCACTTCGTGTACTCCTGGAGTTCGTGTTTCAGGAATCTGTGGAAGTGTCTGGGGTGGCAGGGGTTCCTGGTGGGAGGGTCTGAGCCTGTCCTTACAACTGGCTTCTGGCACCTAACAATGTGCTTATGGCACCTGTGGGTGGGGAGCGCTACACCTATACGCAAGTTTCCACAGGACATGGCATCTTTGGCGCCCATCCAACTGTAAAACACAACGCTTCAAGCTCAGAGTCCCAAGGCTGCGGCAGCGATGTCGAAGTCCAACACTTCCTACCAGATGAACACATGCTGGACATCTACACCTCGCCGGGAAGCCTCTCCTGGGGCGACTCATCGTTTGATGCGCGTTGGATTAGTCCCAGCTCCCCTCCCCAAACGGCCAAGTTCCCCAGGTGTGTAACCTTTCTCGAAATCTCGAAAGCCCCGGCTTGGGAGTGCGATGGGTTTCGGGCCTTGACGGGTTTCGGGCCTTGGCAGCGGCAGCGCGGCAGCAGCAGCAGCAGGAGGAGGAGCAGGAGCAGCAGCAGCAGTAGCAGTAGTAGCGATAGCAGCACTCGCCTTCACAGGTTTGTCGGCCTGACAGCAATAAAACATGAGGCTGCGGGCTCTCGAGGTGCGGGGCTTAGTTTTGTTGCAGCCCTGCGCTGTTAGTTTTCGGGTTGTGTTTGAAGGTATCAGCAGGATGCCGGAGCTTGGAAGCCTGATCTGCTCAGATAACTCACGAACCGAACGTCCCATGAACCGAACCAGACCCCGCGCAAACCGCACCGGCCTCGTCCGCCGTGGTTTTTGTTTGATCGGAGGCCTCCAGTCACCGCTTCTCTGACGCCTACGTCTGTCAATCCAGATCGAAAAATTTACGGGGAACCTAGCGGGAATCAAGATGAGATGTGCGCGGAACGATGAAGTAACGTTGTCTCGTCTTGCGGAAGCTGAAATTCGAAGGTTTTCCGGCCCCGGGACTCTCCAAGCAATCTACACTCTTCGCTGTCGGCGCTTGGCCGCGGACGGTTTGCACGGCATCAGACATTGCCTGCAAGCACTGCTTTGCTCTGCCCTCCTGCTCACTCTTCTCCCATACTCTCTGCAGGCGCACGGACGCAAAAAAATGTTTGTGCTGAAAATATGTCAAAGCCGCAGCTCGGAAACTTACTAACTCGAACTCAGACCGATCCGGCTTGCTGGCACCTTCGCGAGCGCCTCAGGAATATGAATCTTCACTGGTAGTTCACCGGATTTTGGCACACACACACACACACACTTTTGCACAGAAGAAGAAGCTAGGGCACGTTAGGGTCATATGAGTCATATGAGAGAAGCCTAACGTAGCTAAATCTGAGTGAAGTTGAGGTATATCCTGCTTTTGGCAGCCTGAGTGGCGCTTGTAAGCCGTCTGCTGAGACCCGAGCCACGAGCTTCAACTCTGCCCCTGGGGATGCAGAGCAATATGGAGCACAAAGGGGCCCTCTCGTAAAGAGGAGCAAAATGGGAGTCAGAGAGTAGCGAGTCGTGTAGTGGAATGCTGTGTGCAGGGAAGCGAACAGGAAAGAGTCACAAGAGTGACTTAACGGCAGGCATCCAAGCGTGTGAAAACAATCGGGATGCCCGGCTGTCGAGCCCCTTTTGGATGGCGAGGACCATCTCCTCCATGGCGTGAGCCACATGAGACAGCTCCAGAGCCCAGGCCTCGGCAAGAAGCGGGCGAAGTATAGATCTCCCCTCAAAAGTTTCTTTGCTGGGGGTGCTTGTTTGGTGATGGGGTTGAAGGGCCAGGGAAAGGGAGATGGGGCCATAGAGGGCCCGGGCCATGAACTCCGGCACGGATTTGCAGGAGACCGTGAAGCTGTTGAAGAGCATGGCCATCCTCGCTCTGAGACATGCCAAAAGACGATGCGTCGAGCCCTGGACCCAACTCTGACTCAGCTCTCCAGTTCTCACGCAGATCTCTCACGCCAATTCCAGTTCAACTGGCTACTCGCCACGACTCGCCGGCTTCAGTAGGTGGGCAAGGTCCTATAGGAAGATTTGCTTGGGGGAAGTGGCCCTCCCACGGATACATCCAGTGCTGTTTTTCTTTGCAAGCCTCAAGGAGGAAGCCATGGCCACGTCTGACGCACTGATGCTGATGGTGCTTGCCACTTCTTCCGCTTCTTGCCGGTCCGCTGCCAGACCACTGAATTCAGCTGAGAAAACGAACCAACTGATGCTTGCAGATGCTCGGAAGCTTGCCAGTTCTATCTGCAGGACCACCGGCCGGAAAGAAAGACCACCGGTAGTTTCCCAGCTGCAGGGGCCCGCAGGCCGAAGATGTGCAAAAAAGCCATGAAGGCCACAATGTTTTCGGGAATCCCCCCGAGGGGACACCACCCGCCCGGAAAACAGCAATAGAGCCACACTGGCCATTTCTCAGTTCTGGGGCCCATGCGCCAAAGCTGCGCAAAAGCCCACAACTCCCCCTGCGGGGGACCCGCCAGAAAGAAAAAAAAAACGAGACACCGGCTAAGTTTTCTAACAGCTGCGGGGGGACATCATGATGCCCCAAGGAAGAGGTAAGGAGGAAGGAAGCGAAGAAAAGAGCAGAGCTCGGCTTCCGGAACTCAGGGAAGGGCGCCAGGATCTGCGAGGAGCTTGGAGAGAGCCGGGCCGCGGCAGCCACCATCAGGTACAGGCTGTCCTGCGTGTGCTCTGACTCCCCCCGTATCACGTCTCCCCCCCCCCTTCTTTCCTCTTCTTCTTCTTCTCCCCCACAGAAAGTCTCACACTTTGTGAAGTCTCTGAAAAGAAACTGAAAGAGCCTCTCTCGGCCTCGCTCAGCCTCTCTCAGCCTCGCTCAGCGCCAGTCCATCGAGATGCAGATGATGCTGTTCCAAAGCAGAACCTCGGAGATTCAGATTCACCCCCTAAAGTGCTCTTAGGCCTTGTGATAACAGCCCTTTTTTGTTCACTGTGAGTGTACAAAGGTGGAGCAGGAAGACGTACAACGAAGAGAAGGCTACAGCAACTACCGACTGCACAAACAAACTAGGCACGAAAACAAACAAAGTCTGACCCTCTGCAGCACCAGGTGACAATCGGGTACACCGTCCAGTCAAGCCCGCTCCTCAGTCTGCTTGAGATTTCCCACGGATCAAGAATGCCCCGGTGATCACAAAAACACACAACCAAAAAACACACACACACACAAACGCTGATTCTCTGACTGTAGCCCCCCACCCCTTGCCCTTCTGAGCTTCGGACAAAGCGAAGACGAGTGTCACGAGGATGCAATTGCCGAACAATGACAAGAAGAGGTTGAGGCTTGTAAAAGCAATAATGTATGCCCAGTCCTGAGCTCTGATATCCAAATTGGACGTATTCTGCGCTGCCGTTTATGTGTTGCTGACATGAAAGGCATCCTGAGCAATGCACGCTGTACAGCACCTCTGACATCTCCAGTTTCATGACTGTGCGCTCTGCAATCGCCTTCGACATGACCTCTCAGGGTGTGGACGCAGTGACTTGGAGTGAGTTGCACCGGCCCAGCGGCCCATCCTTGATGCCGGCGAGGGCGCAGGTCATCACCAGCATGAAATAGAATCCAACCTAAAACGGAAGCACCTCTGCAACTTTCGGTCCGGATGCGCCGTGGGTGCCAATGGGTGCCTGGTGGTTTCCAGCATCTTCTCCCTTCCCAATGCCGATGTACGCTGCGCCTCAGCAAGCGTTTGCAGGGTTTTCCTGCCTTCGGCGTCCGCTGCGCCGCTGCGCCGCTCCCCGAAACTCGAATCTCCGACGGGCCTACAACCAAAGCCTGCGCTATGGCCACCAAAATCTCGGTAAACAGGCCCTGCCTCGGCAGCCCATCAGAGCATTCAAACACTTAAATGGGAAATATCTGAATTGCAGAGGCTGAGCTCGTGGCTGATCCCGGAGGAGGAGGCGCACCTGCCGACACAAGACCCTCTGCATCCCTGTCTTCGTGCTTGGCCCTGGACACAACCTCGGACAAGATCTCCGGACCCGGCTTGTCGGTGAAGTGTGAGACGTGCATGCTCTGAGCTCCAACCGCTGCCGAACCGAGAGAGGGAGAGAGAGAGACGAGGAAAAAAAAAACACGCACCGCGACCTTGTGCACCGTGGTTTTCGCGCGATCGGAGGCCTCCAGTCACGGCTTCTCTGGCACGCTCTACTACTTGATCATGTTGCTGCGGATGTCAAAGGCAGGCAGGAGCTTGGAAATCTACTTCGTTATAGAATCCGAACTCACACCGATCCGGTTCGCTGGCACCTTCGCTGCCGGGACGGCGTTTGCCGCCGGCACAACGGGTGGTGCCGCAACGGCAGGCACCACTACCACGCTTGCCTCGAGAGAAGGCCGGCATTCATCGCAGAGCGCAGACTCAGCCGCCCACTGCTGCTGCCTGGTCCTCCGTGGCTTTCGTCACAGCGGCGTCCTTCTCATGTTCAGCTCAAGGTGTTTGCTGCGTTACTGGCACCTGGAAACAACCTCTGACAAGATCTACGGACCCGGCTTGTCGGTGAAGTGTGAGACGTGCATGCTGGGAGGTTCGGAGCTGGGAAGCCCGATCTGACTAGCTCGCTCCAACCGCTGCCACTGGATCAAAGTAGGTCATGAACGAACCGAGAGAGAGGGAGAGGGAGAGAGAGAGAGAGAGAGAGACGAGAGACGAGAGACGAGAGACGAGAGACGAGAGACGAGAGACGAGAGACGAGAGAGGAGAGACGAGAGACGAGAGACGAGGAAAAAAAAAAACACGCACCGCGACCTTGTGCACCGTGGTTTTCGCGCGATCGGAGGCCTCCAGTCACGGCTTCTCTGGCACGCTCTACTACTTGATCATGTTGCTGCGGATGTCAAAGGCAGGCAGGAGCTTGGAAATCTACTTCGTTATAGAATCCGAACTCACACCGATCCGGTTCGCTGGCACCTTCGCTGCCGGGACGGCGTTTGCCGCCGGCACAACGGGTGGTGCCGCAACGGCAGGCACCACTACCACGCTTGCCTCGAGAGAAGGCCGGCATTCATCGCAGAGCGCAGACTCAGCCGCCCACTGCTGCTGCCTGGTCCTCCGTGGCTTTCGTCACAGCGGCGTCCTTCTCATGTTCAGCTCAAGGTGTTTGCTGCGTTACTGGCACCTGGAAACAACCTCTGACAAGATCTACGGACCCGGCTTGTCGGTGAAGTGTGAGACGTGCATGCTGGGAGGTTCGGAGCTGGGAAGCCCGATCTGACTAGCTCGCTCCAACCGCTGCCACTGGATCAAAGTAGGTCATGAACGAACCGAGAGAGAGGGAGAGGGAGAGAGAGAGAGAGAGAGAGACGAGAGACGAGAGACGAGAGACGAGAGACGAGAGACGAGAGACGAGAGACGAGAGAGGAGAGACGAGAGACGAGAGACGAGGAAAAAAAAAAACACGCACCGCGACCTTGTGCACCGTGGTTTTCGCGCGATCGGAGGCCTCCAGTCACGGCTTCTCTGGCACGCTCTACTACTTGATCATGTTGCTGCGGATGTCAAAGGCAGGCAGGAGCTTGGAAATCTACTTCGTTATAGAATCCGAACTCACACCGATCCGGTTCGCTGGCACCTTCGCTGCCGGGACGGCGTTTGCCGCCGGCACAACGGGTGGTGCCGCAACGGCAGGCACCACTACCATGCTTGCCTCGAGAGAAGGCCGGCATTCATCGCAGAGCGCAGACTCAGCCGCCCACTGCTGCTGCCTGGTCCTCCGTGGCTTTCGTCACAGCGGCGTCCTTCTCATGTTCAGCTCAAGGTGTTTGCTGCGTTACTGGCACCTGGAAACAACCTCTGACAAGATCTACAGACCCGGCTTGTCGGTGAAGTGTGAGACGTGCATGCTGGGAGGTTCGGAGCTGGGAAGCCCGATCTGACTAGCTCGCTCCAACCGCTGCCACTGGATCAAAGTAGGTCATGAACGAACCGAGAGAGAGGAGAGAGGAGAGAGAGAGAGAGAGAGAGACGAGAGACGAGAGACGAGAGACGAGAGACGAGAGACGAGAGACGAGAGACGAGAGACGAGAGACGAGAGACGAGAGACGAGAGACGAGAGACGAGAGACGAGAGACGAGAGACGAGAGACGAGAGACGAGAGACGAGAGACGAGAGACGAGAAAAAAAAACACGCACCGCGACCTTGTGCACCGTGGTTTTCGTACGATCGGAGGCCTCCAGTCACGGCTTCTCTGGCACGCTCTGGCTAAAACTGCCCAATCCAGATCGAATCCACTAGTAACCTAGCCGGTTTGCTATGGCCTTTTGAACGAGATGTGTGCGGAAATTCTGGCCCCGGGTCTCTCCAAAAATCCACCCCACCGCTTGGCGTCGGACACTTTGCGCAGCATCAAACATTGTCACGTCCTGCGGAAGCTGAAGCTCGAAGGTTTTCCGGCCCCGGGACTCTCCAAGAAATCCACACTCTTCGCGGTCGGCGCTTGGCCGCGGACGGCTTGTGCGGCATCAGGAAAAGTAGCCTGCGCAGAAAAAGTTCTCCGTCCGGAGAACAGCTGTTGGGACTTTCGGTTTCGTGTCTGTTCTTTGAGTTTAACCTGAATTCCTAAATCCTGACCTAACCCCCCAGTCTACGCAAAAGCCGATATCCAAAAAGCCTTAAACTCGGGCTGAGTGTTGACAATTGAGGGCTGTAGAGCCGGGCCGCCAAGTGGGTGCTGGGCAATCGTTTTGAAGAATCGCCTCCCGCTTGGCTCCCCAAACTTGAATCCGGACGCAGACCAGCTTACACCCAAGCCCCTCAACCCCATAAACCGCATCCTAAACCATGGAGGTGGGTTCAAAAGGGGGCTCGCGCCTTCACCCACCACCTGAACCACCACTCATCACCCTGCCACGCGCTAGGAGGTTGGCATGGGGGTTGGCATGGTGGGGAGGGTCATTCAATTGTTCCATCACCCATCCTGACAGAGAATGGCATGACCGCTCTATATATATTTATTTATTTTTATTTATTTATATATCGAAACAGGCCCGAGTCTCCTGGTAGTCGGCCATGGTTAGGCTTGAGGCTTTCGGGTTTAGGGTTTAGGGCTTAGGATTCAGGGTTGTAGGGTTCAGGGTTCAGGGTTCAGGGTTCAGGGTTCAGGGACAGGGTTTAGGGTTTAGGGTTTAGGGTTGAGTGAGGGTTGAGGGTTTAGGGTTTAGGGTGTAGGGTTTAGGGTTTAGGGTGTGGGGGGGGTTGGGGGTTAGGGGCGGTGTGTCCGGGTGAGGCTTTGGGCGAACAACAAGCACGACAGGGGGGGTAGGGGGTAGGGTATCACAATCAACAACTTATTGACATGTCTCAAGGCTCGGTGTCTTCGGGTTTCAGACTCAGGCTTGAGGGATTGTGCTGGCGTTGTGCTGTGGTGCTCTGACGACGTGCATGGGTGCTTGCTGCATGCTGCATGCTGTAGCGGCTCAAGTTTCTTTCGGAGCCAAGAAACACGCACGTTCCGATACGAGTGGCTGTATCAAAAAGAAAGAACCTTTTGTCATGTGCTATTGGTGTTAATGCACAAATCCATAATAGAGGATGGACCACCGGACAGACGATGAGCCACTACGACAACCGTGAACTCTACAAAACCTGTGACCAGGTGAGAGTCCTTCTGCCGAAGACAGTACATCGAAAAAGAAAGAGGCCTCAAGAACAACAGACATTATGAAGCTCACAGAAGTTGACATTTCCGTCATGAGCGTGCAGAGAACAGAGGAGGCGCTGAAACTTCAGGCACGATGCCGAGAGCACGGAATCAACTTGGTTCCGGGAAGAAAGAAAAGAGGTCGCACTGCACCTGTCGAAGTGTTGGAACGAAGCCAATGCTTTGACCGAGGACGAGGAGCCACACACAGTCTCAATCGACATGTGCAGAAGATCGCATAGATTGAGCACAACTTGAGCTGACAGTATTCCCATGTCCATGGCAGCCGACCGTGCGATTCAGCTACGCGCATGCTGCAAAGATTCAAGTTATCAATGAACAAAGAGTCATGATGTATTTGTATGATCCTGCTAAGCCTGCTCCTCGCAGCAACACAGCAACAGCGTGAGGTAGGTGAATTTCTGCAGGCGCTGGCTCATACGTATTCAAGCATATACAGGCAATAGAGCCGTCAGGCTCGCGGGCCCACCCTGCCATGCGCAGCTGGCGCTCATCGGCATCCGGTCTCGCCACCACCCGAAAAGCAGGGGCAGAGGGTGGCCTGTGACAAAGTCAGGCGGCTTGGGCTGCCAACTGTTTCCACCACACTGTAAGCCCTACAGTGTCTTGCATTTCCTACATATCTTGCAGTCTGAAGAAGCCTCCAGGACAGCCGTGGCGATCGCCGTGAAAAACTCCGACGGCACGTCGACGAGTCGAGTCAGGGTACTCCAAAGCGCGGGGGTGTTCAGGGACATATTCTGGGACGTTCAGGATTCCACAGGGTTTGAGGGTTTTAAGAGAAATGCGTCCTGCCCAGCAATGCCGCCTAAGTCCCCTTTAAGTCCTCATTATCTCATGACCTCACCATCGGACCCAAGTGACCAACTAGTGACCCGGTGACACAGCCTCTCCCCGAAAAGAACATGACTGCGTGTCACTACCTTTAAGGCAACCAAGGCTAGTGGCTGTCTGCAAGCGGCTGGCGTTCCAGACTATGGTTTTTCTGGGTATGGACAGCGTGTACAGTTGTCCTCATACATTATGAACGTCTGTACACAGAGCCCATCTGATATTGCCAGAAATTTCATTCTCTCTAAACGGCATCATGAATTCCGCCGCCACATCGAAGCAAAGAACAACCGCAAAGAGACAACACAAAAAATGCCAGGCCATCGACGCTTATAGCCTGAGCAACCCATCTCCAAAGCTGCAATTCCTAACTTTGGAAGTTCTGCAGCGCTGGCAAGACTGCGTCACCTGATTTGCCTTCTGGATGGAAGATCTCCCATGTCTGCAACGATTGTCCTGCCTGTTGCGTGAATCCCTGCTTTGGTCTCTAAAGGGGCCGAGACCGGGCCTGCACAGTCCAGCAGATATTGGCAGAGACTCGTGGGACGTCACGCAGCCTGGTCGCATGTCGCTGCACTGAGGAGGTGTGCAACATGGTGCAACCGGAGCTTTGCAGGGTTCAAAGGTCGCCTCTTGTAGAGGACAATGCGGGGATCGAACCCGCAGCGCCAGAGCGTAAGCAATAAGAAAATCGTGCACTTGTGATCAAACGGACGCAGCAGAGCCGCGGGGCCCGAGCTTTGCAACGGCCCTCTGAGGCTGCAGCAAGATGACTGAGGCTCTGTTCGACCATCAGGTCTCACTTTGTTGCTGGTCGTTCCCTGGCGGGCGCTGATGCTTCCGGAAAATTGGACACAGTCCGGCTTGATGATGTGCGACCCCACAAAAAAAACAAGCGGACAGCTCAAACCAAGCTTCCTATCCCCTACCGTAAGCCTGGGCCACCAGCGCCAAGCAAGTGCCTGCCGCCATCCGCTGTGTGTGTGTGTGCTCGGACGTCGGCTAGCTGGGGCCCCCCAATCCCCAAGATCCCGATCCTTGCTGGATTCGACAGACTCCGGCCACCAGGCATCACGCCGCCGGCGCCTGACTCACAGACTTTGGCATGTTTAGGCCCGTTGCAAAAGTCGGCTACAGCAGTGACCACGGCAGACTGTGGAGAAGCTGATCCTCGGCAATTCTCAAGCTCCGTCTTGAAATCAACAGGAGCAACCAAACAAAAACACGCGAAACCCTAAACCCTACATGAGCACTCGTCTGGGTGTGAGTCAACCCTAGGCTCGCCTTCAAATTCTAGTAGTTTGAGGTCCGGGTTGCGGTGTGGTGCTCGATAAGCCGTTCTTTCTGGGCGATGAGGGGTGAAGGTTGATAAGGTTGGGGAGCATGGGACGGAGGGTTTGTGGTTTTAGGCCTTGAGCTTTCCTGAATGTTGAGCCCGTGACCGCAGACGAACTCACCGGAACCATTCGCTCAACGCTCTCAGCCCCCTAAAGCTTGCACTTTACACACCGAAGCCTAAACGCGGCGCACTCCGAGCACAATAAGCACCCGTCATCACCTGGATCCTCGCACTTTTTCCGGAGGTGCGAGCAAGGCTGTCCTGGCAGTGCTGCAACCTCTCGCTGAAGTTCTGAAGTTCCTCTGCTGCCACATCTTCCCCCATCACTCCATTCCATGCTGGCCTGCCTCACACGCCAAACGCTCATCGTCTCACTGTCACGTTGCAAGAACCATCGAGCCGAAGCCCGAAAGGCTCCCAAGTCAGGAGAACTGCAGGCAATGACAAGGACTATGCTTTCCGAGAGCAATCAAGCAAAATCAGCGAGAACGCCCGCCAATCTTTGCGTGGTTGCTCTCGGACAGCGTAGTTCTTGTCATTGCCCATGCCAGTTTGTGATCGCCCCATGCGCCACATGTTCGTCGCACATGCATTCAAGACTCATCGGAAGCATCCAAGCGATACATGAAATTGGCCTCCAATTCCCGGGAAATGCCTCCAAGGCTCCCAGATCCCGCTTTCCTGAGCTGTGGCACCTTCGAGTTTTTCCGGACTGTTTCAAGGACTTGAACCGGCAGGCAAATGCAGAAAAAGACTCATTTGCGGCTCGGAAGGAGATGTTCCAGCCTCGTCGTCGAATGTTTGCACATCTCCTTGCTGCTTCAAAGTCCGATCAAGAGCCGCACGGCAAGCTGAAGTTTCATGAGCCAGGAACCCCTTGCGCAATGGCGGCGATCCAAATGCCAAAGTCTGTGCGTCAAGAGCGGGCCAGAAAGCTTAGACTCCAAACTGCCGGGCCCACTCCTGACTCACAGACTCTGGTATTTTCAGGCAAGCCGGCTGCAGTCTTGTTTTGGGGGGTGCGAGCAACGCGCAGTGCTACCAGGGCAGGCAAGCTCTTGCTGCGGTTGCGCTCCGACTAAGGGGTCGCCGCTGCATCCTATGCGAGGCAGCTGCAGACGACTCTTTTTATTGGAGGACGGCAGATTTTATCCCCTCGAGCAAAATGCGACAGCAGAAAGTCGACCAGATGCAAAAAGGTCACTCTACCAACATGGGCAACACAAGAATTCGAGCACTGCAGCAAAAGTTGCAGCGCTGCAACAACTGCTGCTTCTTGCAACAAGCTGGGAATCGTCAAGGCTAAAGAGCGCAGGGGTGTTCTGAAATGTTCTGGGACTTCAAGAGGATAGCAGGGTCTGACCGGCGTCCTGCTCAGCAATGCCGCCAGCCTTCGCCTCAGCCAGAACCTGAAGGCAGGCCAACGCAAATCCCCTCTTCATCATGACCTCACCGTAAACCACCGGATCGCTTGAAATGCGGTGGCGGAGATGAGAGTAGTGTTTGAGTCCGGAGTTGTCAACTACCACGCCAGACGGCATAGCAAGCCTAAAGCCAAATCCATGAAAACCTTTGAACGCCCTCAAGGTGCATCTCACACCGCGCTTTTCTTGTTTTCCGATCCACAAGCCCAAAGCCGGCCCGATTTCGGGACATCGCCTCGTCAGCGAACAGAAGAAAATCTCGGGTTTGGGGTATTTGAGAACCACATTGGCTTCCAGGCGTCACACCCTGTTGGGAGGATTGAGGACAAGCCGCGGCAACTGGCTCTATGTACAGGTTGCAGACCGGAAGCCTGTTTCAGGCTCCAGGTCTGCGATGTTCTACGGACCACCTTGGGTGGTGCCTACGTGTGCTTCCGCCGATTCTCAATGCCGCGCAGAGCTTCTGCGCGCGTGTCTCGGCGCCGAGACAGGCCTGCAAACGAGGGCATCGGCCGCAATCCCGGAAGTGCTAGCAAGTACTTAAAGTACTTAGTACTTCGCAATACTGAATCTGCATCAGCGGCTATGCAAGGTGCTCGGCATGTGCTCGCACGGCCTCGCAGGCTTCTGAAGCCTATTCTGCGGGAAGGCTTCCACCACACCTGCTGAGGCTGAAGATGTTGAAATGGGATTGCAAGTTGAACGCTATCGAAAGTACCTTTGGAAGGCACTGCAAGATCGTTGCCGCTTTGATCGCACAGCTTTGCACCTCCATACCTGCACGCGGAAGCTGAGGCAGGCCTGCAACCAGGAAACCAGCGTCAGCCCAACATAAGCCAACGTTTCCAGCTCTTTCGTTTTCCAATGTCGCTTCATGCTTCCCATGTTTGTAAGGAGAGCTCTGTCGAAACGCCTGGGTTTCGCAGTGCCGGCGGGCGCGACTGGCACACCTGGCCATGGAGAGAGGGAGAGAGCTCCGGACGTTTGCTACGTGCGCTCTCTGCACCTCTGCATGGCCGGCCCAAGGGCATCGCTGAAGATGGCCTGTCTTCTTTGCTCTGCAGTGCTCTGCAGTGCTCTGCAGTGCTCTGCAATGCTCTGCAATGCACATCCAAGAGCGCTTGCACCTTACGCGACTCGTTGCACCACGCTCTCCCGGACGAACACCAGCGCAACCTGCTGCACATGGCCGCTTAGGGTCTCAGATGTCTCAGCGCTGCTTTCGCTGCAAAGCCATCCGACTGAAATCCGACTGAAGGACAGCCTTGATGGAGCCGGGCCGAAGGAACCGCACTTGGCCTTGGCAGGTGCGGTCTGCGGTCTTCGGTGAACGTGCCCAGGGCCCAAACAGCCGCACTGCCCCTGCAAGCTTCGCACCGATTCGTAACACCCACTGCCTGCCGCTCTCCATGCACCTCTTCCATCCGCCGTTGCTCCAGCCTCTTCATTGCAGAGTCTGCAATTGCTGCAACACTCCCCGACATACTCGAAGCTGAGGAATGGAGACCTCCTTTACCATCTGGGCTCCATGCAGCCTGATTGAGGAGGCGTTGGCGCTCTTCGGCCGAGGCCTCCGAGGTTCTTTCAACGAATGCAGGTGAAGAAGACCCCCAAACAGACCAAACATTTCCAGAAAAGCTAGGAGAAGTAGGGACAGCGAGGAACACGGCATTGGACCCAATTGTTGCGGCAGGTCCGCTCTTCACGGTGCAAGCGTCGGCGGGAATAAAACCACAAGACCGCAAGAAGCGACCCCGTCGCTTTTGTGACGCCGAGCGGCTTCGGCGCATGTGCACAGGACTGAGGCGAAGAACGTCGGCGACTGACTAGATTCGACAACCGTGCAACGCACGGCTCGATTCGGACCAGAACTGACCCAGAATGCATGGCGTATGCAGATCAGAGCGTAACTGGCTTCGCGCTGCTCGTGCACTATTTGTTCCCAACGTATCCCAACGTAAGAACCCGATGCCCGAGCATGTGCGCTGTTGGGGGAATGAGCTGCCAAGGACGAAGATGCAGAAACAATGGCAGGAAAGGAGAGCTTGCAAACTGGGGGCCTGCGTGGCTCGGGGAAGCGGCGCTCGCTCCTCCCCTCGCACCTTCAAAAAGGGACATCTAGGTCTAGGGCACAGGCAGGATGTTTGATGCTTCCATCTGGCCTGTAGGGCACCTCGGGCTTTGTGCAAGCTCTGCCAACCAACGAGTGTGCCACGGCCAACAACCCGAGCCCGGGGCGTCCTGGACAGCACCTGGCTGAAGAAGCCTGCACCGCAAAGTAGGCACCCGTTAAAGGCTCATCAAAGGCCCGTCACACAGTGGATCAGTCTGCACGTCTAAGGGCCAAACGGTGGCGGCTCACAGGGGCTTGGTGGTGCCTCTCAGGCTGCTTTCCATACATCTCAAAAAGCTCAGCAACTGCTTGACCCACCATCACCGAAGCTGCCTCACGAGGCAACATGGTGGCCTGCACAGGCTCCAAAGCAGACATAGCCCCCCACAAGACCCAGCCATCCCCTGCCCTCGACCTGCAGAGGCAGCGGCGGCATTGGGGGCAAGGGGGGCAGTGCAGGTGGCGGTGGCGGCGGCGGTACCTGCACACAGCCCCACAGGCGCAGAGCCGAATTCTCCGCCAAGCATCCGAGACCTCCGCGCCAGCATCCTGGCAATGCAGAAACCATTCTGTTCGCAAGCTGAAGATCAAAGCCTCTCTGCAATTCAAAAAACATTCTTGTGCAAAACCGAATCGAGTCAACTCCGGGAAGAGACAAGGAAAGGTGCTCAACAGATTGTTTGTGGCCCACACAAATCATACCGCTACAGTTGCTGAAGCACGCAAACGACGACGTGAGATCACGGCAGCAGTCGACCGCGGGTCTCGCGGTCGCGCGGTCGACCACTGACCGCGGAGGTTTTCGACGGTTTGCGATCGATGGTCGGTGTTGGAACACTCGCTGCGGCCCACTTCTGACAAAGGGGCAGCACAGACTCACAGAAGGAAGCTATAGACACCACCAGACACCACCAAACAATAGACGCCTACAATAGACGCCTTTCGAAGCTTCTCTTTGAAGTCCGGGGGAGCCTGCCATGTCCGGAAGCGCGTCTCTTCCTCTTCTCTCCCTCTCTTTCATCTTTCCTCTGTCTCTCTTCCCCTTGCACCTGCAGGACAAGGCAGAGGGGCCGCCGGCTGCTAGTAAGCTCCTGATCGTCCGTTCTGGTCAAAGATCAGTAGGCTTCTCGGCTGTTGACGGTCTTGAGGGTCATGGGGGTCATGAAGCCTCGATCATCTCCTGTGCTGGGAAGTTCGGCCACTCCAGGCCTCGAATGGGTGCAGGTCTTTACTACAAATCCGTGATCCAGGATCTGCGTCACGTTGACCCGTTGAGCCATGAACGCCCGACCATGAGGATGAGGAAACCGCGCCTCAAGCCCAGATGCTGCCAGACGCACATTGGCCAAACTGGTGCGACTCTCTTTGGGGCTTCTCATGGATTCCATGGCCTTCCGAAGCCCAAAAAGCCCCCGGAGTGCCTCACGCCAAAAGCCTCTGCGGGCCCGCAAGGTGCCACACGGCAGACCTCACGTCACTGACGTCACTCCACGACTCTCTGCAACTGCGCCTTTTCGGAGAAGCATACAGAGTCCAATTGCGTTCAACATTTCAACATTGTGTGGGTACCACGAAACTGGGTGAGTGGAAAACGGGGTGGACCGAGTCCGAGATCGAAAAAGGCTGAGTGAGAAAACAAGCAAGCACGAGTTAGATTAACAGGAGGAAATGGGAATCGAGCGTGCCCATGAAAACAAAAAAACAACCAGCCTTCGCAGATTTTGCGTATGCTTTGGGACCTGTTCAACTAGCGCTCCATGCCTCACGCTGCGATGGAATCGACTGGACAACAAGGTCACAAACGAATTAGGGGCCACTCTTCGGACCAAAGTTCTCGCTAAGCAAGTAGGGTCCAAAGTTTGGACCGAAATTTGGCAGATGTATGTCCAGCGCTTTCCATCTTTTCTGTTTTCGACTTATGTCGGGGCGTTTTTGATTTCGACTTGGGTCGGGGCGTTTCTGACATACGATTCAGGAGCACCTTTCCTGACTTGACGGTGTCTCTCACACATACATGTGAGCGCTAACCGAGTGTGAGCGAGAACACGCAACGGCAAAATCTGGCGCGCAGACCGCTGGGGGGCTGTCGCGGCGGCTGACGCTGGCCTTGAAAGCAGGACACTCGAAGCCCGACGAAACTTCTTCTACGGTCACGGGGTTCGGTGCAATCAATGACATCATCGCCGAGGGTCAACAACGCCCAGCGATGGCGCTCCCATCTCCAGAACCACCTCACAGCATGAAAGCTTAACACAAATATGAAAGTAGCGCTAGTGGGAAAAGTACGACGAGTAGAAGTACCTAACGGGAAGTGGTCGTCGTGGTGGTGGGGGTAGAAGGTAGTCGTAGGAGTCGTCGTCGTCGTGGAATGTTCATAGTAGAAGTAGTAATGGTAATTTTTCACGGTCGCAATGACCCACAATTCATCATGACAATGGTGACAAACTGACTGTTAAAATATAGCTTCAACAAAGGCATGAACAACAAGGGGGGCAAGAAAGAGTGAAAAGCGACGAGGGCCGCCTCCAGCCGCAGCCGCTCCCAAGGCCGACTGGCGACCTTTGGAATTCCAGCTCTGAACGAGAATGAGGTTACGTGCATTTCATGTGACATTTGCGTGTTGTGCATAGCTTAAGGATATGTATAATATATGTATGTATGTATACATACATACATACATATACAAATATGCACATGATGCACATATGCATAGTGTATGTAGTAACGTTATACATATATAGGTGATTATGCCAACGCAGACCCCTAACAGGTTGAAAGTTCACATTCGCATTGTGAGAAGGTTTGACAGGCTTGCACAGTTACTGTGTCGAAAACATGCACAGATAGACTGTCATGTGCAAATGCTTGCACAACAACTAGCCGCTTGGGCAATCTTACTTTCTTGCAGAGGAAGCCAGAGAAAACCAAATGTTCCATAGAAACTAGGGAAGAAACACGCCTCACTTTTCCGTAGGACAAAACCGCGTTTTCCCCGTAGACTGTACGGAAATCTGCTGAGGCCTGGAACCGTAGGAGTCTCATGCCCTTTTTCTTGAAAGCGTGGAAAGGGATTTTCAGCGGAGGTGGTCTTCGGGAAAGTTCTTCGTTCTATCGTTGATGCAATAGATGTCGTGATGGATTATGCGTTGATGAATGGTGTGATGGTGCTAAATTGGTTTAAAGCGCAGGCGTGTGGGAGGTCACATTTTTGGCGCGGCAACGAAAATTCGAACAAAGACTCCTTTTTCCGAAGCTGTCTGGGCTGCTGTTCAAAAACCCCGCACATACACTTACATTGGGAGATAAGGCTGGCAGGCCTGGCCCTCTTGTCGTCAAGAGTTAGACCTAGCAAGCGAAGATGCCCAAAAAAGGATGAAAACCCTAACATCACAACAGCTGCAAAAAAAAACATGCTGTGTGCACATGCGCGAAGAAAACGAAAGCCTAGTGACAGCACCCTTCAAGTAGCTAGGGGCTCTCACAGCGCGGTGGGACAACTCAGTGCTCGAACCTGGTTTTCCTGTTTCTGTGGTATTCGGGGCCAAGCTTGGGGGGGTTAGGGCGCTTAAGGAATTTCGGGTTCAGCGGTCGACTGCTTCCTAGGTCCCAGATTTTCGGACCAGGCCGTGGCGGTCGACATGCGACCTTTGAAATTGTCCTTCGTGCTGTATGAACATTTTTTACACTGAACATCTCAGAAGTTGCAGTATCGCTGAGTAGTCCCACTGTGCACACCACTTCAGCGACACTTTTAGGCGCCGGGCCCGCACACGGACAAAACGCCGAAAGTCTTGGAGGCTCCTCAGAGTTGTTTTTTCCGTCTGGCGCTCCCCTTCCTTCTGATTGACTGCCTTTGAACTTGGCGCAGTACCCACTGTCCAAAAGCAGCCTCCTGATAGTCTGTAAATGTGCATTCAAATGCGTCACTTGGTGTGCCAGTTGGAAGCTCAAGCCTGCCACGGCTGTCCTGCCTGCTGCGTGAGTACTGCCTGTTATGTGAGTGCGTCTGCCGCCTTCTGTTGCCTTGCGAAATCCAGCTATCCTCTGTGTAACAGCCAGACGGTGTGGTTTGAGAACATTCACATTCGCCCAGCTATTGGCTTGACAGTAGAGACCCCAAGGTCCTGTTCCGGGCCATCTGCGGAGGCCTCTTCGAGACCAGCGCCTGGAATCGAATGAAGAAGCTCTCTGGCGACGAATCTTTCAGCTCCCAAGGCTCCCGCCTGCGGCCCGGTCGCGGAAAGCTCCGAGGGCTGACAGGGCATCACACCCAAGGCTACGTCACTGCACCGCTACACGGGCTCGGACAGGACCCATAAGGACCCATATAAGGAGCCAGAGAGGCCTGGGACGGATGAGACCCGGAGGATCTCCACGAAGTCCCATCTTGCCTGTGCTGAACAGGTCAGACAGGTGCTAGCCGCATCGCGTAAAGACATATATACACACACACACACAAACAACTTTAGACGCAGCATGACACGGTGCTGAGCAAATCCTTCATCTGCTCAGTGCGGGACAAGGCTTCTCGGTAGGCCATGACGCTGCTCCTGACGTGCTGAGTTGACAGATGGGGCAGGGAGAGAGCACCCGAGAGCAGGGAGATCTCCTCCGCACCATGGCCAGCTCCACAGCTTCGGACATCGAGGTGATCGGGCGCCTCCGGGCGAGCCAGCGCCGGGCAGCTCGCTGCAAAGGCACGACCGCAGCATCCTGGATGAGCAGCACCTCCATCCCCTCACTCAGCAGGAAGCTTGGGAGGCACTTCACAAACCGAAGCAGCAGTCCGTTAGCCCGGTGCTCGCAGCCTCGGAGGAGGAACTGCAGAAACGCATCCAGCCTCCTGCGGACCTCCGGTCTCAGGCACAGATACAATCCCAGCCCAGCCAGGGCAACCAAGAAGCCTTCCAACACCAGAAGCGCCGAGCGCCACTTGCTTCCCACCTCCAAATGCGCCCCGTCGAGCTGGGCCTGCTCGAGGAAGTGGTCGCTGCTGGCCGGCGGAGGTGCGAATTCGCGGAGGAAGCAGGGCCAGGCCGCGGAGGACGCGGAGGACGCGGAGCCTTCGGAGCCTTCGGAGCCTTCGGAGCCTTGGGAGGCCGAAAAGCGGCACTCCGTCGAGTCGCAGAAGCGGCGCTGGGCCGGGTCATACCAGGAACAGCAGTCTGCTGGGGTGAAGGGGCAGCAAGCCAATCCACCAGGAAGCGGCTCAGGCTCGTAAGCCCTGCCAGGTGTAGCATGCGAGGGGATCTCAAAGGGCGGCTGGAAGAAACGCACCCGTCGCATCCCGTCATCCAGCTGCACATCAACCTGAAAAAGGCAGCTCGGCGTTGTCGGGCAAGGGTGCAGCGAGAAAGTGTTGTTGGGCCCTCTCTCTTGATCTGGATACCCATCTGGATATTCGAAGCCGGAGACGACGCACATGCCCTGCACCGCAGAGGACAGCACCAGCAGGTCAAGTAGCCCGACCAGGACCTCAGCACACGTGGCCGTTAGGGGCGTAGCGGCTCATCCTCAAACATAGACATTATAAGTTGAAAAACATAATATGAAGAACAAAAATAAGGCTCAGTGAGTTAATTACATGAATTACATGTCACACCCCCGGACGAAGCCGAGGCAGCGACAATGAGCGAGCCGGCTGCTCCAGCCAGAGCGGACACTGAGAAAGTCCAGCTGCGGCAGAAGACAGCCTTTGCTCGCGAGAGCAGCCGCTGCTTTCCTTCGCGGGTGTAGTACCTCAGGCCCACCTTCTTTCTATTCTTTCTACTCCTACCGCTTTCGCCGCTTTCCGAGGTCCTCCCGCTTTGAGCTGTCACCTGGCTCCCAGATCGCCCAGATGCTCCAGCCTCACTTGGAAGACAGGTTTCGGAAGTTTCGCAGCTGGAGCTCCGACTCAGCTTGGTCGCCGCTTCCTGAGCCTCCCTGGCGGCCTCCCTGGCGGCCTCCCTGGCAGCCTCCCTGGCAGCCTCCCTGGCCTCCCTTTTTGCGGCAGCGAAAGGAACGCCTTCAAGAAGAGGGGGTGCTGGGATTGCCTGGATCATGACATTTGCCGCTCATCACCACCCAGCGCTGCCTGCTCTTAGGCTAGTACATGCCGTGCCCTACCCGCAGCTGTGTCTCGAGCAAGAAGCTATAGACTCATCAGTATTGCGAGTACCATGCAAGTACGAGGGCAAGGTGCCGTGCAGGGTGCCGTGCAAAGAGCCTGCTTTGGCCTTCTAAGGGGCCCCAGACCTGGCCTTCATGTTCCGGCAGATATTGGCAGAGACTCGTGAGATGTCACGCTGCCTGGTCGCATGTCAATGCACAGAGGAGATGTGGGTGTGCACCGGAGCTTATAGGGTTCAAGAGCCTCCTCTCGCAGAGAGGCGGCGGTGGGATGGAACCTGCAGGACACCGCGAGGACATCTTCGATGCTTTCGCCTTCACTGAAAAACGGGATGCTGAGAAACTGAGGGTGCAGCTGCGCGATGCGAAACAAGGTCCAGGCAATGGTGTCACCTTCGCAATCCTGCGCAAAGCGAGAAAAAAGCGGGTCTCAGAACAAAAAAACAGAATCTCTCAAATCTCGCCCGATGCAATGCTTGGCGACATCAGACAGAAAGCTGTTGGAAACACGTCTGTTCTTGAGTCTGTTGTGGGGCATGCGCCGCTCAAGCATGGTGCCAGAGCGGTCATCAGACGACAGAGTAGGGTTGCAGGTCCCGAGCTTTGCCACGGCCCTCTGAGGCTGCAGCAAGATGACTGAGGCTCTGTTCCATGGGCCTATGCAAAGAGGCCAAGACCGCTGCTTGCTCTAAACATGTTGTCAAGCAGAAACTCACGATCACCGCAGCGCATGCCCGCTCACACGTGCCAAGAGGCTTCCAATAACAATGCGTCTTCATTCGCCATGAGAGGTGAACCCTTGAAGGAGACCCGAAGCAGATTACGGCCTGATAAACACAAATCGAGCGAGCAATCATGCACTGCAATACGAGTGAGATCATAAAGGATCATCCTTACAAGTCTAGCAAAGCACGAGCAACGGCGCAAAGATCTTCCAGTGCCTGCGGTCCTGCAGGTGTCCGCATGCCCTGCGCTCGACATCCCGTCTTGTGCCCAGCAGGCCCCCGGAAGAGGGATGAAAACTCTGTATCGTCCCGGACCCGGAGCCTGCTGAGTCTGCGCAATACAACTGTTAAAACTCACGGCTTGCGCGTGAGAAATGCTATACATGCTATACGCTGGTCCCGCACCGTGTCTCGAAGATCTCATTCGTGGAAAAACAAAAGTCATCTCAAAATCTCCGCGATCAAGGCACAGGGTCTCAAAATCTAGCACATCTTAGTGCATCTCACCCATCCTTCGCCAGGACGTCCGCTGCCTGCTGTGCCGCAGCACTGGTCTTGTTGTCGTCCACATTCCAGATCCAACCAGAGTAGAGGCCCACGAGCCACTTGATCTGCTTGTGCTCGTCGGCTGTGAGGAGGCTTTCGCCGGTCTCAAGGCGCCCCTGCCGGATTCCCACTTCCTGCAGAAGCCTTTGTGCCTCGTTCCTCTGATGCATGGTGTGCTGCCAGCGGTCCAAGCGCTTGAGGCCCTCGATCACGGCCGCCACTGCTTGCTGGCGGCGCTTGAGGCGTTCGCTGGCTGGCTGCAGCTGCGCTGGTTTCTGCAGCTCTTGCTCGGGCGCAAGTTGCGGCATTGTCTTCTCCAACTCCCGGACACGGTCCAGAAGCTTCGGGGGGAGCAAGTCGAAGACGCTTGCTACCCTCTCGTACTGGATGCAGCGCCATGCACCTGAGTCCTCCCTGCATGAATTGATGGACCGGGGGTTCTTACCATCGCTGATGGCTGCCCCGATGCTGGTCCAGCTTCGGCTTTCGTTCACAGCATGCGCACCCTCCGTGCTGGCCGTGTCAGTGCTGGCAGCTACGTCCCCTTTGCCCGCGAAGCCTTGGCCAATGCCCTTTCCCGCCAAATGCGCGAGGTCCTTGGCCTTTTTGTTGTTCTCCTGCTTGGTCACGGTTTTGACCTCGGTGGAGAAGGCGGCCACCCCGATTGTCACCTCGGTCGGATAGACGTCCCCATAGATACTGAAGATGCGATCCTCGAAGAACTTGCTCAGCTCCTCAGGCTTCTTGTTGCCTGCGGCGCTCAAGGCTTCCTCCACGCTCTGCACGAACCCTTCCTCCACCTCGAGATAAGCCGTGCTGATGTGGAAGCTTCCCACCGGCACGTGAAGCTTGTGGACTACAGTGTAGTGGCTGCCCTCTCCTCGCTGTTCGTGGAGGCTGGCGGACTTGTATTCCGCAGCAGCTGCCGCAAGAGGTGTGCACACCTCTGTATAGGCTTGCGCGCTGCAGACCTCCGAGTGTGCCTTGAACTTGTCGTCGAACCGCACCACGGCATGTTCCTGCTCGCTGTACTGCGAGGCACGAAAAAGCTTATTCTTGATGGTCTCCTCCGTCGGCTCCTTGAACAATGGCTTCGACGAGCAGCTGAAGGCGCTGCTGCTGGTGATCCTGCCGCACGTCAGGTTGCAGTTCGTGAAGACCCGCTGCCAGTCCAGCTGCTTCAGCTCGAGGACACCGGACTTCATGTCCTTCCCCGTCTGGAGCGTCGGCGCCGTACCAGAGAAGCCCTGATTGAGCAAGGTGGGGGCGTAGCCAGAGCCCGTCACGTCTCGAAAGCCCGGGGCCGCCATGACCTTATTCTTATTCACCTTCAAGTTGATCTCCAAAATGGTCGACTCCTCCTTTGTCAGCACCCCGTCTTCCACCATCTTTTTGATGTCGTCGGGCTCGAGGCACTCCGGCTCCACGTTGACGCGTTTCATAATCTTCTGCCGAATCGCGTTGAAGTCGGCCATGGTGCTGCCGGATGCTGCCAGAAGGCGGGTTAAGTGTACCAGAAAAATCTTGAGCCATCAAATGGCAAGAGCCCCAGATGACAAGGTGGGAATGGTGAAAATGTGGATGCTAGTTGGAGACGCTTTTGGGGCGAGAATGGTGGGATGCTAGTTTGGAGCACTCCCGAAGCAAAAATGGGGCGATGCTAGTTGGAGACGGGCGAAATGGGAGGCGAGTTGGAGACTCTCCTAGAATGGGTGCATGCTAGTTGGAGACGCTACTAGGGCGAAAATGGGGGGATGGGGGGATGCTAGTTGGAGACGCTCCTCGGCCGAAGATCGGGGGATGCTAGTTGGAGATGTTTTTGGGGCGAAAATGGGGTGATGCCAGTTGCACCTCTACAGTGCGGTCAGCATCCCACGCAGTCGTACACGACGGCTGTCGCATGAAGTCCCCGCACTGCGCTTGCAAACGTGCGTGTCTCTGCGTGCTCACTTCAACCTGTTCATCACTGTTCATCCGAATGCCTCCATTCAAAACCATGGCAGAATATGTAAAATACCAGACTATCCGTCACAAACAAGCTCTAAACGATGCCTCAAGCATCGAAGTCCGCTGCGACCATGGAGGAACTGCCTCGCATCATGGAATGGGTCGAGAGTCTTGAGGAACACCCATTGCCTAACGACAGGCGTAGCAAAATTGTGAGCATTTTCATCACCTGCTTGCGCCAGATAGCCGCCACCCCCACCCAACCGGATTTTCATTGCCGCTCTCCCTGGCACTAACATGGGCACAGTCTTCTACCACTGGCGCCTTCTCCACACCTATCAACTCAGTGCGGATTAACCTGGGTTTCCTCCCGACCCCCTTCGCCAATAGCCTCTTCTGGCACGTTCCAGCTGCAGGAGCTGCCGGCGGAAGCCAGCGTTGTGCAGCGCAACCTCACCCGTCAGGTGTGACCCGTCCCTGGGCCGCAGGCGGGTCGCTGCGTCTTGATGGCGTACCAAGCCGCCCGCAAGGACAAGTCTCAGCATGCTCAGGCTTGAGACAAGGGCACTCGACAGAGTCGATGGTGTCACCTTCGCAAAGCGAGGAAAAAGCGGGTCTCAGAACAAAAAAACAGAATCTCTCAAATCTCGCCCGATGCAATGCTTGGCGACATCAGACAGAAAGCTGTTGGAAACACGTCTGTTCTTGAGTCTGTTGTGGGGCATGCGCCGCTCAAGCATGGTGCCAGAGCGGTCATCAGACGACAGAGTAGGGTTGCAGGTCCCGAGCTTTGCCACGGCCCTCTGAGGCTGCAGCAAGATGACTGAGGCTCTGTTCCATGGGCCTATGCAAAGAGGCCAAGACCGCTGCTTGCTCTAAACATGTTGTCAAGCAGAAACTCACGATCACCGCAGCGCATGCCCGCTCACACGTGCCAAGAGGCTTCCAATCAGGGTTCTGGAAGTTGCTGTGCACAAACTGCAACGCCAGGTCCACACAGCCATCCCTGACCACCTTGCAAACAGGTAGCGCAGAGGACAAAATGGAGGGCTGAAACCAGGCTTTCCATCCCTACCAAAAGCCTGGGCCACCAGCGCCAAGCAAGTGTGTGCTAAGATCTGCTGTGTGTGCTCGTGCTAAGATCTGCTGTGTGTGCTCTGGTTGCGCCCGTGTAGGCTTCAAAAGGAGGACGGTTTCACTGCTGTTCCCGCATTCCTACGTTCAATCCTGCAAGCAGCGTGTTTGGCATCGCTGCTGTTGCCACATTCGTACTGCAGAAAGCCTGCCTCAAACATGACAAGTCTCCGTGACAACCCCTTCCAAAAGAACCTAGACATGCTAAGCACAAAGCCAACATTGGAAGGCTTCAAATTTGGTTTGTCTAGTGGTCAGGGTTTGCTTCCGCTTCCGATATGAACCATGCCGTGGGACTACCTTGTTTCTGTGGAACCCTACCCCCCTCACCCACCTCCCCTCCCCCCCCTGGTCGAAGCAAAAATCGGAAACGAGACTCAGCGGCACCTGACTGCTGGGCGCAGGGACCGAATCACAATCCGAGCCAGCGCAACAACAGCACCGAAATCCGAACTGAGCGCAGCTTCTCTTGCAAAAAGCCTGCAAACCTGGAATGGTCTCGCGGTGGCTTGCTGTGACCTTTTTCCGAGGTGTTCGCAGGTCACACAAGTGACTCCCACTCCAGGTCCAGGATCGCATAGGCTCCGAAAGCTTCAGAGATTGGCATGGGACACGGAGAAGATGTGGGCGCGACGTCAACCGGAGCTTCAGGGCCAGGGTTCAAAGGTCGCCTCCCGCAGAGAGGCGGCATGGGCTGCTTGACCGGCACAATGGTGGGATGGAACCTGCAGGACACTGCGAGGACATCTTCGATGCTTTCGCCACTGAGAACGGGATGCCGAGCTACTGAGGGTGCAGCTGCGCGATGCGAAAGAAGGTCCAGGCAATGGTGTCACCTTCGCAAAGAACAGAAAAACACGACTCTCATCCCAAGGCACAAACGCAATAAGTCAAACTTTCTTGGCAACGCGTTGTACGACGCTACATCATCGAACAAACATGTGCTTGCCACTGCTTGTCTGGGGGGGACTTACAAGGGGAGGATAACAATGCGTCTTCATTCGCCATGAGAGGTGAACCCTTGAAGGAAGCCCGAAGCCGATTACGGCCTGATAAAAACAAATCGAGCGAGCAATCATGCACTGCAATACGAGTGAGATCATAAAGGATCATCCTTACAAGTCTAGCAAAGCACGAGCAACGGCGCAAAGATCTTCCAGTGCCTGCGGTCCTGCAGGTGTCCGCATGCCCTGCGCTCGACATCCCGTCTTGTGCCCAGCAGGCCCCCGGAAGAGGGATGAAAACTCTGTATCGTCCCGGACCCGGAGCCTGCTGAGTCTGCGCAATACAACTGTTAAAACTCACGGCTTGCGCGTGAGAAATGCTATACATGCTATACGCTGGTCCCGCACCGTGTCTCGAAGATCTCATTCGTGGAAAAACAAAAGTCATCTCAAAATCTCCGCGATCAAGGCACAGGGTCTCAAAATCTAGCACATCTTAGTGCATCTCACCCATCCTTCGCCAGGACGTCCGCTGCCTGCTGTGCCGCAGCACTGGTCTTGTTGTCGTCCACATTCCAGATCCAACCAGAGTAGAGGCCCACGAGCCACTTGATCTGCTTGTGCTCGTCGGCTGTGAGGAGGCTCTCGCCGGTCTCAAGGCGCCCCTGCCGGATTCCCACTTCCTGCAGAAGCCTTTGTGCCTCGTTCCTCTGATGCATGGTGTGCTGCCAGCGGTCCAAGCGCTTGAGGCCCTCGATCACGGCCGCCACTGCTTGCTGGCGGCGCTTGAGGCGTTCGCTGGCTGGCTGCAGCTGCGCTGGTTTCTGCAGCTCTTGCTCGGGCGCAAGTTGCGGCATTGTCTTCTCCAACTCCCGGACACGGTCCAGAAGCTTCGCGGGGAGCAAGTCGAAGACGCTTGCTACCCTCTCGTACTGGATGCAGCGCCATGCACCTGAGTCCTCCCTGCATGAATTGATGGACCGGGGGTTCTTGCCATCGCTGATGGCTGCCCCGATGCTGGTCCAGCTTCGGCTTTCGTTCACAGCATGCGCACCCTCCGTGCTGGCCGTGTCAGTGCTGGCAGCTACGTCCCCTTTGCCCGCGAAGCCTTGGCCAATGCCCTTTCCCGCCAAATGCGCGAGGTCCTTGGCCTTTTTGTTGTTCTCCTGCTTGGTCACGGTTTTGACCTCGGTGGAGAAGGCGGCCACCCCGATTGTCACCTCGGTCGGATAGACGTCCCCATAGATACTGAAGATGCGATCCTCGAAGAACTTGCTCAGCTCCTCAGGCTTCTTGTTGCCTGCGGCGCTCAAGGCTTCCTCCATGCTCTGCACGAACCCTTCCTCCACCTCGAGATAAGCCGTGCTGATGTGGAAGCTTCCCACCGGCACGTGAAGCTTGTGGACTACAGTGTAGTGGCTGCCCTCTCCTCGCTGTTCGTGGAGGCTGGCGGACTTGTATTCCGCAGCAGCTGCCGCAAGAGGTGTGCACACCTCTGTATAGGCTTGCGCGCTGCAGACCTCCGAGTGTGCCTTGAACTTGTCGTTGAACCGCACCACGGCATGTTCCTGCTCGCTGTACTGCGAGGCACGAAAAAGCTTATTCTTGATGGTCTCCTCCGTCGGCTCCTTGAACAATGGCTTCGACGAGCAGCTGAAGGCACTGCTGCTGGTGATCCTGCCGCACGTCAGGTTGCAGTTCGTGAAGACCCGCTGCCAGTCCAGCTGCTTCAGCTCGAGGACACCGGACTTCATGTCCTTCCCCGTCTGGAGCGTCGGCGCCGTGCCAGAGAAGCCCTGATTGAGCAAGGTGGGGGCGTAGCCAGAGCCCGTCACGTCTCGAAAGCCCGGGGCCGCCATGACCTTATTCTTATTCACCTTCAAGTTGATCTCCAAAATGGTCGACTCCTCCTTTGTCAGCACCCCGTCTTCCACCATCTTTGTGATGTCGTCGGGCTCGAGGCACTCCGGCTCCACGTTGACGCGTTTCATAATCTTCTGCCGAATCGCGTTGAAGTCGGCCATGGTGCTGCCGGATGCTGCCAGAAGGCGGGTTAAGTGTACCAGAAAAATCTTGAGCCATCAAATGGCAAGAGCCCCAGATGACAAGGTGGGAATGGTGAAAATGTGGATGCTAGTTGGAGACGCTTTTGGGGCGAGAATGGTGGGATGCTAGTTTGGAGCACTCCCGAAGCAAAAATGGGGCGATGCTAGTTGGAGACGGGCGAAATGGGAGGCGAGTTGGAGACTCTCCTAGAATGGGTGCATGCTAGTTGGAGACGCTACTAGGGCGAAAATGGGGGGATGGGGGGATGCTAGTTGGAGACGCTCCTCGGCCGAAGATCGGGGGATGCTAGTTGGAGATGCTTTTGGGGCGAAAATGGGGTGATGCCAGTTGCACCTCTACAGTGCGGTCAGCATCCCACGCAGTCGTACACGACGGCTGTCGCATGAAGTCCCCGCACTGCGCTTGCAAACGTGCGTGTCTCTGCGTGCTCACTTCAACCTGTTCATCACTGTTCATCCGAATGCCTCCATTCAAAACCATGGCAGAATATGTAAAATACCAGACTATCCGTCACAAACAAGCTCTAAACGATGCCTCAAGCATCGAAGTCCGCTGCGACCATGGAGGAACTGCCTCGCATCATGGAATGGGTCGAGAGTCTTGAGGAACACCCATTGCCTAACGACAGGCGTAGCAAAATTGTGAGCATTTTCATCACCTGCTTGCGCCAGATAGCCGCCACCCCCACCCAACCGGATTTTCATTGCCGCTCTCCCTGGCACTAACATGGGCACAGTCTTCTACCACTGGCGCCTTCTCCACACCTATCAACTCAGTGCGGATTAACCTGGGTTTCCTCCCGACCCCCTTCGCCAATAGCCTCTTCTGGCACGTTCCAGCTGCAGGAGCTGCCGGCGGAAGCCAGCGTTGTGCAGCGCAACCTCACCCGCAACAAGAAGTGCACACCGCTGCAGATCGCGAAATGTCAGGTGTGACCCGTCCCTGGGCCGCAGGCGGGTCGCTGCGTCTTGATGGCGTACCAAGCCGCCCGCAAGGACAAGTCTCAGCATGCTCAGGCTTGAGACAAGGGCACTCGACAGAGTCGATGGTGTCACCTTCGCAAAGCGAGAAAAAAGCGGGTCTCAGAACAAAAAAACAGAATCTCTCAAATCTCGCCCGATGCAATGCTTGGCGACATCAGACAGAAAGCTGTTGGAAACACGTCTGTTCTTGAGTCTGTTGTGGGGCATGCGCCGCTCAAGCATGGTGCCAGAGCGGTCATCAGACGACAGAGTAGGGTTGCAGGTCCCGAGCTTTGCCACGGCCCTCTGAGGCTGCAGCAAGATGACTGAGGCTCTGTTCCATGGGCCTATGCAAAGAGGCCAAGACCGCTGCTTGCTCTAAACATGTTGTCAAGCAGAAACTCACGATCACCGCAGCGCATGCCCGCTCACACGTGCCAAGAGGCTTCCAATCAGGGTTCTGGAAGTTGCTGTGCACAAATTGCAACGCCAGGTCCACACAGCCATCCCTGACCACCTTGCAAACAGGTAGCGCAGAGGACAAAATGGAGGGCTGAAACCAGGCTTTCCATCCCTACCAAAAGCCTGGGCCACCAGCGCCAAGCAAGTGCGTGCTAAGATCTGCTGTGTGTGCTCGTGCTAAGATCTGCTGTGTGTGCTCTGGTTACCGGTTGCGCCCGTGTAGGCTTCAAAAGGAGGACGGTTTCACTGCTGTTCCCGCATTCCTACGTTCAATCCTGCAAGCAGCGTGTTTGGCATCGCTGCTGTTGCCACATTCGTACTGCAGAAAGCCTGCCTCAAACATGACAAGTCTCCGTGACAACCCCTTCCAAAAGAACCTAGACATGCTAAGCACAAAGCCAACATTGGAAGGCTTCAAATTTGGTTTGTCTAGTGGTCAGGGTTTGCTTCCGCTTCCGATATGAACCATGCCGTGGGACTACCTTGTTTCTGTGGAACCCTACCCCCCTCACCCACCTCCCCTCCCCCCCCTGGTCGAAGCAAAAATCGGAAACGAGACTCAGCGGCACCTGACTGCTGGGCGCAGGGACCGAATCACAATCCGAGCCAGCGCAACAACAGCACCGAAATCCGAACTGAGCGCAGCTTCTCTTGCAAAAAGCCTGCAAACCTGGAATGGTCTCGCGGTGGCTTGCTGTGACCTTTTTCCGAGGTGTTCGCAGGTCACACAAGTGACTCCCACTCCAGGTCCAGGATCGCATAGGCTCCGAAAGCTTCAGAGATTGGCATGGGACACGGAGAAGATGTGGGCGCGACGTCAACCGGAGCTTCAGGGCCAGGGTTCAAAGGTCGCCTCCCGCAGAGAGGCGGCATGGGCTGCTTGACCGGCACAATGGTGGGATGGAACCTGCAGGACACTGCGAGGACATCTTCGATGCTTTCGCCACTGAGAACGGGATGCCGAGCTACTGAGGGTGCAGCTGCGCGATGCGAAAGAAGGTCCAGGCAATGGTGTCACCTTCGCAAAGAACAGAAAAACACGACTCTCATCCCAAGGCACAAACGCAATAAGTCAAACTTTCTTGGCAACGCGTTGTACGACGCTACATCATCGAACAAACATGTGCTTGCCACTGCTTGTCTGGGGGGGACTTACAAGGGGAGGATAACAATGCGTCTTCATTCGCCATGAGAGGTGAACCCTTGAAGGAAGCCCGAAGCCGATTACGGCCTGATAAACACAAATCGAGCGAGCAATCATGCACTGCAATACGAGTGAGATCATAAAGGATCATCCTTACAAGTCTAGCAAAGCACGAGCAACGGCGCAAAGATCTTCCAGTGCCTGCGGTCCTGCAGGTGTCCGCATGCCCTGCGCTCGACATCCCGTCTTGTGCCCAGCAGGCCCCCGGAAGAGGGATGAAAACTCTGTATCGTCCCGGACCCGGAGCCTGCTGAGTCTGCGCAATACAACTGTTAAAACTCACGGCTTGCGCGTGAGAAATGCTATACATGCTATACGCTGGTCCCGCACCGTGTCTCGAAGATCTCATTCGTGGAAAAACAAAAGTCATCTCAAAATCTCCGCGATCAAGGCACAGGGTCTCAAAATCTAGCACATCTTAGTGCATCTCACCCATCCTTCGCCAGGACGTCCGCTGCCTGCTGTGCCGCAGCACTGGTCTTGTTGTCGTCCACATTCCAGATCCAACCAGAGTAGAGGCCCACGAGCCACTTGATCTGCTTGTGCTCGTCGGCTGTGAGGAGGCTCTCGCCGGTCTCAAGGCGCCCCTGCCGGATTCCCACTTCCTGCAGAAGCCTTTGTGCCTCGTTCCTCTGATGCATGGTGTGCTGCCAGCGGTCCAAGCGCTTGAGGCCCTCGATCACGGCCGCCACTGCTTGCTGGCGGCGCTTGAGGCGTTCGCTGGCTGGCTGCAGCTGCGCTGGTTTCTGCAGCTCTTGCTCGGGCGCAAGTTGCGGCATTGTCTTCTCCAACTCCCGGACACGGTCCAGAAGCTTCGGGGGGAGCAAGTCGAAGACGCTTGCTACCCTCTCGTACTGGATGCAGCGCCATGCACCTGAGTCCTCCCTGCATGAATTGATGGACCGGGGGTTCTTACCATCGCTGATGGCTGCCCCGATGCTGGTCCAGCTTCGGCTTTCGTTCACAGCATGCGCACCCTCCGTGCTGGCCGTGTCAGTGCTGGCAGCTACGTCCCCTTTGCCCGCGAAGCCTTGGCCAATGCCCTTTCCCGCCAAATGCGCGAGGTCCTTGGCCTTTTTGTTGTTCTCCTGCTTGGTCACGGTTTTGACCTCGGTGGAGAAGGCGGCCACCCCGATTGTCACCTCGGTCGGATAGACGTCCCCATAGATACTGAAGATGCGATCCTCGAAGAACTTGCTCAGCTCCTCAGGCTTCTTGTTGCCTGCGGCGCTCAAGGCTTCCTCCACGCTCTGCACGAACCCTTCCTCCACCTCGAGATAAGCCGTGCTGATGTGGAAGCTTCCCACCGGCACGTGAAGCTTGTGGACTACAGTGTAGTGGCTGCCCTCTCCTCGCTGTTCGTGGAGGCTGGCGGACTTGTATTCCGCAGCAGCTGCCGCAAGAGGTGTGCACACCTCTGTATAGGCTTGCGCGCTGCAGACCTCCGAGTGTGCCTTGAACTTGTCGTCGAACCGCACCACGGCATGTTCCTGCTCGCTGTACTGCGAGGCACGAAAAAGCTTATTCTTGATGGTCTCCTCCGTCGGCTCCTTGAACAATGGCTTCGACGAGCAGCTGAAGGCGCTGCTGCTGGTGATCCTGCCGCACGTCAGGTTGCAGTTCGTGAAGACCCGCTGCCAGTCCAGCTGCTTCAGCTCGAGGACACCGGACTTCATGTCCTTCCCCGTCTGGAGCGTCGGCGCCGTACCAGAGAAGCCCTGATTGAGCAAGGTGGGGGCGTAGCCAGAGCCCGTCACGTCTCGAAAGCCCGGGGCCGCCATGACCTTATTCTTATTCACCTTCAAGTTGATCTCCAAAATGGTCGACTCCTCCTTTGTCAGCACCCCGTCTTCCACCATCTTTGTGATGTCGTCGGGCTCGAGGCACTCCGGCTCCACGTTGACGCGTTTCATAATCTTCTGCCGAATCGCGTTGAAGTCGGCCATGGTGCTGCCGGATGCTGCCAGAAGGCGGGTTAAGTGTACCAGAAAAATCTTGAGCCATCAAATGGCAAGAGCCCCAGATGACAAGGTGGGAATGGTGAAAACGTGGATGCTAGTTGGAGACGCTTTTGGGGCGAGAATGGTGGGATGCTAGTTTGGAGCACTCCCGAAGCAAAAATGGGGCGATGCTAGTTGGAGACGGGCGAAATGGGAGGCGAGTTGGAGACTCTCCTAGAATGGGTGCATGCTAGTTGGAGACGCTACTAGGGCGAAAATGGGGGGATGGGGGGATGCTAGTTGGAGACGCTCCTCGGCCGAAGATCGGGGGATGCTAGTTGGAGATGCTTTTGGGGCGAAAATGGGGTGATGCCAGTTGCACCTCTACAGTGCGGTCAGCATCCCACGCAGTCGTACACGACGGCTGTCGCATGAAGTCCCCGCACTGCGCTTGCAAACGTGCGTGTCTCTGCGTGCTCACTTCAACCTGTTCATCACTGTTCATCCGAATGCCTCCATTCAAAACCATGGCAGAATATGTAAAATACCAGACTATCCGTCACAAACAAGCTCTAAACGATGCCTCAAGCATCGAAGTCCGCTGCGACCATGGAGGAACTGCCTCGCATCATGGAATGGGTCGAGAGTCTTGAGGAACACCCATTGCCTAACGACAGGCGTAGCAAAATTGTGAGCATTTTCATCACCTGCTTGCGCCAGATAGCCGCCACCCCCACCCAACCGGATTTGCATTGCCGCTCTCCCTGGCACTAACATGGGCACAGTCTTCTACCACTGGCGCCTTCTCGACACCTATCAACTCAGTGCGGATTAACCTGGGTTTCCTCCCGACCCCCTTCGCCAATAGCCTCTTCTGGCACGTTCCAGCTGCAGGAGCTGGGCTATCGCGCACTTTTTTTGACTGCAGGAAAGCAGAACCCAAACAAGGGCCAACGCAAATCATCGCCACAGGTTAACATTCTGGGCCTTGCGGCTTGCGGCGCCGCGTAGCACCACACCAAACACATGGCTGACTCACTCAAAGGTTAGCCTCAAGCGTTCTCGAAGCACCATTCCTTCAGCGACTGCAAGAACTTGAAGATCTCGGTTGCGACGGCCTGGCATGGACAGTTATAAGTTTTCACCAACTTGCGCAGCTGGATGATCCTGCGAAATCAGGCAGGCAAGGTCCTGGTTTTCCAGATTCTTGTCTGGATGCCAGGACATGCAGGCAGCCTGTCAGAAACAGACATGACGGGGACAATTAAAGGGCACAGCCCCAGGCCCTAAGCAGAATCCAAACCATGTCTACTATGCGTTAACATGTCTGCGCTGCTCTCAGTGCTGAGACCCACGCCTTGTAACATTGGCGCCGTTCAGACAAAGCTTTCCTCCGGCACCTTGGCCGCACAGACTTGTGTGACTGAAATGCTGGAACAGGCTCGAAGCCGTCTCTCCCTTGCCGTTTGCCCAGCGCAGATTTGAGAATGTCTGCTGATGGAGTTGACTTTGTTTGGGCCGGCCTTCGGAACTTACAAAGCTGCCCCTGAATACTATGGACCGTACACACGAGGGCCATGACTCCGCCAAGTGAAACTGAACCCAAAAACAGCACAGGCATCCAACTTTTTTCACGGACAACAACACGTACTCCAACCTTTTGCTCAGACCCATCTGTGCAAGATAATCATGAGCTTGATTGGCAAAGCGCAGTGAGGCTCGCGCTATGAACCGTACACTTTGCTCATGCAACAGCCGCAACAAGGAAAGCGTGTAAGCTCATGACATCTGCATCTCCTGGAAGACCTTCTCGGCTGTAGGGCGGCAAGCACTGGGCCACTCTACACCGTGCGGCAACTCCGGCAGCACCTGCCATGTTCACATGTGCAACATGGTAAGGCACCGACACCCGCAAGCTCCCTGCTCAGAAACATGGACAGCCCGTAAACCCTACACTTGTCCCAAGTCTTCATGTTGGCGCTTGATCTAGGTTTTCCTGCATGGTGGGTTGAAAACAGCACCAAAACAAGGGTAGGGCGGGGCTTCTACAACACATTCCGTCTGCGCCCAGGCGAAGCTGTGCTCTCTCAAGAAAACCAGAAGCCTCTGTCGCTGCAACACGTCGGCGACGGCGCCTCGGGGCTGGCGAGCCTTGAAGCTTCAAGTCAGGCTGCAGCATGGCTAGACGTGGTTATGCAAAGCAAAAAGAATCCGGCTGTTTAAACCGAACGAACCTCAGGCAATTTCTCAAAGCTTGCGCCTTCTCCTCTTCCATGCGGGCGTCAATCGCTTCCTTGACACCTGGGCACTGGCCCATTAACCAACATGGGCAGTGACATCTGTACATCCTGCTGTCGCTGTAGGTGTAGCTAATCTTAGCTACACCTGGGCAGGCGTGCTTGGATTCTGGACAGCCCCCGTGGCCCAATACAAAACGCAAACCGAACAGAAGCTGAGGATGCTACGCCGGAAGAAGCTCTTCGGCTTTTCTTCGTCCTCCATCACACGGGCACAGGAGCTCTTCGGCTTTTCTTCGTCCTCCATCACACGGGCACAGGCACCAGAGTCCCATGGCCCAGAAAAGGCTGAGACTACAACTCAAGGTACTGGCTCGCTGAGTTTGTCTTGCAGTCATTCAGTTTGCATCAGCGGTGACGGTATTCGCTTGCCTTGAAAAAGTGGGCATTCAATAAGACGACTAGACCAGACACTCTAAACTTCTCAACCCCAAATTCGAACCCTAGGCTACGACCCGTCCCACCTCAAGGCGCGCTCTAAGAGCGACACCCAGATGGGTGTGTCAATAAGGTTTTGTCGCGGCACACCCCCTCCCTCCAAATAGCAAGTGTCTTGCTATTTCCGGGGTTATCGTGACAAGTCTTCGATTCCAGCTGCAACCCTCCCAGCTTCGTGTCCTTCCACGCGTTGTCAACTCCACCTGCGGGACAGCTGCTCATAGTTGCTCACCCTAAACTTTTAAACCACTCTCAATCTTGCACGGCATTCCCCAAACTGAAAACCCTAAAGCCCTAGGCTCCGAGGGTTGAGGGTTGAGGGTTTAGGGTAGACTCTACAGCCCACAGTCCGAAATCTCTGAAGCTTTGAGCCTGAAACTCCGCAGCCGGGCGCTGGCGTTGAATCCTCCAGGAAGGGTTCTCGGTTTAGGGATTCTAGGGTTTTGGGTTTAGGCCAAAGAATTGGTTTAGAGTGTTCGGTTGCTTTAGGTTCCCTTCTAATTCATGCAAGCCCTCTTCTGAACCTACATGTCAGTTTAGGGTTTCAACGTTATGGGCTTTGCGCCAGTCTACGCTTGGAAGTATTGGCCCGTAGTATGGATTTAGGCCAAGGACCTTCGACTCCGGAGAGGTTAGGGGGTTAAGTATTAGGTTTAGGGGGTTAAGTATTAGGTTTAGGGTTATGGGGTTGAATAGGGTTTAGGGTTCAGGGTTTAGGGTTTAGGGTTTTTCAAGTTTAGGGCTTAGGGGAAGGCTTTCGGGATGCATATCCCAGGGCTTTGCTTCGTTGTTGCTAAGGAGCTTAAACTCAAACGCCAGAATATGGATGTACAGAGTTTAGGGTTTAGTGTAGTAGATGATGCGCTTTCCTACTATTCATCACTAAAGTGAATTCCTTGAGCCATCCAGTGTTGCTTTCATCTGCCATTTCACTGTCCGTTTCATTCTCCATTGTTACCCTCATAAGTTAGCAGAAGCTAAGAACACTGGGATACCTTGAAAGTAGCAATGAATTCAATGGGTTGACTAGCAGCGGTGAAGATCATAGACGGGTCTTAAAGAGGCAAACTCGACTATACTAGCAGCCTGACCGCATCATGGCTTCGAAAGGTCTCCAACTACTGAGAGTTTTTGGTTTAGCAAACCAACACGAGGAACCACAGCCAAGCCTGCGTCGAGGCAGCAGCAGTCTTGGCCGCACAGGATCGGCAGCTGCGGCAGCAGCGGCCTGGCCAGAGGTGGCAATCCAAGCTGTGATCGGCGTCTCGTCTCTACACGCTCCGCACCTCTGGGCAGGCCTGATGCCTCGGCCGCTGTGCTCCCAAGCAAGCAGTGTCTCTATTGCACAGGCCAGGGTCTGAGGCCCCGGCTCTGACAACTGCGCCTGAAGCTTCGAAATCTGCTCAAGGTCGTCCATGCTCCGTGCTTCGGCTGCCTCCAGGTGCCTCTGGAGCTGATGGGACCTCGCTTGTCGGCAGCAGGCATTTCTAAGCTGACCTGTTTCTTGGCGGCAATGCGCAACCAGTACATCCTTCCAGAAATGTTCTACCACCATAGGGGGATTGGGTGTAGAACGAGGAACTAGCACCAGAAATGCTGTTCGATTTGTTGGGAGGGCCGCTAAAAAGTAGTGAAAGCAGGCTTGCTCGGAGCAATTCCAAATGGAAACCGCCCAAGCTTGCCCAGCAGCTGTTTCGGCTGGACGGGGTCCTCTTCAGCATCTTGGGAGTCCAGATTCTCAGGCTCACTCCTTGCTATGCTTCTCCGGACTGCCACATATGCTGCCGACCCTTGACGACATGCCCTGGGCATTTGAAATCCATCCTCAGCCAATCGGGCCCGCAGACACTCTACAAACCCTACCAGAACATTGAGAGCACCATCCATTTCCGGGCGAACATCGCACGCACTACTTTTCGAGCTAGCCCCTTGCTCCCTGGGGCGAACGGGTGGGCGCGCTGCTGCCATGCATGTCTCAGAATACTGCAACGGTCTACCATGTCAATATGTTTAGAGGCATCAGCAAGTGGCACACGGTCATTGCTAATTGCTGCGAAACTTGATTGGGGGAACTTGGCTGACCGCGCACTTGAAAACTATTTTCAGGCGAGCCGCGGTTCGCAAGCAGCGTCCGTCTGCGACTCTGCGTGAGCCACGGCAGACACTCGCAGCAGGCCGTCCGATCTAAGCTCTCCAATGCTTTTCGGTGCTGTTTTGTGCTCATGGAGGACGAGCCAGTGTTAGGCTTTATCTCCGCCTACCACAAACAAAAACCACGAAGCAAAGGAGACGCCTTGCAACATGACCCCCCCTCCGGCAAATTCGACAATTCCGAATGCAACTTCTGTAGGCCCACACGGGGCCCACACTTCCTATTCGTGAAAGTCTCTGCTGCCCAGCTACTCTTTTTGCAGGATTTCGATAGCGGCCTGCAGGTCTTCCTCCTGATTCTCAAGAGACATGGCCATCTGGCTGTCATTCAGCTGCTCCACTGTTCTTCGTAACCTTGGATTGCGACTTATAGCATGGCTGGCAGGGTGGACGGGACCCATTCTGAAATGAACAACACGGAGTCGAGTCGGAAACTTCCCTGTATGGCCAGGAAGCTTTGCTTCAAGTTCTTTGATTCTTTTGCGCGCAATCTTTAGCGCCTTTTCCAATTGGTCCTTTTCCACATCATGGCACCTCAGCTAGCCGGTGACGAAACGACTGTGGCCTAAAACTCTTGCTGCAGGCAGCACTAGCCAAGAAACGTCTCAAAACCATGAGCATTGTAGGCAGCGGAGCTAGTAACTTCTAGGCTCCCAGCCATGTCGACTCATCAGGATGTGAAGCACCCTGCCATGCCCAGAGCACTCCAGGCGTCTCCGTTTCCCAGACAGGATAACACCTAAGTCTTCGTCTCCAGGCCAAACAGCTGAAGCAGCAAGTGGGCAAGCGACAAACTATGTGCTGCTCTCGGGGGATGTGCGAGCAAGCTTCGCAGGGCCCACGTATTGCTTGGGTCCAAGATCCCAGTTGCCAGCGCGCCAATACCGAGGATGCGCCATGGCAGAAGGTAGGCTTCGGATTTCTGGTTCCCGTGGGCGCCTTGTGAAGGACTCTGTGACAAACATTTCGAGAGAAACTACTTCATTTTATGTGCTGAAACCAGTCGAGTTTACTTGTGTGTACACACCAAATTGCTTTTCTGAGGGCCATGGATGCAGCGGACTCCCTCTTTCATCCCTGTAGTAAACCAAATATCTCAAATCTTCACCCCTCTAACGGGAATCCTTGCTCAGGCTCGAAGCCAAGCTGTGTGCACTGAAGTGCGGCAAGGTCCCAGTTGTTGCCAGCTGAGGCCAAGCTTGCACTAAGCCGAAGCAGCAGGAGATGCGAGTCGAGGTTCGGGGCTTGAGACAAGTGAGCGGTGGCTTCCTCAACAAGGAATCTTTGGGGCTGTGCAAGAACGAACTTGTCACTAGTCAATCGGGCGACAACCGAAGTAGCTACAGGCGCTTAAGTCATGGCCAAGTCATAGCCAAGACCCTTCCCCCCAATGAGCCGCAAGAAACACGGAGTCCTGGCCAAGTCATGGCTTTCGCCTTTCCCCCAATGAACGCGCCACGGATGCAGGAACAACAACGTTTTGATTGACAAGCTCGAGCCCATCTTTGGGGAACTGCGATTGCAGGCCCTGGAAATCCGGTTAGCCAAACCCCAGTGAACGCGTTCTCGCGCCAACAGTCTGTCGAAGCCGGCAGCTCGCCCGACACCTGCAAAAACCCAAGTGAAATCACCGGCAGCGCTTCATCTGCGTTGTGATCTCCGAAGCCCGCGCCTGTGCCCCCGCACACCCGAAAACCAAACGTGCTCAAGGGACATACACATTTTTAGCACGAAGCCCACGGTGAGCCAACACTCTACAGCTTCAAGTTTTGTTCATCTAGTGGTCAGGGTTTGCGATATGAAGCATACTAGTTCAAGCCAGGCATTGTTGGACTACCTTGTTACTGTGGAACCCTACCCCCCTCACCCCCCTCCCCTCCCCTCCCCCCGGTCGAAGCAAAAATCGGAAACCCAGGACGGCTGAATCGGCAAACCGAACGGCGAAATCGGAAGCCACAACTGATACGGAAACCAAAGATCTTCAGCGTCCAAACAGCGCGCGGGTCACCTGACTGCTGGAGGAGGGACCTAACTCTTACTACGCAAGAACAGCACCGCTTTCTGGCAAAGAGCCCTTCAAACCGGGAATGGTCTCGCGGTGGCTCAGGGAAGGCTCATGTAGCTTTTTCCGAGGTGTTTGCAGGTCACACAAGTGACTACCAATCCAAGTCCAGGATCGGACGTCAACATAGGCTCCGAAAGCTTCAGAGATTGGCGTGGGAAGCAACACATTGACTGGGTCTTGCACATGCACAACTAGGTCGGCATACCAAGCTCCGGTAAGCTTTCCCTACCGGAGTGTAAACTATGGCATCATGTGCCGCCAAACCTGGCACAAGACAAACTCGGGTGGGTGTTGTGGTTGACAAATCTGACGAATCTGAGATCGGGGCTTCATGAGCATGCCTTGCAGCCACTGAGCACTCTGCAGCAGCTTTGGATCTTGGCTCCTTTTCGCATGTCGCATGCCCCAACTCTGAGACCAAGATGTCTGGAGCGATGGCGGATTGCGGGCCTGAAGGCCACCTGAACCAGCTGGCTGAGGAACGGGGCTTTGCCCACGTGCGCCGTCAGCCTTAGGCGGGATAAACAACACGCAACGTGTTGCAACATGTTGCAAGGTTCACTGTTCATGCATGTCGTGCCAATCCCTGACAAATGGCTCGGTCTGGAAGACGAGGACCAGGTCACCCACCACTCCCACCGCAGCCTGTGCGAATAACCCAGGTCCACCATACGATCACGACTGCTCGGGCACGCTGCGTGCACTGACTTGCCCAAAACGGACCTTGATGACTGGCAGTTGCCTCGCAACGAAGGTTTGGATCTTCGGCGACTCTTGGACTAAATTGGGCCCCGGGCGTTGTGGGATCCTCACTGATCTCTTTAACGAGCATGAGCACGGTGTTTACATGCTCCTGCAAGTGGCTGCACAATGCGCACGAGCCCGTACAAAAAATCACCGCTGCAGACGCAGAAGGAAACAACAAACATGATGAGGAAATGCAATAGTAAATACAGCAAAAAACGAGGAAGGCGCTGGCAAAGGAGCCGCATGCGCGCCTTGAAGAGATGCAGCTTGTTCGACTCTTTAAGTCCGTGGATGATTCCAGAGTACCTCTTGAGGTTTCTGAATTCACGCAGCAGCTACTCCAATGAATTCAGCTTCCTTCCAGATCTCTGGCGCACGCTTCAAGCACTCCTTCTCGTAGGCTGTTCAGGTACCTGGTCACAAAATTAAGCTGGGCCACTGCATGGCCGTGCAGAGTTCCCCTGCAAGTCCCCTCGAAGCTGTGCAAAGCTGATATTGGTGGCCCGAGCACGCAATTCCAAGAAATCCGGAGGTTGCCCTACTGTCTTCGGTCATCGCTTTGCTATTGCATCTCTCACAACAGAAGATGCTTGCACCTTCTGTGAGCGGATGCAAGACCTAGCAAGCCTCTTATCCCGAAATGAGATTCGCACACATTCAATCCCTTCGGATGCTTGCAATCGTTGGAGCTATGGTAACCACGCACGATGGCGGGGCTTCCGAGAATAGTTTCTGGGGTCTCTTTCAAGGGTCTCATCATTCGGGGGACAAAGCCGGGGGCGGGGCGGGGGGACCTTGATGTACGGAAAATCTACATTCCGAATATGATTCCAATGACCTGGGCCTGTTCTGCACCGGTTCTCTACGAAGCTCCGAAGCCCGCACATGATACGTGTTGAGCAAAAGCATGGAACAGCTCTGGATCTTGGTACGGAACTGGCAGCGATGTCGCTAGAGTCAGAGTCTACGGTTCTAGTTCGAACTCGGATCGGGAAGCACTCGACCCACTCTTCGCTGTCTCCTGGGCCATCGGTCAACCTGCACATCCATGGAGTAACGGCGAGTCTTCTTAAAGGGATGAGCTTCTTCCAACAGCACTTGAAAAAGCCCCTGAGGGTTCCAGCCGCGTTGACGAGGCTTCCCGCAGCATTTGCACCACCGGGCCGAGGTACCTCCAAGAGCCCCCAACCCGTTTCGAGAGGATGCCAGCACCCCCCCCCCGCCCGGTGGCGCTCTCTCCACGTCTCTGAATACGTCTGGGCACTGCTCAAACTCTCCGGTGATAGCCATAGCTATGTCACCGAAACTCGTCATCACCGCGGCCTGGAAACTCGGAACAACAACACCGGAAGCAGTTGGCGCGGAGATTGGAAGAGGCCAAATTGGAGACCTTGATCTTGCGGTCCACCGCCGGGTTCCGGAGGTTAGTGTACAGGATCTGAGCACAGCAAAAAAAGACGAAAAAGGCCTAAGGACGAAGTCTGAACCGTCTGACCAATCTAGAATCTAGAATTTAAACTCGTTTGAGACCTGCAGGATCGTGTCGCAGTAGCCCACAATCTTGCCCTCCAGCGCCGTGCACAGATCTCCGACCATTCTGGTGGTCGTTAGGCAGACCTGTGTTTTTTTTTAATGCGAAGCCTGCAACTGCTGACATAACTCTCTTTCCCCCATCGCGAAGAGCGATCAAACCAGTGCCGAAGGGTTTCACTTTGCGCCTGCACCTCCTCGTAGTTCTGCAGTCCGACCTTGCAAGCTTCCGTCAATTCGCCATGGCCCCAAGATTCAACCGTCAGCCCATGCCTGGAGGTGGGGAGCGAAGTGCGGCATGAAGCGCTCCTGGAGACATTCTGGGCCAACAGCGGCTGCTTCTGAAGCGCTTCAAGCGCTTCTGGTTGCGACGCAGGATCAACCACAAGCAACCACAAGCTCTCAACAAGCAGAAGTACAGCCAAAGCACGAAGCCAGCGCCAGCCGCATTCGCTAAAGCCACGATAAGGAGCAAGGCCTCGTGTGGCAGGTTCGCATGTGGACCATCACGCAACTACCACACGCGACCACCCAGACACCACACCTCCTCATGCAGAACTTGGGCACCCCCTCGAACCTTGGATTCGCAGTGATTTCCACTCTTCGCCACGGCATCGGATCACCCAAGAGCCGCGCCTGTTGATAAGCCGAAATGACTTTCAGCGCTTCCTCCATGATCGAGTTGGCTACTGGGGCGACCTTCTCCCTGCGGAGCATCACCACGTGAGCAACACACATGAATCTACTACACTCTGAATCGAAAGAAACAAGCGAAGCGGAAGTGAAGCCGGCCTAAGGCGCGACACCTGCTGGGAGTGCAAAACAACACAGCACAACAACAAAAACGGTCCGCAAGAAGCAGACTTGGTGCCCCCCTCAGACACGGGCAAGCGACGTCAGCACCCCGCAGATGTAGCCCTGCAACTCGCACTCCCGGTCGATGGACTGGGCGTAGCAGGAGCTGTCGGGCCAGCGACAGCATCTCTTGAAATGCATCCCCAACGCCAGTCCTGAATGCTCATGAGTGTACTCAAACCCTCAGGCTGCGTCTTTGTAGGATGCCTGCAGGTGCTTCAGCATCTCCTGGAAGCAGGCAGCAAGACACAGCAAGCTGTAGCAAACTTCGGAGAGTTTCCCGCAAGGCCTCATGCCAAGAGCACGCAACAGAATCAAGTTTCCCACAACACAAACTTGCTCAAACATGGCACGCTGATAAGACGCTGCTCCTGCGTCAAGGCCTGCATGTGGGGCAAGCAGTCGCTGCCCGCCTTGCTGACGAGAACGCTCAGCGCGTTGTACCTGCTTTGATACGTGCTTTCAAGGTAGAGCGCTGGATTGCACGATGCTGACAGAAACACCTTCGCAGAGCTACCGACCACGAGACACGCACCGGAACTGTCCCTGTCTCTCCTCTCACAAGGTCAGCCCGAGGAGTGTCCAATAGTGTCCAAGAATGTCCAAAAAACCACTTGGATGTGCAAACCTTGGACGAACAGATGATAAGATGATGCAGAAAGGGATTCGCCCTGCAAGACGAACGCATGTTATGATTGCCTTTATCAAAACATGAGGACCAGTTCGTTACCCACAACTCCAACAAGTCAACAAGTGTGTTACGTCATATGCTATTGTTGCTGATTCTGAAAACGCACATTATGTGAGCATAACAAAACCACAACAGGAGAGGATGGACCATCAAAACAGACTATGAGCCACTACGACAACCGTAAAGCATACAAAACCTGTGACCAGGCGAGTTTCCTTCTGCCAGACACGGTACATCGACAAAAAGAGGCTTCTTGAACAACAGACCATAGAAAGCTCGCGGAGGCAAAGACAAATCTCAAAGAGCATCTGCCAAAAGCCACCAAATTCACATGGCGATGAGGTCATGAAGAGAAAACAACTGTGAAAGAACTTCAGGCACCATGCCGCGAGAACGGAGCAACACCACCAGGGTGCGTTCATGAAGAAAGCGTGGGAGTGAGCTGGAGGGGCAAAGAAGCCTGAAAGAGGCCGTGCTGCACCTCTCGAAGTGTTGGACGAAGCCATGGAAGACCCTCGTGAAGAGCCCGCTTTGACAGAGCCACCCATGACTGATGGCATTGTCCATCAGACCGGGATACAACTCCACATAGTCGAAGAAAGGCCCAAAACAGTCTCAATCAAAAGTCTTCGAACTCATATACATGTACGAACGTACGCATCCCGTGCCGTCAGGCTTTGCCAGATCACTACTGTTACTCACTACGTGTGGTACACCATGTAAAGGTCAGGGGGGTCCACCCTGCCATGCGCAGCTGGCGCTCATCGGCATCCGGTCTCGCCACCACCTGAAAAGCCAGGGCGATGTGGCTCGTGACAAAGTCAGGCAGTGTAGGGCTGGCTGCTTTTGACCCCAGACTTACAACCCTCCTGTCTCCTGCACTTCCTACGTATCTTGCAGCAGAAGCCTCCAAGAGAGCCGTGGCGATCGCAGTGAAAAACTCCGACAGGGGCGTCGAGTCAGGGTACTCCCAAGCGCAGGGGTGTTCTGGGACGAATTCTGGGACATTCAGGATTCCACCGGGTTTGCAGGCTTCAAAAGAAACACGTCCTGCCCAGCAATGCCGCCAGTCTGTGCCTCAGCCAGAACCTGAAGCCAGGCCAATTTGCAGTCCCCTCAACTGATGACTTAGTGACGCAGCCTCTCCGCCAAAAGGAAATTAGTGCGTGCCACAGAAAGGAAATCTCGGTCTCCTTCCGCCTTCCCACCCCAACAAGCTCTTTGCACAACCCCCCCCCCCAAATCTGTGGGACCTGCGCTGGGAGGAGCCGAAATCCCATGCCACGGGGGTTCCATGCTGTGGGCACCACGCCCAAAAGAAGAAAACAGATTCTCCTGCAACTTTTGCTGACACCCTCCCTAAGACCCCCCTAGGCGCCGGTCTGGGACCCCTGCGACACCTCTTAAGAAGGTCTTAAGGGCCGAGACCCGGCCTGCACGTTCCAGCAGATGTTGGCAGAGACTCGTGGGACGTCACGCAGCCTGGTCGCATGTCGATGCACGGAGGAGGTGCGCATGCAACATGGTGTAACCGGAGCTTGTATGGTTCAAAGGTCGCCTCTCGCAGAGGAGCGGCATGAGCTGCTTGACTGGCACGATGGTGGGATGGAACCTGCAGGACAGTGCAGGGACATCTTCGATGCTTTCGCCTTCACTGAAAAAACGGGATGCGGAGTCACTGAGGTCACTGAGGGTGCAGCTGCGCGATGCGACCCAAGGTCCAGGCAATGGTGTCACCTCCGCACAAGCGAAGAAATGCGGCTCTCAGAAAATCACGAATTGAAAAACCTCGATGCGATGCTTTGCAACTCCGTGGGCCCGGGCGAACCGCCACACTCTGGTCCTGCAGCGCAAGGACCTGAACTCAGATGCAGAACATTGTGAAAAGCACATCTCATGCGCCACTGATGTACGAATGGTCCTCGAGCAGAGGCAGCAGCGTGCACTTGTGATCAGACTAACAGAGCAGGGCCGTGGGGCCCGAGCTTTGCAACGGCCCTCTGAGGCTGCAGCAAGGTGACTGAGGCTCTGTTCGACCATCGGTCTCATTTTTTCGCTGGTCGGTCCCTGGGTTGGCCGATGCTTCCGGAAAAATTGGACAGAGTCCAGCTTGATGATGTGCGGCCTCCATGATGGAGCCGTACGCCAAGACCGCTGCTTCTCTAAACCTCTAGTCAAGAAGGGCAGCGATTCAACGCATACCGCACACACCTGTTTGCCAAGAGGCTTCCAATCAGGATTCTGGAAGTTGGTGTGCACAAACTGCAACACCAGGTCCACACAGCCATCCCTGACCACCTTTCAAGCAGGCACCACAGAAAAGATGGAGGGCTGAAACCAAGCTTTCCAGCCCCCTACCGCAAGCCTGGGCCACCAGCGCCAGGCAAGTGCCTGCTGCGAACTGCGGGTTTCAACACAAGGACGCCGGCTGGCTGGAGCCCCTCCTGCCCCCAATGACCCAATCCCCAAGACAACGATCCTTTCTGGATTCAACAACCCCTGGCCGCAAGCCCTACAAGTAGGCGTCACCCCTCAAACCGTACTAACAATTCAGAAAGTCTCGGTCAAGAAACCGAGCAACAGCTCCTGACACGTTCAATCAACTCGTCCTATGCATGTCTCGACTTGAAATAGACGATCGCAGACCGATTCCTGCAAAGGTCGGTGGATGTCAGTGGATGTCGGTGGTTAACTGAGCCACGTCGGAGACCGACATCGCGAGCAGGAATACGCAAACAAGAGCAACGGAGGCAAAGGCCCATTGACTGGATCTTCCATAACAGTCTGACAGCCATATGAAGTCGGGAGACCTGAGAGATTCAAAACCCGCCAGATCCTCTCCGCTTGAACATCCTTGTCGGGGGCCAAGGAATGGGAAAGATTACCAAGTCACTGAAGGGAACGAACTGAAGGGAACTGAAGGGAACTGAAGGGAACGAAGAGTAACACCTGAGAGACACCTGGAACCATGAGCTCTCGCCATCCCGAGCTCCGGTTCTTGGGATGCCGTGAGCCGAACGTTTGTGTGGTTCCACAGATCTTCTCCGGGCAACTCCCCAAAGTCAAGCACAAAATCGGCATCATCGGACCAAGTAGTTCTTCGGAAAACCTGGTGGGGGAGTTTCAACAGCCAAGACAAAAACAAGAGTCTTGAAAGAGGGTGAGCAGGGGGTGAGTTTTCCCCCCCCCCCCCGTGTTTCCTCCGAAGCCCAACAAAAGCTTTCGAACATCCCTGAGACGAAGCCTGCAGCCATGGCTAGGTTCCAGGTGTCGTCGTCATCCTCACTCTGGCGCTTGGTCAGCGTCCTCAGCGCGGAAGGGGAATGGAAGGCGAAGATGGCTCAGTCATCGCAGAAAACCTGCCATCTCGAACCCTGCCGCGCGTGGTGCATGGAATGGTTCGGAACATTAACAGTTCGGAACTCCAGGCCCCCCAACTCGGTGAGAAGCGGAACCAAGAATCCCAAGGCCTGCTGAACAAAAACCGCGGCTTTCCAGCAACACATCTCTGAAGCATGATTTGTGTGGAGCTTCTTTGTTTTCCTCCTCCAGGCCTGCTGGATGAGGTTCAGGGAGGCGCGGCCACCTGCTTGGCCGGCCTCAGCCAGGTCCATCAGATAGAGCTCCTGCAGGCAACAGACATAGAGAGCACGGAGCACGACTAAGGTGGATGGGGGACATCAACAAAGTTGTCCGCAGCATTGAGAGATATACTGAGAGCCTCATCGCAGATGGTTGACCAGAATTCCATGGCAGGAATCGCTACCTCGAGCGGCGGTCGGACAAAGATGTACTGCACAGCTGCACAGAGATGTACATAATACAAGATACTACAGAAGCCAAGCACCTGCGGACTCCTAAGGAGACAGGCCTTCTCTGGTGACGACTTGATGGTTTCCCACGTCAGCGGGCCCAAGCCATTCATGTACCTTCTCAGATCACTCAGTCGCAGGTAGGTCCCTCGCCAGATCTTGCCTATCCGTCCATCCACCTTGCACGGGGCACGGCATGAGGAAGTCGTAGTACCTGATGCGGGCTCATGCCGATGCTCCAAAACAACACATGGGACCCGCTGGACTTGCTACCGAATTTCGTGCGGGGCACTCCGTCGCAATCTGCACGAGGCACTCGAACGCTGCGATCTGGACCTCTGACGAGCAGCTCTCGTTCCCAAATCTTCGATGCTGTGTGGACTCTCGAGGCGAGTGCTTCAGGTGCCGCGGTACAGCGGCAAGTATCGTTCACGACCTCCATGGACCACACAGCTTGCAATCACGGAGATAATGACACATGAACTCTCACAAAGAAGCTCTGGGAGGAGGACGCCCATGATGACGTCGCGCTCGACTTGGTTCTTGAAGTTCCTGACAGGAGATGGATAGGACCATCGCTGCCATAAAGGTCCAAATGGGCCCCCCACTTTTTCGCAAGAACGACGGCGTGGTAAAAGGCTCGGGTCGCCTGCGGAGTGGTGCGGAGTGGTGCGGTTTGCTGCGACACTCGGCAACAGATTTGCAGCCTGCCTCCAGCTTTGTCTGTGGCTCTGTGTCCCGCATTCCCTGAACAACCTCAGAGAAGCGTGCTGCGGCGTGCAGAATGTGTCTGACAATTTTTATCTTCACAGAGTTCTCTCAGAGGCTCACAGCTGTCAGGATGTTGTTGGCAATATCATCGCTGATATTGGTTCCCTCCTCTGCTGAGATGTCCGTGTTTTCTGCACGCAACGAATCCCCCCCGCTTAAACGGCAGAATAAACACATTGCGCTCTCCTCCTGTACGACCACCAGGTCTTCACACAAGTAGCCGAGACAAACCAGCGAGATCTGGCACGGGCTGGTAGTCACAGACAGATGGACACGGGAGGTGACACAGGTGGCCAGACAGGCGGTCAGAGAGGTGGTCAAGGGTAAGTGTCAGTGAGTCAGGAGACTTCTCCACCATGGCCTGTCTGGCTCTGACGTCCGTGTTGGTCACGTGGCCGAGCAAAAGCGGTACCTGGCAATTCCCATCGTTTCCATTAGCTTCCGCACGCCCTTTACAGACCAATGCAATGGGGGCTCACCAGCCCAGGCCACTGCACCAAGGGGATCTCGATGGCCCCAATCTTGGCCAAGACCTCACGAAACAATAACCAGCATGCCTCAGCTAGATGGTCGGATTCTCTAGAGCAGCGGGCAAAAGAATCAGCTTGCACGTGCCTGCGCCGCCGCCTTTCCCACGTCGGTCTGCGGACTGATGAGTGCGGAGGTGGTGGCCTGGCTTGGTGCTAGGGACTTTGCTCTTGATTTGCTTCATGCCGCCTTCAAAAATTGCCCATTGGAACCCTCTGCCTCCTTCACCAGATTTCGACTCGCTGCCGGCCTTGGGTCCAAAACTGCACGAATGCCACGACCATGTATGCTGCATGGAAAACAGCAAAAAGAAGAGGATTCTGATTAAGCGAATGCAAAAATAGAGGCAGCATGGCGCTTCTCACATGGCGATTCACACAAGATACACAAGAAAACCCTTGGAGTCGAGTGACAGGTTCGCCCATCTGGCTTTCAGGTCGCGATCTTTCGCGGGATCCTCTTTAACAGCTACACCAACATATTTTGAATGGAACAAATAGTGAACAAATCACCGCAAAAGCTGCACAGTCACGGCGAAGCTTGTATCTCCTTCGATGCCAGGGCGTTCTTCAAAAGAAGTCCTGAGCAGTCTCTGATGCAGTCTCTAGCAGCCTCTGGCTGGAATGAGCATGATAGGCTCATCTCTCCTGCAAGCTGCCGCGCAACCACAGGTTTCTCCGTGTTCGCCAGCTCCTGACAAGCTGAAGTTACGTGCCGTGTGAGCACGCGAGTGATGGCATTCCGTGTCCTGCGCAAGGGCTGTAAAGTACCTGGTCAGTATCTTCAGAGGTGAGTCTGAGAAAGGTCGCGTCTCATTGGTTGCGCAAGGCAAAGCAGCGCCACGGAGTCCATTCACAACGCGCTATTGAGCTGCGAGCTGATCGACACTAGCCTGTTCAGCCTAGGAGAGGCAAGGCCGCGTGGTCAGGACTGGAGAGCGCATCCTGAACTTCTGGGATCCTGGACCTGTCGAATCTGCGCTTCCGCTTGCGCATTCTTGGACGGGTCCTGCCAGGCTTCTGCACGTGCGCCCGCCGTGCCAAAAAACCTTTCTTCGAGGCTGAGGCTGAATGTAACCTGCCACAATGCACATGCATGCATGTGAGCCCCAGTGTCCAAGGTCGCCAGCAGCAGCTCGGTGAGACTCATGGCAGCCTGGACGCTTGAAATGCTTGAAATGCTTGAAATGCTCGAATGAACCCTCGAATCAATCGGATGCAGACCCTGTGAGGTGAGCAGCTGATCTCAAAAAATGAGGGCGCAACACGCAGGGCGCCAGGCCACAGAGGCTGACGCGGGAAGTGCGCTGTCTCGGTCTACGAGGACACTGGAAGATACCGGCTAAAGGTTGGGGTGGAGACTGGGTTGCGGTTGGAGATGGGTGAGGGTGGGGGTGAGGGTGGGGGTGGGGGTGGGGTAGGGGTGAGGGTGGGGAGTGAGGGTGGGGAGTGCTAGTGGCTTCGTGGTGTCGCTGTAAGGGCTGGGTCTTCGGGTGTATGGCTGTGAAGTAGCTTGAGTGACATTGCCCTGAGGGCGCTCGACACCGGACAGGGACGTGAGCCAAAAACTGGCGGCAGTATCCTTGAAAGGTCAGGAAAGCTTGTTCCAAAAAGCATTTCGATCAGCCCGAAGACGATTGGAAACCATTCAAATCCCAATCGAGTTCGCTTGAGCCGCCATCCAAGCCCTTTCTTCGGCTTCTTCGCAGCCACTTGTAGGATCACTCGTTCAGCGAATCCCCGTGTCACAGGTCGGACATCACGATCTTCTTCTGGCACAGAGGCAGCCAGACTACCCGAAACCCATATCACCACCAGAAAACCCGAAAGAGAGCTCGAACATCCTGTCTCTGAGGCCTTTCCCGAAGAATGAAATTGAACCTCTTCGCCTGCAGCTGGCAGGAGTTGACAAAAATAGCCAACGTCAGTCACGAAGCAAGTGCGCAAGTACTCTGGGTCATCACTTGCCCTCAAGCCCTGCTAAGCTTAGAGGACAACTATATTATTTGTATATATAATCCCACACCCGACAATCACGTTCCCGGCCCTCGTCTAAACACCCGAACACCATGTAATCTTCGAAGCCCAAGAGTCCCCCCCCCCACACCAGAAAGCCCCGTACCGAGCGTTGATCCGCCCGTGGCTGGCTACTGCAATGGATCCGATGACCAGAAAGTCAGAAACCCTTTCGGGAAGCCTCGCCTCGCCCCTCCGCTCGACGTCTTCGAGGAGCTGTCAAGCAAAAACGCTCACGAGAACTCAGTGCTCAAGTCAAAGGCTAGGAGCATCAGGCCTTCCTCAAGGGCTGGCGGCCTCAATGTCTTGCAATGCCAGGCTGGACGACACTTTGCAAACCGTTGCAACCTTGTAGTAAAATGAGCGTCCCACAGGTCCGGATCACCTGCATAATGAAGGTCTGGACATCGGAATGCCCCCTGTGCTGAAGCCTTTGCAACATCCCACCTTCAGGTCGCTTTCTCCTACGACGCCGCCGATGCTCGACAGGTGGACCAGTGGGACCGTTCTCCAGAGCCTCTGGCTCACCTGGCGCACCGCGGTGATCAATGGTTTTCCCTGGTCCTCTGGATCTTCCCAGCAATCCCATGACAATCCCGGCACCCATCCTCCGGGCAGCGCTTTGCGCTTCCGCACGAGCCGGCGAGGCCTCTGCCCGCTTGTTGCACACATTTGCACTCTCACAAGCTACCCCGATTCTCTCCCCTGAACGCTGCTCCGTCTCCCTCTTCCCCTGGCTCTTCCCCTGGCGCACCGCTCCAACGGCATCGTTCTGGCCGGGGCGCCTCACAGCACACAGAGCTACGCAGTGCTCTGGCAGGCATGACATCTCTGTGCACGAGGCCCGCGCCTGTGTCGGGTATGTCGGGTACCTCGTCATCCTCGTTCTCGCTGCCTGCATTTCGCAGAGCTGCGGAGGAGGCATGAGAGGAGCCCTTCGAAGAGTCTTTCACCAAAATGCGCCAAAACAGAACACGACTCTGCTTTGCCTCCTTGTTTTTATGAGAAGCTGAGACATGTATGAAAATTGACGTTTGTTTACTTGCGATTCGTTTTTTCCGCTGCCAGTGCATGACGCACCTGAGGACGGCTGGAACCGTAGCCTGTTGTCGAGGCAGCGTCTCTCGAAATTCACATTTTTCTGTGTTTCCTAGGAGGCTCGTTCAGAGGCACTTCTCACCCCGAGAAGTGGGGAGTTTGCACAACAGCCATGACATGCCCCTGCGTGAATACAAACCATAAGGATTCAATCAGTCGACCCGTCTTGGACGGCGCGGACTCAACATGCGTAGGAGGATCGAGCGGGCAATATCATGAACCCGCATCAAATGCGTCAGCAACCGAAACCAGATGTGCCCAAGAGACAGTAAGTTTCTTGGCTGCACTTAGGAGGGTAGTAAAAAACTAAACTTTAGCTGCCTTATTAAGAAACCCAATAAACCCAAAAAAGCTAAAGATCTAAAGTTACAGTAAAGCACCACAAAGGTTTGTATTGCTATGCGGCTGAGTTTACGCTGACCAAATCGACAATGCTCTCCATCTCGCCTTGGCATCCTCTGGGCAGCACTTTGCGCTTCCGCACGAGCCGGCGAGGCCTCCCCCCGGAGCCGCCCACGCGCGCCCGCTTGCATTGGCACACTCACCCACTACCCCGATTCTCTCCCTGAACGCTGCTCCGTCTCCCTCTTTCCCTGGCTCTTCCCCTGGCGCACCGCTCCAACGGCATCGTTCTGGCCGGGGCGCCTCACAGCACACAGAGCTACGCAGATGACATCTCTGTGCACGAGGCCCGCGCCTGCGTCGGGTATGTCGGGTACCTCGTCATCCTCGTTCTCGCTGCCTGCATTTCCCAAAGCTACCATCCCTACCATGATTACCACTGCTTCCAAGCGACATGTGGATCTCATCCCTGCCTGAGCCTGACCCAGAGCTGGACGAGCTCTCACTCCGCTCGGGGAGGCCCGGCCGCATGCCCTGAAGATACGGAGCCCACATCACCAACACGTCAAATACAACACGTCATTAGAACATCTGCACACCTTGCGACGCGATCTTACAAAGCTTGGGCCGGCGGCTGGCAAGAGCGGCATTCCAGGCATCCGCATGCCAGGTGCCCCTCCGTGAAAAGACTCTGCACAAGACTGCCACACACCCCCCGACGTCTTCCAACCTCCCATCGGCATGCCAGGACCTCAGCCACGTGACAAGCACTGCCAGCAAATTGGCTGAGACCACGAGGTTGAGTTGAGGCACGGGCCCATCATTCCCGGCATTCCGGGCGGCATGCCAGGAGCCATCCCCGGGGGCATGCCAGGAAGCATCCCGGGAGGCATCCCAGGCATCCCAGGAGGCATCCCAGGAGGCATCCCAGGAGGCATCCCAGGAGGCATCCCCATCGGCAGCCCGAAGCCGGGACCCAGCCCAGGCCCCGGAGCTGAGGGCCCCGTGGGGAGGCCCATGGCCTGAAGACATCTGAAGACTACGCAGCACCGAAACGGGAACCTGTTGTGCCGCCCACGCTCACGCTCACGCTCCGGCACACACGCACACGCTCACGCACGCTCTCACGCGCACATTTTGGTCTGCAATACGCCAGCGACTTTGCAAATCAGCACCCGGCAGAAAAAATCAGAAGAGGAGGTTGTAGTAAGAGAGTGTCAGTTTAAGCTCACGCAGGTGTTAGCGGCCCTGCCTGGGTGAAACGCTAGTCTCGGCACTTCGTGGTGACTTCTTGCGGTTTTCTTGCTGGGGGGTGGGGGGAATGGGGGGGGGGGTAAGAAGGTCATTCATATTGCGTCCATGCACTGGTACGTACAGCGTTTTGGCTTCTTTGTACAACATACTGCACAAGTATGCGGAACACGACAATCTGTCACAAGCGTCCATGCCTTTCGCGACCAAAAACCGTGCTTTCCGTGCTTGACGTCTCTGCGCAAACCCAAAGCCCTAAACTTGAACCACTGCAAGCCCGTTGCACCCTGAACACTCCAGCCCCCAAAAAAACATGCGAAACTCTGAAAACACTGGCGGGCGTGGCTCTTTGCAACATAAGACCACATTGCAGCTTCCCGGTCCACCCTGAACACTCACAAAACACAAAACCCGAAAACGCGCAGAAATCGCAAAAACATATCCGCAAAATAGACACTGCGAAATGCTGAAAACACTGGCAGGCGTGGTACTTTTCAACAACTCACCACCTTACGGTCACTCCAAGTCCCGCCAAAACAACCGCTTTCAATGTGCAAACACTGCCCTGCGTGGGTTAAAACCACATTTCCTGGTGCAAACGATCCAGGGCCGCGAACGCCCGCTTGACCGAGTTTAATGTATGTCGTGAAGTTGGCCCGAACGCTGTCAGAATCATTGTTGCGTGCGTTGCTTGTTTGCCCTCTCGGTCTTGAACGCTGGTGGGTGTGGCCTCGTCAATACTTGTTTGCGCTGTCAATACCAATGCTCTTCGTCTGCATTGTTGCATTGTAGATTCTCCTTTGATGGTTTCATCTTCCGCATTGTGTCTCCAACTATGTTCCTACAATGTTGTACTTCACGCGACCATCAAATGCTGCAGATGTTGCCACCGTATCGTGCTCAGCGCTGCGGCACATTCACAACTGTTGCTGGACTTACCGAAGATACCATGGTGAACGTCATACTGCGATGCTGCAATGTGCACATCACCGCGGTGCTGTCCATACTGCTCGGCACATGAACCACATGCACACATCCGAACCACGTGTTCCACAGGCATCTGTTAATCGGACTGCTTCGTCAATCAGCGAGGGTGCACTACATATACAGTGCATACTTCTCCCATTGCTAGTACGGCATTGTTCGTGGCAATGGAGAAAAGGATCAGGACACGTGTTGCCCGCACACACACACACACACACACACACACACACACAGTGACGACCCCCGAAGAGGTTGGTAGGTTCGAATGAATACCCTGTTCATTCTTCAACGGACTCAACGTGCTCAACTCTCAAAGATGTAGCAGGTACGTGAGGTTGATCAGACCTCCTGGAGCTTCGTTGCACCAGGCCAAGTTGAGTGCCCCTGGCGCCCCCTGCTTTTTCAGATTCTTGAAATCGACTTCACAGCAGCACTTTTTGTTATCCGCGCGTTCACACGCACACACACACACACACACACAGAGAACTCTTCACTTCCCCAAGTTCGCTCTCCCGCCTGCAATCCCATCTGCATCCCTAGCTGCACACCCACACCCAGGATTCCTGTAGCATGGGGGCACTCCTGGCCAGAGCAAGCATTCGCCAACGAGGTTCGCTAGCCCGCAGACACAGATTCTCGCCAGTCCTTGGTGCGGTGATCGCCACCACACGTAGCACAAACCTCGGAGGAGCGATATGCGCACCACCCGCACAGGCAGGACCCTGTGCATCCGGAAAAGTCTAACAGACCCTAACAGACCCTAACACTGTCTAGCAGTCTACCACCGGGCTAGAGTCTGACACAGTTCTCGCAAGCGGTTTCTTCTGAATTCTGGTCTGCTACGCACTGGCGACTGGTCACCTTGAGACCTGGCTTTGGACCGCCGTTCAGCATTTCTGTTGCCCAGGAGTTGGGCGCACGGCCCATCTTGCAGGGCCGCTCTTCGGCCTGCGACAAGAAAGCAAGAGCAAAGGCCAACGAGAAAGAATAGAAACCAAAATGAAGAGCAAGTGCCAAAAGCGAAGCAGAAAGCAAGGCAGAGTGTGGGTCTTCCAGCTGCATGCCAACAACGTTCGGGCGTTGTGGGCCGGAAGTTGTAAACCTTGTTGGTGTGCTTGTGTTGGGCAGCAAGGGGGGGGGTCGGGGGGTATTCGTTTCGTTAGGTCTCTTTGTGTGGGGTCCTCAGCTTAAAAAAGTGCCCGCCTCCATGAGAAGCGATATACCCAAACCATGAATCAACACCACTTGCATGAGCCTGTTCAGCTCCCTGGCCGTCTCCCGGAAACGACGCGGCTTTACCTGCGACTCGCAAACGCTTGGAACAAGAAAAAGAAGAAAGGAGCATGCGAGACGAGTATGAGCGATAAGCTCAGACTAAAAGGACGCGAAAGAGAGCCGGAGATATCATGAGAACAAGGGAAAGAAAGAGGCATGCTGTAACGGAGAGAGAGAGAGAGAGGAACAATGACAAAAGAGTCTGAAGATGTCTGAGAGTGTCGAAGTCAAGAAAACTGAGCGCGCACCCAGCCTTGACAGCCGGAACTGTGACCTTCTCCTCACCCTTCTCGCCTTTCTCCTTCTCACCTTTCTCCTTGTCACCTTTCTCTTTCTCCTTCTCGGCCTTCTCCGCCTTCTCGGCCTTCTCCGCCTTCTCATTCTCCTAGCGTTCACACCAGGAAAGGGAGGGGAGCATCTCCCTGCTCAAAAATCCCCCCCACTTCTGCCACCCCTAACAAGCTTCCCCCCACTTTCCCCGTCTTTAAGCTCCCCACCTTCTTAGCCTTCTGCTTTCCCCCCCCCCCCCCCCTTGAGCCCCCCCGGGATGTTCTCTTGCCTCCGCGGCTTCCGGCTTCGCCTCCTCGCCTTTGAGCAGGCCCTCCGTGCCTGCTTCGACTCCAAGAGGAGAGAAAGAGAAGACAAATTACAAGAGACTCTCTCTCTCTCTCTCTCTCTTGCTTAGAGATGCACGAAAGCTTTGGGGTGAAAGAACTGGATGTTGGACAACTCATATGCATCTTCACGAATCACATCCGGGCAAGATGTGGCCTCTTGCCCATGAGACCTCGCTCAGGATCAGCTTGACCGCCTGCCCCATTCCCGAAACTGCGCAGATAGTACAGTGTTTGTGCAGCCTTTCCCTTGAGTAGTGTTTGAGCCCAATACGTGTTAACACTGCAGCCCTGTGTTGGCTTAAAAGTCCGAGCTTTTGTGAGTTTAGCACTCCGCGCATGGTAGCGGAGCTCTGGTCGGCAGCCAGGGCTCCGAAACTCACTTAGGGGTTAAACCCCTGAAAGGCGGGAGCTACCGCATAACCCCTCCGAAGGGGTGCTGCAGCTCCAGTTTCCGAGGTCCGTGTGTAGGACCCGGTCAATCCCGCAGAGACGGGGAAAGGTGGTGGAAAGGAGAAAGGGGAGAGCACGAGATCCCCCGAGGCCATAGCACGCCGACTTGCTCGTGGCCTGGCAAGACGCCTACAGAGGGAGGCGGACTACGAAGAGGTAGCCTTAGAGGAAGGGCAGGAGGAGCCTGAGGCACGAGAAGCCAGAGCTGCTCCCGCGCTGAACCTCAGCTACCTGGAGGGACTTGCCTTGCAGGGTGGAAGCCAGGAGAACCTGGCCGCAATCCCTGAGACAAGGGAGTTCGTGAGTGACGAAAGGTCACTGTGGACGGGGCTTGAGCCTAGGGATAAGGCTTCGGTGAACTACCTCCGTGCTCAGAAAGCGCGGGAGGCAGTTTTCAAAGGTACCCCTTTTGCTCGACGCTTTCTGGAGGACAGACCTGGAAAGCAGGCAAGGGCAAGCTTTGCGAGGGACGAGGCTGTTCGACGTGTGGCAGCAGGACCTACTTCCAGTTCCTCGTCAAGCTCAGCGGTAACTCACCGGCAGGGATCGGAGAGACAAAGTGTGGAGGAAGCGCCGACGCTTTCCCACGCACCAACAACAGAGTTCGAGTCAGTCGCTCCAACTCACCCTGCCACCAGCGTGTACTACAGCTCCGACGAGGAGGTTGAGGTCCAGGTGGAAGAGGAACCTGAGTCCTCAGTGACGCACCTTTCGGTGACAGAGGACACAAGCCGTGCAACAGCAACCTCGGCAGGATCGTCCTCGTGGTACAACTCCAGGGCCGGCAGCGACATCTGGAGGAGAGACGAGACTCGCAGGAACGAGCAGTGGGAGCGCTACCAGCCGTACCACGCCAACTACAGGTGGCAGCGTGGTGACTGGGACAACTGGTGGGAGACCGAGACTTGGAAGGAGCGCAGGTGGGGAAGAGACCCCCATTGACTGCGGGAGCTACCGCACACGGTCGTGAGTAGATCGGTGTATAGTTCTGTACAAATTCATTTTCCCTTGATTTGGTTTTCCAAGTTTTCCCTTTCAACTTTCTAGGTCACACTCCGTAGTGGGCCTAGGCACTGAGAGCTATGGAACAACAACTGGTGCAGATGCAGCAACAAATGGCTGAAATGGGCGCGCGTTTAATGGAGCAGAGTGAGCAAATTGTTAGGCAACAGGCAGAAACCACCAAACAGCAAGCTGAGCTACTCGAGCTCAAGAAGCAGGAGAGACCCGGGGGGCGACTGGTGGATCCAAGGAACATTCCCAAACCCCCATCTTTTTCCGGTCGAAAAGAAGACTGGGAGCGGTGGAAGCATGTTTTTCTGTCTTGGCTAGGAACCATACATGACAAGTACCCTGGTTTGTTGAACTGGGCAAGCAAGCAGAAAGAGAGCATTGACCATGACAGTGATGATGTCACTCTTGAAGATTTGCAATTGAGTCAAGCGTTGTATGCGATTCTTGTCGGTTACTGTTCTGAGCAGACTCAGCAGCTGATCACTCAGGTTCCTGACGGAAATGGGCTGGAGGTGTGGCGCGTGCTGAGTAAGACAAACGAGCCGAGCAACCGAACGAAGAGCTGGGTGTGGAGAAGACATCTCATGAACCCTCAATTCCCAAGTGACATCAACAAATGGTCTGAAGCCTTTCACCAGTGGGAGGCTGAGATGAACGAGTTTGAAAAGCAGTTTCGAAAAGTAGAACCCGACGATAAGCTGAGCGTTTTGGTTCACGTTGCCCCAAAGGAAATTCAGCAGATGATTTTCTTGCATAGCAACACTTTGGACACGTACAGCAAAACCAAGGAGTACATAGAACAGTACCTTACATCCCGAAACCTTTGGAGGCGACCCCAAGGCTCGAGTTTTGGTGCGCCAAAGAAGTCTCATGTTGATGATGGTGGCCCTGCCCCCATGGACATAGGAGCTGTAAAGGCAGGAAAAGGAAAAGGGGGCAAGGAGGGCAACAAAGGCAAGTGGGACCAAGGTGGGAACTCGGGCAAGTGGGGCGACAATCGCGGCTGGAGGGATCGGGGTGGAAAGGACTCCGGAAAAGGAGATAAGGGTGGAAAAGGAAAAGGAGGAAAAGCAAGTGGTGGTGGCAAGCCAGGTGGAAAGGATGCGGGGAAGTCTGGGCATGACAAAGGAAAGAAGGAAGGAAAAGGAAAAGGAGCAGGAACAAACCCACACGCGGGGAAACAATGCCATGTGTGCAAAAGATATGGTCACATCGCGGCGGATTGTTGGTGGAAGGTGTCTGACATTTCCGAGGACAAGACAAATCAGGAGGCCCAGGCGTCCACGGGAGGTGTAGGTTCCATATCTGAGCAAGTCCATGATGTAGATCACAACAACATGTTGTTTGCGGTGACGGATCGCATCTGTGGCGTGCGCGACCACAGTGAGGATGTTTACATGTTGATCGACTCGGGTGCTTGTGAAAGTGTGGCGCGAAATGGAGAGTTCAGTGACAACTTTGAGCCAATGCCACAAGGGAAGCAACTCTTTTCAGTGCAAGGCACTGCGCTGAGAATCTATGGCAAGCAGTATCCCAAGGTGAGGCTGGACGACGGTACAGTGGGCGAAGTGGACCTGACTGTCACCGATGCCAGTGAAACTTTGCTCAGTGTACACAGCCTTGTCTACAAAGGGTTCGAGGTCACGTTTGGTCAAGAAGAGAGCTATCTTAGCAAAGATGGGCAGAGATACCCATTAGTGAAGAAAGGAAAGAGGTGGTATCTGAAGGTTGAGAAACTATCGCCCAGCGAGGCAGGCGTCACTGCGCAGCGCATTGCAGCGCTGGAGGGTGCCACCTCATCGTCTTCGCGAGCTCCAGTCAGCGAAAAGAAGCCAGTGGACTACTGGAAGACAGAGCGCGATTTGGTCATCCGTGTTCATGTGGTGCCAAGGCTCAGGAAGTTTAGCCCTGCGGATGCTGACGATTGCCCAGTGATCGTGGGCGACTTGGAACCAGTCAGAGCAACTGAGGCCAAGTGGGTGGATCGGACAGCAAGCGAGAGCTTCGAGGATCTCTGGTTTGGAGTCAAGAATCCCAGAGAATCTTTGCTGCGGTATTGGACAGGTGAGACCATCTTCAAGCTTAAGCCCCAGGAGGCTCAAGAATCCCAACGAATGGACTTGGAGGACCCGTTTGGCAAAGATGACGAGGGAGATGAGTTGGCCGACGATGCGATGACATTGTGGGAACTCAAGGAGCGAGAAGAGGCGAAGCAACAGCCCATCATGGCAGAACCAGTAGAGCCAAGCCTCGAGGAAGTCGCTGAGCACGAGCTTCACCATGCAAACTTTGAACCTTGGTGCAAGGTTTGTGTTGAAGGGCAGGGACGTGAGAAAGCACATCGCCGACAACATGAGGATCCGAAGGAGCACATCATTTACAGCGACTACATGTACTTCACAGCTGAGGGGAAGCAAAAGAACAAGGAGGAGGTTGAAAAGAGCAAGGACTCAGAGGAGTTGAAAGGTTTGGCGATTGTTATGACAGCGATCGACAAGGACAGCCAATGCCCCTTTGCAGTGCAGGTGCCTTCGAAAGGCACAAAGAGGAACATGTACGCGGTCAATGCAATGGTGGACTGGATAAAGGACTTGGGTTGGAAGAAAGTGACAATTCAGATCGACCAGGAAAGTGCACTGGCGAAGGTGTTCGAGCAGGTGCAGCAAAGGATGGGTATGGACGTGGTGGCATTGAGAAGGAGCCCGAGGTACTCTTCCCAGAGTTTGGCAGACGGTGAGATGGTCAATGGACTCATTGCTGGCAAAGTAAGGACTTGGGTGGCCAGTCTCCGGGATAACTACAGCGAGCAAGTGATACAAACCACGGACATCCTGTTTCCTTGGATTGTGAGATTTGTGAGTTGGTCGTTGCCGAGGTTCCACGTGAACCAGTCCCGAACAACACCATTCCGAGTGCTCAAGGGTTACGACTACATCTCGGAATGCCTTCCTTTTGGTGAATGTGCGCTTGGAAAATATTCAGCGAAGAAGTCTGGGGTCAAGAGTGCTTCCAGATGGGTGTGTGGGATCTACGTCGGAAAGACCGCTAGCTCCGATGAACACATCCTGTTGACGAGTGCAGGAGCTCAGACGTTTAGAACTATCAGGAGGATGACACACGGAAGGCGTTACCAAACGAGTATCTTGGACAAGGCAGCGGGAGTTCCTTGGAACACGGTGTACAAGGCCGACCAGCGCAAGCCAGAGGAGATCAGGAGCAAAGTGACAGCGCAGACAGCGCCAGAGATGAGTGATCCGGAGTATGAGCCGACTGACATCGAGCCAGCTGCAGACGAGCCTAAGACCATGGTAGTAGTGCCGCCGGTGCCCGCTCCAAGCGTGCACCTGACGCAAAAGGAAGCCGAGGATGCAGGCGGCGTGGCGCGACAGATTGACGCAGACATGACCAACGCGGACGAGGCGAAAAGGACAACAGCAATGCCGAGCCGCTCTGGAAAAGTCAGAAGAACAGAGGCCACAGCAAAGGCAAAGTCAGAACCAGCGTCATCAGCCGCAGCAGCCTCAAGGGCAGTGCCAGGAGAGGTAAGCAGTGAAGACAGCAGTTCATCGAGCTCTAGTTCGCCCACCTCGCGGTCGAGGTCGAGACACTCAGGAAATGAGGAGAACACAGAGAAGCCAGAGTTAGGAGGTGATGTAGGATCTCCTAGCAAGGAAGTGGGCGACACCCAGGGTTTAAGCACACCTGTGGGTGCTACCACAATGGAAGACACAGTGAGCGCAATCTTGGAGGAAACCGAGGAGAGAGATCAGATATCTTCGGTGGCGGACTACTTGGACGCGTGCGTGGTGGATGAAGAGGCTAGGCACAAGGCCCGACTCGAGGAGATCGAGAAGCTGGATGAGATGTTCAAGGCTTTCACGCCCCGCGATCGTAGGGCGTTGCCGAAAGAAATAAAAGTGTTTGGACATTGTTGGGTGGACAAGGTGAGCAGTGGCATAGCCAAGTCACGACTCACCTGCCAAGACTTCAAGCGAAACAATGGTGCAGACAAGAACTCATCAGAAGGACAAAACAACTTTTGCCCAACTCCAGGACACAGCACAACCAAGATGCTGGAGGTATACAGCCTCTACCACAACTTTCCGAGAGTGAAGGCGGACCTCACGTCAGCCTTTCTCATCGCCCGAGATGGAGGCGACGAAAAGGGACAACCGGTGTGTATGAAGCCGCCAAGAGAGTGGCTGGACAACCTGGAGGTGTGGCTATCCAGACAGCCAGCAGACAAGCGAGATGAAATCGGAAGCATTCCAAAGGAACACTTGGTGTGGCAAGTGGATGGCAACATCTATGGGAGGCAACCAGCCGCCAGCCAGTACAGAGACAGGCTGGATGAAATACTTGTAAGCAAGTTGCCCAAGGATCGGTATGACTTCGTCCGAGGCCGGTTGGATGGATGTGTGTTTAGGTGCACGAAGACAAAGATTGCGGTGATACACCACATTGACGACTTTGACGTCACCGGTCCAGAAAATGACTTGGATGATCTTCTGAAGGTACAGTTGCCCAAGCATGGGTGCAAAGTGAAAGTGGGAGAGTTTGAATGGCCAGAAAAGCATGGCAAAACAAGCTCAGAGTTTCTGGGACGAGAGAAGATCAGTGTGGAAGGAACCGTGTTGACTAAGCCCAATGCCAAGCACACCGACAACATCCTCAAACTGTTGAACCTCGAGAATGCAAAGAGCAGCCCAGTGCCCGGGAGAAAATTGGATCTGGACAACAACAGCGAGCAATTGTTGGACGAGAAAGAGAAGAAGATTTTCCAATCGTGTGTAGGTAGTGCGATCTACTTGTCCCAGGACAGGATCGACGTGAAGTTCGCTGTGAAAGAGTTGGCGCGTCGAATGAAAGATCCGCGGAAGGCTGACATGGCGAACCTAAAGGTGCTGGGGCGATATCTCAAAGGGACACGAGATCTGGGACACCTAACAAAGGTGGAGGATCTCGAAAGCTCAGCCGCAGGAGAGCGGGAGCTACCGCTGCACGCTTACTGTGACAGCGACTATGCGGGAGACACAGAGTCAAGGAAATCTACCTCAGGCGAGGTTCTTGTACTTGGTGGGACAGTGGTTGAAGCAAACTCGACTACTCAGTCGGGGAACCCAGCGACAAGCTCAGGCGAGGCAGAGTTGAGATCGTTGAATCACTGCGCCCAGTCAAGTATGTACATTCAGAACTTAGCTAGGTACGATTTTGGCCTTCCGGTCTCCACGCCTCGCATTTGGTGCGATTCATCAGCAGCCTTGCAAGCAGCCAAACGAATAGGTGTGGGAAAGATGAGACACATTTCTTTGGCACATCTGTACATCCAAGAATTGGTGAAAACAAAACAGGTCATCATAGGAAAAGTGAAAGGCGTTGCGAATCCTGCTGATTGTCTGACCAAACATTTGAAGACAGGCGAAGAAGTCAGACAAGCCTGTGAACTCACAGGGATGGTCCAACTCAGCAAAGCTGGCATGGACGAGCAGGTAAGAAGAACAGCACTGAGTAGGGTCAGTACGATTGCTGACGAAGTCGAAAGAAAGTCAAACAAGTGGAAGCCTAAGATTCCCGCAAGACTTTCTCTCAGACAACTGTGTAGTGTCGTGTATAAGCCTTACCGGAGGGAGCTACCTCACTGAACATGGGAGAAGCCCTTGTAGTGAGAAGTGCAATGGTCACAGTTCTGCAGCTTGTGGAACGAGGAACTGTGGAGCAGTACCTCAGCGTGTCTGTGGTTTTCCTTTTGGTAAGCAGTGTGACACTCAACATGTTTCTTTTGTGGAAGCTGAAAGTTTCCAAGAACAACGAAGCCACGAATGTGTACCTGACAAAGCACATGTCAGTGTACCACACAAATGCTACATGTGAGCACTTACGCCAAGGGTTCAAGACTCTGCGTAAATGTAAAGTGTGTGCTCACAAGAAAGTCGCAGCAGCCTAGACAAGGCAAAGCTGCAGGGGGGGTGCGCAGATAGTACAGTGTTTGTGCAGCCTTTCCCTTGAGTAGTGTTTGAGCCCAATACGTGTTAACACTGCAGCCCTGTGTTGGCTTAAAAGTCCGAGCTTTTGTGAGTTTAGCACTCCGCGCAGAAACCCTCTCGAAACCTTCCCCGCTGCCCCGTGCTGACGCGTTTGGCTAAAGAGGCCCCGAAGGGTGGAGGCAGTGGAGGCCTCATCCTGCTGCTCCTTTGAACGAGCCGTGCCGCAGAAGCAACAAAAGGCGCAGGAGGACAAGCAGGCATCTGCAGTCCTTGGTGCCGATGACCTGCACTTGCCTCTCTTTGCTTCCGGCCGGCATCTCCTCCGACTTCTGGACCTCGGTTGATATTCTGGCGACTCAACACCCTCCTTCCTCCCTTCCTCCCTTCCTCCCTTCCTCCCTTCCTCCCTTCCTCCCTTCCTCCCTTCCTCCCTTCCTCCCTTCCTCCCTTCCTCCCTTCCTCCCTGCCTCCCTTCCTCCCTTCCTCCCTTCCTCCCTTCCTCTCCTTCACCACAATGGGCGGGGGGGGTGGATTCGTTTGTTTAGAGAGTTCAACACCGACTCGCAGGCCTTGACGTCTGCGCCGGACTTCTCGATCACCTGACGGAATGAGATGGAGAGAGCGAGAGAGGGAAGGAAAACAAAAGCAATAAAATTGTGAAGAAGGATAAGAAGAGAACAAACATCGTTTAAGTAAACATACCATAGACACCACTTACACTTCAAAGTCGAGAAACCATGTAAACGCAGTCTGAAGATGTGTCTGACAAAATGTGTGTGAGTAGATGTGAAAAAACATTCTGTGGGACTGCCTCGCGCACTGTCTCGCCACGGCGACCGATGACCTCACCGGGCAATCCAAGCAAAGGAAGGACCACTCAGGACCACCACAGCTTTGTACTCGCAAGTCATGCGCTTGCATGGTTTTGGTTTCTGCGGCCCGCGCTCTCCCAGCTTCCCGATCCTTCACCCAAAGCCTCGTTGCAAGTCCAATCGAAGTACATCTGCCTCAGCTCTAGACCAGGGCCCCCAACTGGACGGGAGGTGGGAGCTCTGGCTCATCCCCACTCCGCTGCCTCAGTAAACCCAGCGCAGCACCCAGCGCAGCACCCAGCGCAGCACCCAGCGCAGCACCATGCACCGTGCACAGATCCCAACCTCTGAGGCTTTCAACATTGCTCAACATTGCCCCTCGCGGTATCCCATCCGAGGGCCCCTGCTTGGGCCGGGGCTCGTCCTTGAGGACCTCGCATCAGGCATCTGGCTCACACAAGCGTGAAATATTGTGAAATATTGTCTGTTTTTTTTTTTTGGGGGGGGGAAGTGAGAAAGAAGCGTTTGTTTCTGCACCAGACTTCTGAGAATGAGCTCGCAACCGTGCCGTCCTCGGCTTGAGCCCAATGGACTTCGGCCAAGAGCAGCTCCAGCGCCTTGTCCTGTGCGGCACTGCTGGGTCTTCTCGCCTCCCCCATGGCCTACTGTTAGGCATTCTTGTCCTACATCACCTCCAGTTTTGAGCTCAGGAATGGGAGGGACATGGAGAAGCAGATGTGAGTAAAGGCTGTGACTGATCCATACCATTCTTTGGCAACCAACTCCTAAACCATTTCACTCTTCTCTCATGCAGTCCTGCTCCTCAAGGCTGCCAAAGATCTCCACCTTGCCTTGAGCCTGGCATGCTCACAGCTACATGCACACTGCATGCACATGGAGTGTGATGCGTTTCCTTATCCAGCTCCACTTTGGCCCCAGAGTCCTGTCAACGGCACAGACAAAAACACCACTTCGATTCTACCTCACGACTGGCCTTCTCGATGATTCGGACCGTCTCGCCTTTCCTGCCAGACCAGGACGAGCTCTTTGTGACCACACACATTTCCTGAGCCCTTGCAGGCTTTGTCAACACCCCTCCGGTTCATCGTGGTTCATTCTTGTGACCATGGCCTGCCAGCCTGCGATAATGAAACGGCATTTCCCAAAATATCAAAGCTAATGCCCCCCCCGGTTGCCCAACTGACCTCGCTGAACCCACAAATCGAAAATTGCATATTGTCGACGACGGATACACTCGCGCCTGCCAAGTACTTTGCCGACTTCCTCCGGCAGGACCTGAACCCGGAGCGTTGTTGGAAGATTTCGGGAGCACTTGGAAGGCTCCAATCATCTCAGGGACGTGCCGTCAGGATGCGATGGCTTGTCTTGGCTCCCTTGGATTTGAGGAACAGCCCCCGAACGCATGTCTGCATGCCGGGTTTCCGTCCTCTCGGGGGCTCCGGTTCCTGGGAACCAGCCGAGCATCCCTGCTTTCCTGGTCACTTCAATTACAATTTGAAGAAGCGAATGCGACCATTGCGAGATGACTCACGAACACAATCTCCCTGTATGCCTGGGAGTCGCGGCTATCATCCCGAAATGCGTCACGTCGGTGGCGGCCCTTCAAACGGTAAGGGTCAACACTGACATTCAACTTCAGCATAAAGCATTCTTTCCTTTTCTGCAGAACCCAAGTACATGGGAAAAGTCAACTTCACAGTGCTCAAAAGGCACAGCGCGCCTGGCCATAGCCTCTCCGCCGCCGCCTTCTGGGCGGAGACCTCCGAACACCACAAAGCCCAACAACAACAACAACAACAACAACAACAACAACAACAACAACAACAACAACAACAACAACAACAACTACAACTACTACTACTACTACTACTACTACTACTACTACTACTACTACTACTACTACTACTACTACTACTACTACTACTACTACTACTGCTCCTACTACTACTACTACTGCTCCTACTACTACTACTACTACTACTACTACTACTACTACTACTACTACTACTACTACTACTACTACTACTACTACTACTACTACTACTACTACTACTACTACAACTTCAACCTTGCGTTTCATCAAATCGACAAACTGCAAGTGGCCATTGCACGAGACACGCTTTGCAAGAGATCCTATGCCCATGGCCTGTAAACTGGCGACATCGAAGGGGGCCTTCTTCGGAGTCGAGCTCGGGTGCGTCCTGCAGAAAACGCAGATGAGACAGTTGACCGTGACCATGAAAAATTTTCAGAGCGACAAAATCATGGTCCTTCATCTTCAGGATACCCTCTGCTCCGGGAGCGGCGCATACCCAGGCTCTACCCTACAGGGAGCGTGAGCTTCCACGTGACCGTAACCAAGCAATGACCAAAACTCGAAAACATGAGTTGTTGTCAAACCATACTGATATTCCGAATGCATGCTGGGCCGCAACGCGTCACAAACCTGGCAAACCCATAAGTCAGCTGTCTTTCTCATGCATGGCTTAATATCACTCGAAAGATAACGCCTGCAGGGAAGAATGTACTGAGCTCAAGCGACAAAACAACAGCTTACCAACTGAGAAAACACCGACCGGAAAACGGTGGCCAAAAAAACTGCGCGCCCCGCCCAAAGAAACCCAGGCATCCAACTTATGCAGAACTCTCTATTTTCTTACTTTTCTGACTTCCGGGGCCACGAAAGCATATTCAGATTTTTTTTTTTTTTTTGGGGGGGGGTTTTCTTTGTTTTGGCGTTTTGTGCATGGACTGCCAGGCTGACGGAAGATTGTTCAGACTTGTGATCAACATGTGCCAAATTCTGGATGGAAAGGTGAGAATGAGAGGTGGGATGGATTCCAGAGAGTGAACAGTATTAACAGGAGTGAGGTTGCGTTCATAAGGTTGTTATCACTAGCCTGCGCGGTTTGACTGGTCTGTAAGCCGGTTAGTAACTTAAGACATTAAGACTCATCCCCAAATCAACCGTTCAATCATGGAGTAGTTCCGTCCCCAAAACCCCAACATTATTGTTTTTATTGTTTTTTTTATTAGGGCGCGCGCCCCTTGCCCCAACTATAGCAATATTGCACGGGTTTTTGGGGGAGAGGGCGGTTGATCTTTATTTTTCCTTTCGTACACCATCAATCTCATGACACCTTAGCTCCTTGTCTGTTCACCTCACCATAATAGTACTAACTCACTCCCTTAAAGCATTATAGTGTGAAGAGAACACAATATGATATACGAGGGGCGCCAGGAACCAGCTGGAGAAGGCCCTCGTGTCTTCGACGCAGGTCGACCGGAAGGAGAACCACCTGAACATCAAGCCGCGACCCACGCAGCTTCCGGGCTCGGGGTAGTCAATGGAATGACCATTTGGAAGTGCGAGGAGCAGTCCAAGATGTTGAGAGCCAAACATTTGCGTCCCCCAACAGATGGCAGACTGAAGTGTCCGGTCCAACGATTTCACTTCAAGCCATACTCTTTCGGAGGAGCTGCTCGTCGCGGAGGGCGAATCTCGGCAACATGCTCGCAAACGCTGCCTCGAAGATCACGGGCGATACGTATGACCTCTGCTCCAGCTCTGGCGCCCTTTCTGAAGGGTGTCCGAGACCTTCGCGCGCCCGTTTAACCAGGTCCCGAAGTCGTCGCTCCTGTTGTCCTGGAAAATGTCGTTCCGGTTGACCCTGTCCATCGTCTTCCGCAGGTTCTGCGGCTGGTTCCGCAGACAAAGACATTTGGCCCTCGAGTTCAAAAGGGCAATCAAGCGAGGCGACCAAGGAAGGACATGGAACCAAGCAGGTTGGAATCGAGGTGCTACCGAGAGCTGGCCAAGTCCGTGGACGAGATCCAGTGTGAGGATCTGGATATGTGGCGACACCTGTTGGACACCGCCTTCATGAAAAGAAACAAGCCGGCAAGGCAACAGGGGAGGACATTCTTCTCTTCAACGGGCGTTCGGCTTTCTCCCTCGTCTTCCAGGCGGCCTTCTCTCGAGCGAGGCGTATGACTTCGAGATTGACAAGCAAATCAGCTCGGGCAACGGTGACGCGAAAGGCGGCCGCCCAAGGCAAGATGCGTGACGAAGATCATGCTGGAGTGTGATGAAGGGCTCCTCGGAACATGGAGGCGAGGAGCTGGACGCCGCCACACCACAGGTGACGAGGAACGGAGTGATCTTTACGGCCTTGGTCTTTGCCAGCAAAGCAACGGATGGGAGCCTGCGCTTCCTTGACTTCACGAAGGCCTTCCACAGTGGAGATCCCATCGAATGGGCAAATCTATGCCGAGCAACCACCTGAAGGTTTTCCTGCTGGGTTTCAAAAAGGTCAACTACTGAAGCTCCTCAAGACCTGCTACGGTCTTCTTGATGGACCTATAGCCTGGTTTCAACACCTGCGAAGGGTCCTGTTGGAAGAGCTGGGATACACCCAGTGCCTCGCCGACCCTTGCATCGACTTCCTGCACAACGAGAACACCAATGACCCTCAAGGGGATCGCGTCGGCGGCCACCGACGACCGCTCCACGGTGGCAACGAGCGGCACAAAGCAAAGACGCAGGTTCTGAAACAAAAGTACAAGCTTGGGAAATTTCAGTACGGGCAAACTCGCTTTACTGGCAAGATGTTTCGAACTATGCCTGATGGTAGTACATACATCGACCAGAAGCACTACGTCAAGGAAAAGATCATCCGATTGATTCACAAGTCACACCAAAACCGCCGTCGATATTGCTTGTGCGATGATCGAGGACCTTCAATCTTTGGCGGGCGCTTTGGTGAAAAACGCTGAAATCACCGTAAATACCGTGTTTTATGAGGTTTTTCACGCGTGCCTGACCCGCCCCCAAAGTGCGCATCATCGAAACCCACGTCCGGGGGGGGGTCTGCTGATGCTGCTGATGCGCGGGGGTCCGGGCGCATCATCGAGCCATCGCTTCTCATGGGCTTCGTGGGCCTCCGGGGCCGACGGCCCAGAGACCCAGGGGGGGTGTTCCAACAGCAGAAAACCTCGTAAATACCGAGTGTTTTGTGGGTCCACGTAAAAACGCCCCTAAAATCGCTCATTTTACGCGCTCGAACGGCTTCGTGCCTACAAAACACCCGAACAGCAGGACCCCGAATGCGCTTAAGGGCATTCGGGGTCTTGCTTTTGGGAGTTTGGTGGGCACGCAAGCGTTCAAGCACATATAATCGGCGTGTTTCAGGAGGTTTCGGATGGCCTGGGGGAGGCCGCTGATGCTCATGATGCTCTCTCTTCCGCAGGGCTGGCCAAGGAGACTCGACGAGATTTATGTGGACGTGTTTCGCTGCTTCAACAAAGATTTCCCCGACCTTCAGCAGGCCAACCTCCTTGCCAAGGAAGCCCCACCAAGTTCTCGGCAGGCATCAAGATCTCCCCAATTCCCTTCGGTTGGATGAGAGTGAGCACTGCGACGCATGGGGCAACACCACCGGCACAGAGGGTGTGGAGAACGATGACAAGGATTCTTGCGCTTACAGCACGCTGACCTGTTTGCGCACACACACAGGCGTGTCCATGTGTATGTAAGGAGCTGATGGCCTGTCGCCAGAAAGCTCCATCCTTTCAACTGTGCCGCACGAGCCCTCAGGGCCCGTCGGCTGAAAAGGCTTTCGGAGAACCTCATTTCCCCGGGCGGTTAGGGTGCTCGCATCCTTTCAGCAATTACACGCAAAGCTTTCACATGCTTACTGCTTACAGGGTGCTGGCTAGCACATGAAGACATGTCCACGGCCTGTTTGTGCACACACAGGCGTGTCCATCTGTATGTAAGGAGCTGATGGCTCCATCCTTTCAAAACTGTGCCGCACGAGCCCTCACGGCCCGTCGGCTGAAAAGGCCTTCGGAGAACCTCATTTCCCCGGGCGGCGAGGGTGGGAGAGCAAGAGATGCTTTGGATAACCGAAACAGAAACTCGCATCCTTTCAGCAATTACACGCAAAGCTTTCACATGCTTACAGGGTGCTGGCTAGCACATGAAATGCAGACATGTCCACGGCCTGTTTGTGCACACACACACACACACACACAGGCGAGTCCATCTGTATGTAAGGAGCTGATGGCCTGTCGCCAGAGGCTCCATCCTTTCAAAGCTGCGCCGCACGAGCCCTCACGGCCCGTCGGCTGAAAAGGCCTTCGGAGAACCTCATTTCCCCGGGCGGTGACGGTGGGAGAGCAAGAGATGCTTCGGATAACCGTAAGAGAAACTCGCATCCTTTCAGAAACGCAGAAGCATGTGGAGACGCGGCTGAATGTAGAAAAACACAAACATGCACAGCACTAGGCCGACTCGCACAGCACTTTCGCTCCAAGCACAAACGTGTCACACGTGACTGGCTCAGCCTAACCTAACTTCCCAGCTGTTCTTCGCTTGAACTCAAGGAATGATCATCGTCGTCTGCGGCCTCAAGCTGAATGTCATAACTCTTCTCAAGTTCACCAAAGCTCTTGAGGATCCTGTTGACACTGCAGCGCATGTAGTTCCGACTCACATGACGACAAGCACACGACGCCTTGAGTCTTTGCCAGCAACCGGACTGCACTTCCGGCAAAGCAAATCGCTCCACCTGTCACTCCTCGTCGTTCTAAGAAGCGGTATGGTGCATACGAAGCGTCAGCAAACACATGAACCCGTGATATCAGCTCTTCTTGCGTACAGCTCAAAAACTCACTGCTCAAGCCTTGTGATGGGATCTGATGTATGATGTGTTCATCGCCCCTCAGGAAACGCAAAATAGCACGCAACGCAGACTCGGTTGCCGAGGTAGGCTTACTTTGTTGTGTTGCGATCAGCGTGGTTTTTTTCATTTAAAGCGGGCGCCTCTTTACTACATCAGCAGCACAGTAGGCCGTTCTTGTGGGTCTGACAGCTACTTTGAGAGCCAAGCTGTACAAGCCAGCGAGTGTAAAAGAAGTTGTGACTACAAAGAAGCAACCGCTAACGCAGAGGCCCTTATTGCAGACAACTTAACACAAGGCCAGCAAGGTGAGACCAAGGAAAACTAGAAACTACCGGCACCATTCACTCAGAAGCCCGACACCCATAGCTATGCTGCGCCACGTCTGGTACAGACATTAAGCGAAGGTATGGGTAGGCCGTAAGGCAAGAAACCTCCGTCACCGGAACCGCTCAACGCGTCCGTGGAGACAGTCCCCACACCAGCGCCAGGGCCGTAGCAAAGCGTAGCACTCAGTACACCTTTGGGTTGACAAGAAAGTTGCAAGCACACTGAAGAAAAGGTACGAATGCGCACAAATGCACAATGCACACAGAGTGCCAGAAGGGGCACCAACCCCCCCCCCTG